TCGTAGTAATAGTTATAAGGGTCCTCCTCTTGACCGAAATCTGAAAAGGGGTTATAAGAGCAAGGATGAGTATTTACAATGCTCAGCAAGTTATCATGGAAATATGTTATGCATTAGCATATAGGAGGGTTCTTTGCAAAAAGCAATAATAAACAATCTGGAAGAATTATATCAAGAATTCATAAATATATAGACTTTAAATTTCTAACCAGGGTACCATATGAGTCCCGGTACTCAACTCCATGAGTACGGCTATTCGAATAGTTTCAAAGATATTTTATTGCAGCAGATGTACGCTTTACCCGCAGTCCACGACTTGCTGATAATCGTCGGCTTTAGTCATGGCCTAGTATTAAGTCATTAACAATTGTGGCACCTGTTCCATGAACTTATATCCTTATATGCTCTGAACGTATTGTTAACAGCAGCAAGAGGAGTTCTGGCGTTCCCGAGATATTTAAGGGGAACTGATCGTATGACACCACGTCATCTCGATCAGGGTTTAGAAATATACCATATAGTTTATACTCGAGTATCACAAACCATTTACCTGTACATGGTAATGGTTAAAGTTGCCCTTCGCGGCTATAGTTGCCTCTTGCGCGAGGACTTAAAAATAAGAACCACTATACAGAGGTGCCATATTGCTAATTAACATAATAACTAGGTTTGTCCCCATTCTAGAAACTGCGGTCGTACCTGTTCGTTCGACATAAGTACCTGGTAAAACTTATATCGATCGAGACAGTACTAGCCACCCGGAAATCATCCAAATCTTACGTACTGTGCCAATCTAAGTATAAGGTATTTTAACCAGATTGTAAGCAAAGTAGGCAATACTAAAATTATCTGGGTTTCTATGATTGATTTATGCATATAAAATAGAATATTGAATAGAAGGCTATAAATAAATAATTTGTAAAATATAGGTCTAAATGATCAAAAGTTATATGGTAACTTGCCTTGCTCGATGTCCTGAGATTCATTGATATTATCTATTGAGTCAGAAGAATCCTCAAGACCTAGGGTTAGACATATAAAAATTCAAATTTAAAAGAAATTCAAATAAAATCCAAAAATAAGAAAAATGGAGAAAATGAAATAAAATGCAAAAATAGAAAAAAGGGGCTCAAAAGATAGAGAATGATTTTAGAAGAATATTCGTCCAAATTTCACTGGAATTGGATCTATATTTTAAAAGATATGGGCTTCTAAAGTTTTGAAAATCAAATAAATGTGAAATAGCACTGTGTGCGGATCCCACCTGTCAGTCTCTCTCTCTCTCTCTTCTCTTCTTCTACCTCCGGCCATTCCCCAAATCGGGCGATGGAGGGGGAAAGTGGTTGCGGCCGAGGAGGGGAGGGAGCTAGGGTTCTCCGGCGACGGCGAGCGGCGGCGGAGGGGTTAATTTGGTTTGTGGTTGAGCTAACGGCTAGGACGGCAGTGGCATAGTTAAGCCGTGAAGGTGATCGGGGTGATGTGAGTGAGACATGGCTAGGGGAGGGCTCCTAGAGCATCTACGAGGTACTTAGATGGATTCCAGCAGCTTGCCGATCTTTGGCAAGGTACGGAGAATACTTGCTGACGAGCGCCTCCATTGGCAGCGGTCGTGCTCACGTCGGCAGCCCAGAGGGCGACATGATAGTGCAAAGTGATTGCTAAAATAGAATCTAGGGAGTATGTAGATGGTTAAAACGGAAGAACTCACCGAGATCGGTTGAAACGGAGGATTGCGGCCGGAAAAACTTCTCGGGGGCGAAGAACAGAGCAGTGCGAGGGCGGCGGTGCTTGGCTTGGCGCGGCGAGGTAAAACTCGACGCAGGGCTTGGGTTAGGGTCTAATATACTATAACATAGTTGATATAAGGTGTTCTAAGGGGTATTTAGGGCGGAAGATGGATGGAGGGATGTGGAGTCGATCGCGCACAAGGTGTTCGACCGACGGGCGATTGGTGAATCAAAGCTTCGGGGTTGTGGGGCTATGGTTGTTGATGATCGATGATGGACAAGGAAGGGATTGGGGTCCTATTTATAGGGCTAGGAGGAACGGATGAGCTCGGACACCGTCATCGCCATGGATGAGCTCAAGGATTGGATATGGCTGGGGCGGCAGAGGCTGTGAGAGGACGGGCAAGATCAATTTGAGTGGCGGGAGGCCACGTTTGAATACTTACCAGCGAAGGATTGGCTTGACCGCGTGCGAAATCGGCTGGCGACGTGTTGGCGCCAATCCGGGCGCGATGCGCAGTGGCGGCGAGGGTGAAAACGGCCGACTCGGGGGTGAATGGTTTGAATTGTGAGAGGGGATACCACCGTCTATCTTCAATCCAACCGTGCGGCAAGAATTGGCGTGATTCACCATGGGTAGAATCAAAATCGGACTCGGCGGCGGCTTTGGACGGGCGCGCATGGCGTCGAGCGGCGATTTCTTGCGGCTGTCGTCGTCCTGGCTTTGTCGTCGTCAAGATTTGTGCGGCGGCGGCGGTCTGAGGGCGTCGGACGGGCGACGACGCGCCAAGGCGGTCGGGCACGCGCAAGCGGCCCCGAGGCCGATGCGCGGCGACACGGCGCGCGGCTAAGTCGGATGCCCGGGCGGCGCGCCAAGGGGAGGAGAAGGCCAACTAAACCACAGTTTTTGAGTGGGATGTGGGCCCCAAGGATTCAACATAGACTTTGCAAAGGATTGGACAGGGATTGGGCTGAGTTAGTTGGGCTAGGCATTCTGCCGAACACCTTGAAGGCAATGAACAGTGAAATTCAGTAAATTTGAGTATTTTTTTCTAGAAAAGATTGAATTTGAACTATGAATTTGGAAGAGTTTTACTAGGGTTTGGAGTGTAGTGAATCCTCACTAATGTTAAGGTAAACTTAAGGAAATAATCTAAAGTTTGAAATTTGAGAGAATTTGCTCAAATTTACTAAGGTTTGGAATAAAGGGAATATTTAGGGTAAATTAGTAGGGTTATAAGGAAGTAACACTTGAACCAATTAAGAAATCAAATAAATTTTTAAACACACTAATTTAATCAAAAGTCAGCATGATGCAGTCAAATTTTAGTTTAAAATTTGAGGATGTTACACGGGGCCGGGAGGAGAAGTCGGGGAGCGGGGGCGGGGGCGTTCTGGCCCAACCCGTACCTGACCCGCCCCGTTGCCAACCCTATGTCTACGTGAGTGTTCAGTGCTTCCTTTACGGCCCAATTATGGATAATGGGATATGGTCCATCATTAATCATGTTAACTAGTTGGGCCGAGATGGAAAATGTGTCTTTGGTCTTTCGTGGGGGATAAGTCCACTAACCATCTCTCATCTTTACGTTATGTTTAACCGACATACTTAATTGTAAAACTAGAAAGGTTCGTTCAATCTTGGCAAAACAGTCTAAATTAGATCTCATGGAAATATAAATAGTTGGTTTTCATTGATGTGGCATCCTAGTAAAAAAAGATAGATAAACAAAGCATGTGGGGCCACATGTCAGTGTACAATTCTTTCTTCTATCTTTTTCCCCAACTACACACGCAGTTCAAGGGTGGCAGCTATGGACGCAGAGACGGTCGGTGAGCCTGTCCTAGAAAAGAAGGGAGGTGAGGGGCCGACAAGCTTATACTCCTCCTCTGCAGTGCGCATAGCGCGCAAGCCTGACCTTAGTGACCTTGGGTGTCACTGTGGCACCAACACGGGAGGGCCATGTCCTGTGACACGCACAGCCGAGAGGAGGATGCCGAAAAGTACGCCAAGGCCAACGCCCACAAGGCCTCCCGCATCAGCGCCCAAGGTCACCAAAGTTGAGCTCGCATGCCGGCTCCCTCGCCTCCCTCTTCTCCTTCACAGTCGCCCTTGGCCAGCGAAGATAGGGGGGTAGCCAGCGAGCTCGTCCGCGGGAGGTGACAACTGTGGTGGGAGGTTGGCGATATGGGGGCTTCAATGGTCCGTGATGGGGGGCCTCCCTGGCAACGATGAGGTAGCAACACGCCACGTCATCTGGTTGGCAGGACGATGGCTTGGAGGGTGAACCAGTGGAGCATGAAGAAGTCGTCGAGGTGGCGCTTGTGGAGGAACGTGGTGTGGACAGTGGCACATGTGATGGAGGAGGGGGTGGCAGTTGGAGTGGAGCGCGTGGTACATGAGGTCAGCCTCCCGTCCTTGGAGGGGGACATGAATGCAAGGATGTTGTTGTGGAGCACAGAGCGCGAGTGACGGGAGGGGCTCCACAAGGTACACCGTGCTAGGGGGCGGCGACGATGTGGGGTGCACTGCGGCACCGCGCTTGGTGGGAGGCTATCGCCAAGGCGGCGTCGGCTGTTGAATAGTCCCACATTGGTCGTGGAAGGGCAAATGACCTAACATATAAGTGAGGGAGCCCCTTACCTCAATGGCTAGCTTTTGGGGTGGAAAAGACTCTTTACGATCCTACAATTTTGGCATCAGAGCCTAGCTAGTTTAACATCTTTGGTCCGATAGACATAGTGTGTGCAGGCCTGATGGACCGTGGGTGCCTGCGGGGCCCGTATACCTAAGGGACCGTGGTGAAACGGTGAAGGGGCGGTGAAGGGTTGAGGGACACCAATATGTGAAGGGGGAGATTGTTGAATAGTTCCACATTGATCGTGGAAGGGTAAAGGACCTAACATATAAGTGGGGGAGCCCCTCACCTCAATGGCTAGCTTTTGGGGTGGGAAAAGCCCTTTACAATCCTACATCGGCATGCACGAGCGGGAGGAGTGCTGGCACAAGATGGCGTGCTGAGAGTGGCTTGGACAACGGCATCTCTCGTGGCATGAGCCACTTAAATATGTGCTCCCACATAGTACTTTTTTATTTTCTCCTTGATGACTAGGATGCCACATCAATGAAACCAGCCATCCATATTATCATAGGACGTAATTTTTGCAAGTTAGGGGATCAAGATTTCTGGTATTACAGTCTAGGCAACGATTTTAAACTCGATGAAAATGAGGGACATAAAGTGGACTTGTTCCTTCTGTGGGTAGATTTCATTGTTCAATGAGTAAATACTTGGGCCAATCAAAAGCCCATATCTCCTTGAATTTTTATTTCCAACATCCATACAAGTGAAGAAAGCATCATTTCATAGGGCATTTCATAGGTACACCGTACGCAAGTCACAAGAAACAATAAGTATGTTACGTGACCGAATATCACGACCAGATTAGATCATCCTAAGCTTCATCTGCGCGCCGTGCATGGGATGCAACGTCATGACGGTGTGCGGTGCGTGGGTGTAGGACGCAGCGAGCTCGAACTCGAAGCGCTGGAGGATCATGCACAAGGCCATCTTAGCCTCGAGCAGCGCGAAGTTCTGGCCGATGCAGACCCGCGGCCCCCAGCCAAACGGGAGGAACGCGCCGCGGTCGTTGGACGCCCTGGAGATCCCCTCGGCGAACCTCTCCGGCCTGAACTCGTGCACGTCTCTGCCCCAGATTTCGCGGTCGTGGTGGATAAACAGCACAGGCAGTTCGAGGATCACGCCTCTGGGGTACACGACGCCCCCGATCTCCATCTCCTTGTACGTCTTCCGGCTGAAGACGATCGCCGGCGGGTACAACCGAAGAACCTCGTATAAAACCATGGTGACCTGAAAGCATAAATGCAGAGACCGATAAATCGATGTCTGAATTAATTGTCGACACTGACAACATGAAAGGAAATACGATATTCAGTGTAGTGTTATTGTTTCTCCGAGTACTTACCGTCTTGAGTCGGCTGAGGCCTTCGTACTCAGGTTTGTCCCTCCCAAACAGACCAAGAACCTCCTCCCTTGCACGGTCTTGCCATTCCGGGTGCATGCTCAGAACAACCATGGTCCATGTGAGCAGCACTGACGTTGTCTCCATTCCTGCGAAGTAGAACAGCTTGCACTCCTCGATAACATCTTCAGTTGTCATCCCTGGGCTGGATCGTCCATTCTCGTCTGCGTGCCTCATATTGGACTCGAGCAGCAGGCCCAGCAGATCATCGTTGGTGCTTTCGCCTTCCGCGATGGCCTGCATCCTTTTTCCAATTATTCCTCGCAGAATGGATTCAACCTCACTGTTGATCCTCCGCATCCTTCTGTTCTTTTTGGTAGGCAAGTACCTGCAGTATAGAAAATCATTCAACTTGACATTAACAAGTTCGATTTAAGAAGGGAATAGTCAGTGACCAAAATGTAGCCTGCTGTAACAGCAGAGTTAAACAGAGTATGCCCGAGGGGACCATGGAATTTGTTGCTCACATGTAACCCGGAATGACGAACTTCTGAATGGCTCCTATGAAGAGCTCAGCTTGCTCAGTCTGCAGCTGGAAGATCCTCCTTCCTTCACTGTAGCTGCTGCCGAATGCCGTGCGAGAGATGACATCTCCGGTGAGACTCTGCATCTCCGGCCAAACATCCAGCTCGCACGAACCGTCGGGACCAAGGGAATCCATCCATTTCCCGACAAGCTCTTCACAGCACGTAGAAAACGCCGGCAGCATGAGCTACAAATCAACCCATACCGCATTACTATACAATCCTACGATCAACCTAGCGTACGTACGTCTGTACGAGTGAGACGCTTTCACGTGATGTACCTTGAGCTTCTCGAGATGGAACGCAGGGTTCATGATCCTCCTGTGCTTGACCCACTTCTCACCGTCGTGGCTGGTGAGGCCGTCGGCGAGAAGCTTGGTAAGTGCCGGGAGCTTGGGCTTCTCGAAGTGGCCGAGCTTGTTGGACAGCACGTCCCTGACCTGGGCGGGGTCGGTGATGGTGACGCTGGGGATGGGGCCGAACCAGGAGAAGCAGCACGGCCTGCCGTTATCCCGCACGTTGCGGTGCACGAACGGGGTGACCCGGGGCACGATGTCGTGGCAGCCCAGCGGCAGCGGCGCCGACGACCACGCCTCCTCGTTGAGCCGGCCGAACTCCCTGAGGTCGCCGAGGAGGAACCGGTACGCGGTGCCGCGGAGCCCCTGCGCGCGCAGCGCGCGCTCCAGCCGCCGCGGCCGCCACCACAGCCGGTCGAGCAGGCGGCCGGCCTGCCACAGAAGCACCGGCCCGACGAGGCCGTACGCCAGGAGGCTCCATGGTGGTGGCAGTGAGGCTCGGCTGAACAACTCTCCAAAAACCATTGCTGTGGACTCTGAATAGCAAGAAGCTGATGCAACTGGACTAGTACTTAATTTGACCGGAGAAGTGGGGATGGATGAGGTACGGATTTCGCGCCATGTTATATAGAGTTGTCACTGGGTTGCATTAGTCTCCTGTGCTAATTTGTTTATGGTTTCTTGGAGTGTAAACAAGACTAACGAACATTTGGGCCAGCTATGCCCAAATGAACTTGGTGGAGAAGAAATTCCAACCCAGAAATGCCACGATCGGGACGACCATGAGGTGCTGTGAGCCTGTGACTACTAATAAAATAAAAGAACTCATTTACACACCTCAGAAATGTTGAAATTCAGAAAAAAAATATTTATGAGTTGAAAAGAAGATTTGTATCAGAACTAAAGTCCATAGCACCACAAGAATGAAATTTGAAATAAAAAATAACAGAAATGGAAACTTCAATTAATGGGAACTCAGTCCAATTACGACGGTATATTTATTTATAAGAAAAAAAATAAAATGATCGATGGGGAAATTATAATTGAATCAGAATATACTATATTTTTTGAAAACTCTTTTTTCACATACAAGTTGGTAACTATTATTCCGTATGAATAATTACATTTTAAAAAATATTAATTATATAATAGAAAAATTGATTTGGACAAAAAAAATGTATTTCTGCTTATATAAATTAAAAAAATAACTCAAATAAATACATGTGTAAAACTATGTATTTTAAAGTGAAAATTATGAAAGAAAAACTATTAGAATAATCTGTTTTTTAAAGCTAAAACGATTTTGGCCAATACACATTTAAAAATATAAAAGAACAATAATGAAATTTTACGTGCTTCTTTTAAGATATAAAAGAAGTTCTTGAGCTTGAATTAGATTTTTTTTTTGTTGGACTTAATAAGCCGATCGAATTGGCTTCTTAGTTAGGCTTAACAAGCTAAGCCATCTTTGTTGTCAAAACCTAAGCATGTATTAGGTTCGTATAGTTTCCGACAAAAATAAACAATTAATAACCTAATTCTTATGTATTCTCGACAAAAAGGCCTATCCTATACAAATAGGATTGTACAATCTTTTACCAACTTTGTATACACCAGAATAATCTAGACTAATATAAAAAGCACCAGTTTTCTTTTTAGTACACCCACCTATTCTTAATCGTTAGATCCTCTCATCCAACGATCCACATCGTGAGTTGGATTAACACAGGAATTAGAACTCAAACTAGAATTAGATTAACGCTCCCACGCCTCTTCCCGTCGCAAAATCCCCGCCCACGTCGTCAAATCCCACGCCGCGCCCTTCCCTCTCGCTCCAAACCGCCACCGGGCGGCACCCACCCTCCCGAGTGGCCGACTCCCGACGCACCTCCTCGCCGGCGCCCCACCCTCCCGACGCCCCTCCCCGCCGCCGCCGCCGCCGCCGCCAGCGGCGCCTCCCGCTCGGCCCCGGCCGGCGAGTCGCGTAGGAGGGAAGCGCCACCGGCGGCGGCCGGGGCGAGATGAGCGGCAGGGGAGGTGGCGGCGGCGGGGAGCAGGGGACAACGCCATCCTCTGCTCCACGACTGAGCAGGGGACGCCGATGCCCAATGCCCTCGCACGTCGCTGACGAACGCCCAAACTTTTAATCTCCTGCTTTCAACAGGTAAACCTGCTAATTAACAATGTGGTTCATTAATATATGCATGCTTGCTATGTCTTTGACGGAATGCTTGCCTACCAGTCTACCACTGCCAACTTTGAGGTCAATTTATGAGCCTTGCCATATGTATGCTGTGCTATCTAGATATCGTACATTGAGGTTCCCACGTGCAGTGCCAAATAATAATTGTTCTTCTAATTCATTAATAATGGTTCTTCTAATTCAGTGCTTAATAGGATTCTTATAATAATGTTGCAAATTTGGAAGGCAAGAAATGATCTTAAATTTCAGGGGGAAAAAATGGAGCCTCCTCAAGTCTGCATGGCAGCTGAAGCTATGATCAACACTTAAAATAAAATTCTCTTCTTATAATTCAATACAAGAGAATTTGCAGGAAGAACAAAGGGGGAGGGGACCTGGAAGACTGCCAGACGGAACCAGATGTTACATAGATGCAGCATGGGAAAATGGAATCACAGGAATGGAAATTTTCTTTCATATGCCATCTACTCATAATGCCATTTTTCTTAAAGCCTCCTCCGAGGTTCCTTGCTCTTCCTTGCAGGCTGAGTTAATGGCGCTTCAACTTGCTTTGGAGGTGACTGTCTTCTTAACATTGAAGGAGTGACTCTCCTCTCTGATAATTCTACCATTGTGGAAACCCTTAGAAAAGGAAGATTTCAAACGGAGCCAGGTCATTGGAGCTTAAGACCTATTTGGAGTCAGATCGTTGCCACAATTCCTGAATCTCTTTTGCAGGTCATGTGGATTCCTAGGGGCATAAACAAGTTAGCTGACCAACTAGCAAAAGAAACCAAATCCAGTGTTAATACAGCCCCTGTCTATGTTTGTCAAAATATATCGCATTTGGCTTATCCTACCAGAAGATGTCATGCTAATGACATTAGAGACAATTTCAATTCCAGGAACTTTGTAATCCGGCATGTTCTATGCTTCTAAATAAAGTGTTTAAGGTTTTTTAAAAAAAAGGATAGATTAAATCACTTTCCTTCACCTGATTTGCTTATACCATGGCCAACTGAAAGCACTGCTATTTTTCACCTGATTTGTACTGAGGTCACAGCAAACTAGCAGGCAGCAGGCTTGTTTTGTTGGTAACATTTTGCTTCTATGAATTATCATGTATGCATGAAGTATTTAGATCTAATTATATGTTTTTGCCTACTGTTATTAATTTATTATGCTTCTGCTGATGCGGTTTCTGAGGAGGTTGCTCTGGCATCCTTCATGAATTCTCCCTGTTGAATTGTCTGTACAATGCACATATGTATTCCACTTTTACTACCGTGTATTCCCACAATTTGTAGCAACCTTACGAAAATAAAGGGCAAAAAAGATTAAATATGGATGCAGATTTTATAAAAGCTAAATCATATCTAAATATTAATGGCCAGTTCGCCAGGCCAGCAAGCCATACATGCACAGCAAACTAAAGCTTTTTTATAAAGCACCATCACTAATCTCTCTCAATGCACAGCCAAAATGAAATCTACTCCCTTACAGCTAGAATAAACTAAGCATTAATATTTTGTTCATGACTTAAGTGTTATTCCATTCGATATATGCATTTCCTGAAGGTTTTCATACAGTAACATCACTAATCTTTCTCAATGTACGGTCTTTTATACGGTAACATCACTAATCTTTCTCAATGCACAGCCAACATAAAATCTACTCCATTACAACTGGAATAAACAAAGCACCAATATTTTGTTCATGACTTAGTGTCACTCCATTCGATATATGTCGACATGTCTTGCACCTGCACGCTAACTAGTACAATAAAACAGAGGACTGTTATACATCTCTTATCTGTTGTCCAGTTGATGTTTGTGTTCATTAATCCAAAGATCAGCAGCGCAGCCACTCATAGCACTTCTGACCCCCCCCCCCTTTTTTTTTTGAAAGTAATCCAATGTGTTAAAATTCTTATGCTCGACAAGAAATCATTTATAATAGATAGCTTCTAGTTTTATTTCAAAGGTACAAATATCACAACTCATATACAATAGTTGTACTATAATGAATACATGCTGAAACGATCATACAACTACCAGAAAAAAACTATCATATAGCTCTAAGCTTAATCTGTGCACCATGCGTAGGGCGCAAAGTTATTATACTTTGTGGTGCATGAGTGTATGACAGAGCGAGCTCAAGCTCCAAGTGTTGAAGAATCATACACAACGCCATCTTGGTCTCAAGCAATGCGAAGTTTTGGCCAATACAGATTCTCGGGCCCCAACTAAATGGTAGGAACGCGCCTGGATCCTTGGATGCCTTGGAAATCCCCTCAGCGAACCTCTCTGGATTAAACTTGTGCACATCACTTCCCCATATGTCTGGGTCACTGTGGATGAGCAGCAAGGGGAGCTCGATGATCACGCCAGCGGGGTAAGTGACGCCTCCAATCTCAATCTGCTTATATGTTTGCCGAGTCAAGGTCACGGCCGGTGGATACAGCCGAAGAACCTCGTAGAGGATCATTGTCACCTGCACCATATACGTACAGATCAACGAGTTTTAATTTGTAGTAGTTTTACACAGCTACGAAATTGTTGACGTCAACCTCATGGTATTATCGAATCCCACAAGATACTCATGATTTTGAGGCGGCTCAGACCTTCGTATTCAGGTTTGTTTTTCCCAAATAGTCCTAGGATTTCTTCCCTTGCATGGTCTTGCCACTCTGGGTGCATGCTTAGCAGCAGCATGGTCCATGTGAGTAGCACTGATGTTGTCTCCATTCCTGCGAAGTAGAACAGCTTGCATTCCTCGATGACCTCCTCGATCGTCAACCCTTGGCTTGACTGACCATGCTCTGCCGTGTGTCTCATGTTTGACTCGAGCAACAGGCCCAGTAGATCATCCTTGGTGCTTTCACCTTCTCTCATAGCTTGCATTCTTTTCCCAATTAGACCCCGTAGAATCGAATCAATCTCTTTCTTTATTTGATGCATCTTCCGGTTGTTTTTAGTAGGTAAGGACCTGAAATGAAAAATCCATTCACATTTTTACAATGCGAACTGATTAAACAAGGAGGTGATATTTCTTAATGTCATACAGTCATAGATAAATTAACAGTTATTTTCTTGTTTGCAAATGTCATTTGTAAGTAGTAAACTCACATGTAACCCGGAATAATAATCTTCTGAACGCATTTCAAGAGGCGCTCAGCTTGCTCTGCCTGCAGCTGGAAGATCCTTCTCCCTTCAAGGTAGCTGCTTCCGAATGCGGTGCGAGAAATGACATCTCCGGTCAGGCTCTGCATCTCCGGCCAGACATCCACCTCGTACGAGCCTTCAGAACCAAGGGACTCCATCCACCTGCTGATCAGCTCTTCGCAGCACGTGGAAAACGCCGGCAGCATGCGCTGCAGAGTCTCGCACGTTCCAATATTCAGATACAGAAAACAGCAGAGAGAGAGAGAGAGAGAGAGAGAGAGAGAGAGAGAGAGAGAGAGAAGAAGCAAGAGTTTACTAGTGCAGTGTTGTGTGGTTCTGTACTTCTGTGTTGTGTGGTTCACCTTGAGCTTCTCGAGATGGAAAGCCGGGTTGAGGATCCTCCTGTGCTTAACCCACTTCTCGCCCTCGTGGCTGGCGACGCCGTCGGAGAGCAGCTTCGTCAGACCCTGGAACTTGTGCTTCTCCAAGTGACCGAATTTGTTGGACAGCACGTCCTTGGCCAGGTCCGGGTTGGCGATGGTCACCTTGGGGATCGGGCCGAACCATGAGAAGCACGCCTTGCCATGCTCCCTGACGCTGCTGTGGAGGAACGGCGCGACGCGCGGCGCGATGTCGTGGCACCGCAGCGGCAGCGGCCTCGCCCAGGCCTCCCTGTTCAGCCGCCCGTGCTCCCCGAGGTCGCCGGTGAGGAAGCGGTAGCGCGTGCCGCGGAGGCCCTGCGCGCGCAGCGCCAGCTCCAGCCGCCGCGGCCGCCACCACAGCCGGTGCAGCAGCCGGCCGCCCTGCCACAGGAGCACCAGGCCCAGGAGACCGTACGCCAGCGAGCTCCATGGCACGGAGGCTGGACACCTCAACCCGGCTCCAAGAACCATTGCTGGGGTCAGTCCACGAGTGCAAGTGTGCAGATGAGTGGTGTGAAAAGAAGCTTTTGACTACTGGAGATGGATATGGTACGGTGTTGGGCGAGGTTAACAAAAATTTTGACAATTTGGTCCTTTACAAAAACTATTTTTATAAATAAACCACCGCCAAAATTTATTTTAAAAATGACCCTTCTATTTAGTGTCACATCGTGTGGCGCTGAACTTAGACACCTCAGCGCCAAATAGCGTGGCGCTGAATGTGCGTTGCCACGCTGACTTAGCCTCCCATTTGCGGTGGCACGGCATTCAGCGCCAATTGACGTGGCGCTGAGGTGTCTAAGGTCAGCGCTAGATGATTTGGCGTGGAAAAAAAATTATTTTTAAAGTAAGTTTTAGCGGCGGTTCATTTATAAAATTAGTTTTTCCAAAGGGTTAAATTGTCAAAATTTGTGTTAAATAGAGGTGCTACTTGGTTGCATTAGTCACTTGTGTTGATCTGTTCAAGCCGATCCGAGTTGCTAGCATTGGTAGGTAGTACTCCCTCCCTCTTTATAGGGACATTTTAATTGCACTATTTGACCATTTATCTTATTAAAAAATTTTAAAATTATTATTTATTTTATTTGCAACTTACTTATTTTAAACGTAACTTTTCCTTTTATTATATTTATATAAATATTTTAAATAAAATGAGTGGTAAAACATTATAAGAAAGTGAATATCTCGGGAGACGAAGGTAAGGAACTTCGTAGAGAAGAAATTCCAGCGGGAACTGATATTCTGATTAGTCAAAGTGCTCGCGGATGGTGATGAGTGACGCCCCGATGCTACTCCCTCAGGTTGATAACGTCGTTTTGGATAAGGGCACGGTCTCCAAAAAAAATAACTTTGACTATTATTTTCTATTATAATTCGTATAAAAGTGTTAACAAATATATGATCTTATTAAAGTATTTTTTAAGACTAATCTAGATAAATATTTTAAAAATGATTTATAATCAAAGATTCTCAAGTTTAACCTCACCCTTATCAAAACGACAAGTATTATTAGACCGGAGGGAGTATCATTTTAGGATTGTTTCGCGGCTGCTTCGTTTTGCACTTTTGCTTGCTTGGTTACTATTGTGAAGAATATCAGATGAATTGGGCTGCATGAAAATGGGCCACGGGCCATGGGCCACATGCCCATACAGGTAGTCTAAGCAGAATTTTGGAGTCCTTGTCATACTGGCTATATTGGAGTATTTTGTAACTGAACTAATTACTCACCGAGAAAATTCTCACAAAATAAAAACAATACTACCAATTTTTTTAATCATAACAAAGAGACTATACACGCGTCGTCTCACATAGCATTAAGTGTCATATTAGAAAACGAGCGTGCCTGTTAGCACACCAACAAATTTATAGCCCTGTGTGTATTACTATGTGTTTTGCTGTTAAATTATTGATTTCTACCTAGCAATTGGTTTTGGTTTTCTAGAATATAAGATATGAACATGGTAATAGTATTTGTCTTAACTGTATTTATCTCAATATTTTCTTAATATTGTAGGAAAATTCTTGGGGTTACTTGCATAAGTACTTGTAATTACGCTTGATTAGTCTTAATTTTCAATTAAGTCTGTAGTAGATTGTATTTGTTCAAATGATAAATCTGTAAGGCTGTAACTCCTTTGGTTTCACTATTTAATTTATGTTTTATTTTCTATTCATATAGGATGTTACTATCATGGAGTTACTTGCCTGAATTTTGATTTAACATGTATTAATTGCTTTTAAAGAAAAAAAATCATGGGTTAGAAATCCTAATATTTCTCCCGTTTCTCTCCTTTTTTTAAACAAAAAATATGCAGTTTTCTCGATCTCTCTAGATGCAAGCGAGCACTTTCGCATGTTATTTTGCATGGAGACCAATTCCATGAATAAGGACATGCCACATGGCTTATCTCTCCGGCGCTTAATTTGCACATATTTCATGTTATAAGATAAGCTAACTCCAAATTTTGCATGAAAGGAATACAATGTGTCAAAAAAAAGGGAAAACGAGGAGAAATTACAATGGCGTCCTGACCCACCTCAGCAAAAGCAGCACTACTGTGACTCGCTGATTTGGAATTTTTAGGGCCTGAAACATGTTATAGCCAATTGTTTTTGCTGTTCTAATTTCGGATATATCACGGCTGACAGATAACTACACCAAAGAGCGAGTGCAGTGATGTATCTTTGCGCTACGGTTCCCATCATACCACCATGCCGGAGGCTCACACGGGTCATGAGAAATTTGAGCAAACGATGGAAGAAATCAGTGAAAACTGAAAACTGGAAGGAAGGGGGTAAGTTGGAAGAGAAATTGAGTGGTGGTTTTTTTTTTACCTATTGAGTTGTAGAGGGGAGAGTGAAAATACATGTGACTTGTAGAGGGTTATTTGGACTTTTCCCATAAAAATTAAGCTTAAGAAATTTTATTATAGTTAACTCCAAATTTGGTTGTAAATTACAAATATGCCCTCGTAACCAATTGTTGTACTAAAACACATGAATCTGAAATAATCATATAGCTCTAAGCTTAATCTGCGCACCATGCATCGGGCGTAAAGTTACCATACTATATGGTGCATGAGTATACGACGGCATGAGCTCAAGCTTGAAGCACTGTAAGATCATACACAATGCCATCTTGGCCTCAAGCAATGCGAAGTTTTGACCTATGCAAATACGTGGCCCCCAACCGAATGGGAGGAACGCGCCCGGATTCTTGGATGCCTTGGAGATCCCCTCAACGAACCTATCTGGCTTAAACTCGTGGGCATCACTCCCCCAGATGTTTGGGTCATGGTGTATGAGTAACACCGGGAGCTCGACAATCACACCAGCCGGGTAAGTGACACCTCCGATCTCCATTTGCTTGTATGTCTTTCGAGTGAAGGTTACGGCTGGTGGGTACAACCGAAGAACCTCATAGAGGATCATTGTCACCTACACAATGCACATATAAGTGAGTTTTAGTACTACTTCTAGCTGCAAATTGTTTAAGTCATCTCATGAGAACGAAGTGGTATTGTCGAATTCTACAATATACTCACGATTTTCAGGCGGCTCAGGCCTTCGTATTCAGGTTTGTTTTTCCCGAATAGTCCAAGGATCTCTTCCCTTGCACGGTCTTGCCACTCTGGGTGCATGCTTAGGAGCAGGATAGTCCAGGTGAGTAGCACTGACGTTGTCTCCATTCCCGCGAAGTAGAACAACTTGCACTCCTCGATGACCTCCTCGATTGTCAATCCATGGTTTGATTGGCCATCCTCTTCCGTGTGTCTCATGTTTGACTCAAGCAACAAACCCAGTAGATCATCTTTGGTGCATTCACCTTCTTTCATAGCTTGCATTCTTTTGTCAACTAGACCCCGTAAAATCGAATCGGTCTCTTTCTTTATTTGATGCATCTTCCGGTTGTTTTTAGTAGGCAAGGACCTGAGATGAAGAATATATCCCAACACAATCATAAACAGGGAGAATCATCAAAAAGAAGATGACCAAACTAACCCTCAACTCATACTAAATTATTCGGTATATTAAGTGCTGAATTCTCACATGTAACCAGGAATGACAATCTTCTGCATGCATTTCAGGAGACGCTCAGTTTGCTCGGCCTGCAGCTGGAAGATCCTTCTTCCTTCAAGATAGCTACTTCCGAATGCAGTGCGAGAAATGACATCTCCGGTGAGGATCTGCATCTCCGGCCAGACATCCACTTCGTACGAGCCGTCAGAACCAAGGGACTCCATCCACTTACTGACCAGCTCCTCACAGCATGCAGAAAATGCCGGAAGCATGAGCTGCAGAGTATCATTCGTACATTATATTCCAATGCAGAGAGGTGCAGAAAAACAGAAAAAATAAATCTATCTAATACTACTAGTAAAAATAGTCTGGGTAGGTACCTTGAGTTTCTCGAGATGGAAAGCCGGGTTAAGGATCCTCCTGTGCTTGACCCACTTCTCGCCTTCGTGGTTGGCGAGGCTATCCGAAAACAGCTTCGTCAGAGTCGGGAACTTGGGCTTCTCAAAGTGGCCGAACTTGTTGGACAGGACGCCCTTGGCCAGGTCGGGGTCGGTGATTGTCACCTTCGGCGTCGGGCCGAACCAGGTGAAGCACGCGCTGCCGTGCTCCCTGACGGCGTTGTGGAGGAACGGCGCGACGCGCGGCGCGATGTCGTGGCACCGCAGCGGCAGCGGCCTCGCCCAGGCCTCCCTGTTCAGCCGCCCGTGCTCCCCGAGGTCGCCGGTGAGGAAGCGGTAGCGCGTGCCGCGGAGGCCCTGCGCGCGCAGCGCCAGCTCCAGACGCCGCGGCCGCCACCACAGGCTGTGCAGCAGGCGGCCGGCCTGCCACAGGAGCACCAGGCCCAGGACACCGTACGCCAGGAGGCTCCATGGCACGGAGGCTGGACTCATCAACCAGGCTCCAAGAACCATTGCTGGAGTCAGTCTATGAGTGCAAGTGAGTGGAGTGAAAAGGAGTTGATGCAAGTGTGCTTTGACTACTGGAGGTGGATATGGTATGTACGGTGCTGGGGGTGAGGTTAAATAGAGGTGTCACTTGCTTGACGGGGCCAATCAGCATTGCTAGCATAGCATCGATCCTAGGAGGTACCTTGCTGGTAAGGAACTTGGTTGAGAAGAAATTCCAGGGGGAACTGATACTCTGATTGGTCAAAGTCCTCTCGGATGGGCGACGCACTGGACGGCTACCCGCCATGTGAGGAGTGCTTCGCGGCTGCTTCGTTTTGCTTGATTTTTATTTTTCGAGTGGTCGTTTTGCTTGATTAGTGGTTACTGCTACGCATTGGAGAAAAACGAATATGCGGTGAACAGTGATAATTCGAATAGGGATATTTTCTCCCAAATACGAATACGAATATGATATCAGGGTTTCCGACGGGTACGGATATCCGGTGAACAGTGCTATTTAGATATCCGCTAAAGCCATAAGATATACCACATTTCTTTATAACTCTATGTCTTTCAATGTACATTTTTAGAATTTAGTAGTAACATATCTCTTAACACTAGTCAACACTATTAATATTATTTAAACTTTTAAATATGTTTATAAATTATACTATATTTTATATAAAACGAGCTAATTATATATGATGATATTCGTTTCTATTAGAAGTTGAGGTGGTTTTCGTGTTTTGATAAAAAAATATTGCCATATTCATATCTGATTATATTCGATCCTTATTCGTATTTGAGATAATTTGTATTTGTTTCTGTATCCAAGCCATTCGTATTCGTTTTTACACCCGGCAAAAAATATGAAAGCGAATATGGTATGATAATTGTTCGTCCATATCTGCTCTGTTTTTATCCCTGGTTACTATTGTGAACTGAGTCTAATATGACTTGGGCCGCTTGAAAATGGGCCACAGGCCATATGCAGGTAGTCCAACCAGAATTTTGGAGTCCTTGGCTACTACCTCCATCGCATAATGGATTAGGTTGTTTTAGAGAAAGAAAAAAAAAGGAAAAGACTATTATGTCCATAATTAAATGAGGAGTATTTGAAAAGTGGGAGGTAGGTTGGGGTAAAGTGTGGAGAAATTTGAATGAGAGTTGTTGGAGGGAAAAGTAATACTACTTAGGGAAAACATTTGGTAAAGTTGACAAGTGTTAAGCTATGGGGGTTGTTCACTTTGATGCTTAAATCAATATTTACTAAGTTTTTGTGAAAGGAAGATTCTAGAATTATCAAAGTTTAATAGTGGAGGCAAGTTTTTGGTAATGTTTGGATTGTTAACTTGTAAAATTTTGGTAAAGCCAAAACTTGGTAAGGTTTATTTTGGCAATAAACTAAACATCCCCTATGTTTTGTTTCTTTTGTCATGTTTTTGAGGAAGATTATAGAATTACCAAACTTTGGTAGTGGAGGTAAGTTTTGGCAATGTTTGGATTGTTACCTTCCTAAATTTTGAGAAAGCTAAAACTTGGTATGGTTAATTTTGGCTATAAAGTGAACATACCCTTAATCTCTTACATTTTGTGACAAAAATTTGAATTTGAATACCCCAATTCTTTATATTATATTATGAACGGAGGTAGTATAGTGGAGTAATGTGTATACCTGGACTAATTGCTCGCTGAGGAAATGCTCACATAATCACATTAGGGGAAAAAAACATACCCGTCCATCTAGCATATACTCCATCTGTCTCATACAATAGGACATTTTGACTTTTTTAAGTCGATTTTTTAAAATTTGATCAAGTTTAAGGAAAAATATAATAACATTCTCAACATCAAACAAACATATAATATCAAAATATATGTTAGATTCAATGAAACTAATTAAATATTGTAGATGTTGTTAAACTTTTCTATAAACTTAATTAGTCAAACTAAAAGAAGTTTGACAAGGAAAAAATCCAAGTGTAAAACGGAGAGGTATATACCAAGTCATAATGAACGGCAGAGATATAAAATGTGAGTTCCTTGTAAACTATCAAGTAGAATAAAAATTACAAATTCACAACAGGAACAAATAGTAGTAACTTGCCACCTACTTTTTCAAACTCCAATACAATAATTACTCTAAAGTTGAAGTCTTTATAAGAAAAACGAATTGGATAAAGATAAAATTATTTTGAGACAATGGAGTACCGACCAACTTCAGTAAATACAACAAAAGTTGGAAGGAAACATAGAAGATTAAAACAATATTTTTTGTGCAAATTCTAACTACATATCGAGTACAATAGGTTGAATCATTGAATGACACCACATTACCACATCGATGATACTTCACCTAAATTATCTCTAAATTTGGGTTTAGAATAAAAGGAGAATTGTTTAGAAGTTGTCAATCGAAAATCAGTTAGGCCATAATTGAGAGGTTATGAAACAAACCCTTTTTTAGATTAATGTTTTATATGTCCTGTCCTGGAATAGATACTAGGAGGTGTCACAAATGAGTTTGAAAAAAGTTTAAGATTGAAATATGTGATACAATCTCAGGGATTGCAAAATAACCCGAGTGATTAAGTGTACGATTGCATAATAAAACAAAAGAACCAAAATTTGCAAAAATAAAATAAAATTTTGTTGTATATCCTCAACAAACGTAAAAATAAGTGGAGTGATTAAGTGTACAATCGCAAACATATATTCAATTGGCTTTCTCTAGCTCTATAAATTTTCACCTCACCATATTCAATTATTTGTTTGCTTTATTTTTCACGCTCATCAGCACGTACAAGTTCCCCTGACATCCACACATACTATACCGTGTCAACATACGTGCACCTAGTTACATACTAATGTATGTGATTATTGTGAACCATTTTTCTGTGTCGATCCATATATTAGCCTATGGAAAATCGAAAATGACATATATATATATAAGCGGATTCACGGGTGGCCGCTGCTACCAAAACCAGATGATCATAGTCTTGTGAGTATAATTTGTGCACCATGCTGCGGATGTAGCGTGACACTGGCGTAAGGAGCATGGGTGTACGAGGGCGACAACTGAAACTCAAAGTTCTGAAGTATCACGCATAACGCCATCTTGGCCTCAAGCATCGCGAAGTTCTGGCCAATGCAGATCCTCGGGCCCCAACCGAACGGGAAGAACGCCTGCTGATTGGTCTTGGTCGCCTTGGAGATCCCATCCGCGAACCTCTCTGGCTTAAACTCATGGGCATCCTTCCCCCACACATCGGTGTTGTGGTGAATCAGGATTATGGGCAGCTCAAGGCCCACACCAGCCGGGTACGTGATGCCCCCAATCTGAATCTCCTTGAATGTTCTTCGGCTCAACGTGACCGCCGGCGGGTACAGCCTGAGCACCTCATGCAGTATCATCGTCACCTGCAAAAGATAAACAGAGTATCTAGGCATCGTGAGCAAGTTAACATGTGTACTACCACTTGTGATCAAATATGGATGAAGAAATATGTTCAGGTTTTGACAAGCACTTGCCGTTTTCAGTCGGCTCAAGCCGTCGAAGTTGGGTTTGTCGCGGCCGAACGCGCTCAAGACCTCTTCCCTGGCGCGGTGCTGCCATTCGGGGTGCATGGATAGCACGACGAGCGTCCAGGTGAGCAGCACCGACGTGGTCTCCATGCCGGCGAAGTAGAACAGCTTGCACTCCTCGATCACGTCCTCCGTGCTCATCCTCAGGTTGGACGGCTCACCGCTGTCCATGTTGGACTTGAGCATCAGCCCGAGCAGGTCGTCGCCGCTGAGCTCGCCGTTCTCGACGGCGCGGCTCCTCTTCTCGATGATGCCCCTCAGGAGCCCTTCTATCTCTCGGCTGTTCTCCTTCATCCTCCTGTTGTTTTCAGTTGGAAAGTACCTGCATGACACAGGAACAGGATAGCAACAACTAATGTCAGAGATACAGACATACGTATACTGTACGATGACAAGTGACACACAGGGGACGGGAGCATTGGTTAATTAAGCTGGTTCTCACAAGTAGCCTGGGATGTAGATATACTGGATGGTCTTGATGATTCGATCAGCTTGCTCTTCCTGCAGCTGGAAGATCCTTCGCCCTTCCATGAAGCTGCTGCCGAACGCCGTCCGGGAGATCACGTCTCCGGTGAGGTTCTGAAACTCCTGCCAGATGTCTAGCTCGAACGGTCCATCAGAGCCAGCTAGTTTACTGTCCCAACGGTCGATCATCTCGCTGCAGCACGTCGAGAAAGCCGGCAACATGTGCTGAAAACATCAAATTCAGTTCAGTAAGCATACACGCACACACACAGGTATTGAGGTATAAATCACTCCCTGCTAGCTTGTAACAACTAACATATACAGTATGTACCTTGAGCTTTTCGAGATGGAAAGCAGGGTTCAGGATCCTCCTGTGCCTCGCCCATTTCTCGCCTTCGTAGCTCGCGAGCCCGAGGGCGATCAATTTCCCGAGACTTTTGAGGGTGAATTTCTCGAAGTGGCCAAACTTGTTGGATAGGATGTCCTTCACTAGCTCTGGCTCAGCGATGACCACTCTCGGCGTTGTGCCGAACCAGGTGATGCACACGTTGCCTACATTCAGTTCAGTGTTCTGTGCCGTCAGATAGAGCTCGATGAACAGCGTAAACTGAACATAACAGCACGCGCATACTTTCTGAAGTATATATGAACTTGTGTTCACTATTCACGAAACTGGAAAAGTCATAGCAATAGAGGCATGCATGGAGGCATGTCAAGATGGATTCTAATAGCTCGAGTGGACGTCCACCCGTTTATTGCATGTCAACTAGATGGCTACGAAAAGTTTTCAAAACAATTGAGAAGATAGATCAATATGTAATATATCAATCCACAAACATGCAAGTTCAAATTTAACTTCTACAAATTATAACAAAAATAACAAAATGTAGAAGTTGAATTTTAACTTGCATGTTTGTGAATTGATATATTACACATTGATATATCTTATTTATATTTTTTTAATTTTTTTATAACTATTTAGATGATATGCAATAAACGGGTGGACGTCCACTCGATCTGTTAAAACAGTTTCCCTTATGCATGGAGCTTACCGTACTCCTTGACGATGTCCTGAAGGAGCGGGGCCACCCGGGGGACAATGTCGTGGCACGGCGGCATGGGCTTAGCCCGCGCCTCCTTGCTGCGCCGGGCGTTCTCCGGTAGGTCGCCGGCGGGGAACCGGTACGCGGTGCCGCGGAGCCCCTGCCCCTGGAGCGCGCCGGCGACCCGCCGCGGCCCCAGCCAGCACCTCTCCGCCGCCCGGTAGAGCGCGCCTAGCACGAGCAGGGCCGGGACGCCGTAGTAGAGCATGCCCCACGGCGCCGCCGCCGGCTTACCTGCTTCCAGTGAGACTCCCACCTCCATTCCCGTGGCCTCCTCCATTATTACCGGTTCCCTAGCTAGTTGGCTGACTTGTTGAGACTGCGACCACAGCTGCCAAGAGCGCGCAGTGAGTGGTTTCTGTTGGTACGAGTGGCAGACGCGCGAGCGTTTTATAGGCATACGCTTTGCTTGGCGTCACATGTTTTTCTCCGTCTTTGTGAGGTTTCTTGGCGGCCACGGTCATACATACGTGCCTGGATTTTTTTTCAGCTAGCGCGATTGCATCGACAAAGTGTGGCAGATAGCCAGTGTGTGATTTGCTAGTTAGTTGTTTGCTAACTTGCTGCAGAAGCTGCTAGCATTTTGGATTTTTGGTGCTGTAAAGTTAGTAAATAAATGTGGATTTGTTGCTTTCGTTCCTCTGGAGTAAATAAAACGGCCGGAGAGCTCAAAGATGTTCTGACTCTAGCTAGAGTGTACGACATCCTGACGTGCGCAGAAACGTAGGCAGTGCCGGGTAACGGACCGGGGCCCAACGTCCCAGTCCATTACTTTTTTGGCCCATCCGGAGTCCTGTCCTCCTGCCCCTTTAGGCACTGGAATAAGTTCATTTGAGGTCCCTTAATTTGATAACGAGTTTGATTTTCATCCGTCAACCATAATACCAGATACAACGGGTCCCTCAAGTGTCAAAAAGGATACAAACAAGGTCTCTCAATAGTTTGGATAGCGGTTTTGGCTGCCGTGGCACCTACGTGGCTGGTTTCACTTAGTCCTCGTCCTACGTGGTGGTAATGTGGCATTGGAAGCAAAATATAAAAATTAAAACAAGAAATGTGGGGCATATATGTAAGTTAGACAAAAGATAAAAAATAGTGGGACCTCTCTCTCTCCACGGACGAGCATGCACAGAGGCCCAGAGAGGGTGAAGGGTGGCGGTCGATGTGCCGAAGCCAGCCGAGCGCGTGGATAGGGAGGAGGCAGGGAGGCCAAGCGAGTGGGCAGGGGAGGGAGGAGGTTGGCGAGGGGGGGGAGGCTGAGAGAGGTAGGAGTAACCGCCACCGCCCTTCTCAACCTGGCGCCGCTTTCTTGAGTGGCACTTGCAACCCAATGGCAGCCTCTTCCTCGAGAGGTTTAACGCGATGCCAGAGTCATTGGAGTCATCCTTGATGCTCCCACCAATGGCCTGATGATGACCCATGTGCCCCACCGCCTGCTCACCGAGATTGATGGCTGGAGGCTGCGGTCGTGGAGGAGTCCGACCTCGCTGGCCTTCTTCCTCCCCTGCCCTCTCGCCGACCTCCCCTCCTCCTCCCTCTCCACACACTTGGCTAGCTTCGGCTTGCCAGCGGAGAGAGAAGGACGGCGGTCGGCGGAGGGGCGGCGGCCAGCCCTTCTCGCTGTTGAGGTCGCCCCAAGTGAAGGGGAGCGGGAAGGGCAAGCACGCGGCGAGGTGTGGAAGGGGGCTTAGGTTTCAGTCCTCCGGCGGCTAGCGTCGCCCTCGTAGCGAGGTATGTCGCGACGCACGATGGCCGCCACCCCCACCCTCTCCGGCTCTCTGCGCGCGCTCGCCTGTGGAGGTAGAGAGGAGGGTGGAACCATAGGTACCACTATTTTTTTATATTTTGTTTGACTGACATGTGGGCCCCTTTGTTTTTAATTTTTATATTTTGCTTCTAGTGCTACATCATCGCCACGTAGGACGAGGACCAACTCAAACCAGCCACATAGATGTCACGTCAGCTAAAATCGCCATCCACACTACCGAGGGACCTTGTCTGCATTGGTTTTGACAATTGAGGGGCCCGTTGTATTTGGTATTTGCGGTGCAGTAACGAAAATCAAACTCGTTATCAAGTTAAGGGACCTCAGATGAACTTATTTCTATGTTGAACCTTTCCGCTGGCCCGTGAACTGGGAAGTAGATAGGCCTACTAGACTGTTTCACCTTAGGTATGTATTTTAGCCCGACCCATCTCTCTGTTTCACTTACTAATTCCAGTTCACTGAGGCATTGCGTTTGCATAGCATAGCATCAGGGAGAACCTGTATAGTAGAAAAAAAATTGTCACTGTAGTATAGATTCACGGCGATTTGCAATTTGATTTGCATTTTATATAAACATAACTGTGTTTTTATGCTTACAGTTATTATAGTATGCTTGTTGGGGTATATTGGTAAATAATCGCATAAAAAACTAAACTTTTAATTCTAAGTCATAAGATCCATTGTTTTACCCACGCATGAAATAAACAAACAAGTATATCTTTTTTTCTCTAATGGAGGGACGAACAGTATGTACTAGTTACACATGTTAATATAGTGGTTACAAAAATGTTTGACAGATAAAAATAATCACTCATTCATAAGGCACGTACGTAGATGGTCCGAAGTCCCAACTTAACCTCTAATTGTTTTTTTCCCAGAGGAAAACCTTTCCTAATTCTATTACCAGAAATGACGTTTATAACAAAGTCAACATATCCCAACTTACCTTTCAAAAAAAAAAATTTATCCCAACTCATGATAGTTACATTTAAAGTGGGCGAGCCCCAGACATATTCTGAGCTCACACAAACAATAATTCAACACCACATGGTGGGTGCCCCTTCCTTGATTTTCTTCTCCACCAAGTTCCTTCTGATCAAGGTTTAGACCGCCCAAGGCTTTGACCAATAATACACTATCAGAGGCAACCAAGAAAGCTAGCAAGCAACTTCCTTGATTAACATCGATAACCTTAAACAAATGAGCACACGAAGACCAACTGTCCCAGCGACACTCCTATATAATCGGATTCGAATGCGCTGAATTCACATGTACACAACACCGTATACTGTCCCTTCCGGTCAAAGTACACTGCCCGCTGACAGTGACCAGAGATTCTACTCCAGCTTGCTACTCATTTTCGAGGGTGTTGATCATGGATCCGACCTCGGTGCCATGGAGCTCCATGGTGTACGGTCTCCTGGGGCTCGCGCTTCTGTGGCAGGTCCACCGGCTGCTGGTGCGGCTGTGGTGGCAGCCGCGGCGGCTGGAGCGGGCGCTGCGGGCGCAGGGCGTCCGTGGCACGTCCTACCGCTTCCTCACCGGCGACCTCAAGGACTACGGCCGGCTGAGCAAGGAGGCATGGGCGAGGCCGCTGCCGCTGCGGTGCCACGACATCGCGCCGCGCGTGGCGCCGTTCGTGCACCGGACCATCGCGGAGCACGGCAAGGCGTGCCTCTCCTGGTTCGGCCCCATCCCCAAGGTGACCATCGCCGACGCCGAGATAGCCAAGGACGTGCTGTCCAACAAGATGGGCCACTTCGAGAAGCTCAAGTTCCCCGTGCTGTCGAAGCTGCTCGCCGACGGCGTGGCCAACTACGAGGGCGAGAAGTGGGCCAAGCACCGGCGGATCCTCAACCCTGCCTTCCATCTCGAGAAGCTCAAGGTACACGAATTAAATTACAGTACAGTTTTGTGATATCTATATATTACAGCACAAGTATTTACCGTGATAGACTGTGTGACTGTTTCCTTGAGTAATGTATCATGTATGCTTCTGCAGCTCATGCTGCCGGCGTTTTCTGCGTGCTGCGAAGAACTGGTCGGCAGATGGGCGGCGTCTCTTGGTTCTGACGGTTCGAATGAGATCGATGTTTGGCCGGAGATGCAGAGCCTCACCGGAGATGTCATTTCTCGCACCGCATTCGGCAGCAGCTACCTTGAAGGAAGAAGGATTTTCCAGTTGCAGGCTGAGCAACAGGAGCTTTTCATGGGTGCCATTCAGAAGATCTCCATTCCAGGCTACATGTGAGTTTGTTTTTCTCTGTTCATCAACACTGATTTAGTGGTTTATGCTCCACGCCTCTATTGTAACACTAACCAGACCTTACAGTTATACATAATTTCTATCGAAATTAAATGTTTGTTATTCAGTACTCGTAGTTCCTCTCTGTACTGAAAATCTGAAGCGGTGTGCCCTTTCAGGTCCTTGCCTACCAAAAACAACCGAAGGATGTATCAAATTAAGAACGAGGTTGAATCAATTATACGAGATCTGGTCCAGAAAAGGATGCATGCTATGAAAGATGGCGAGAGAACCAAAGATGATTTGCTCGGGATATTACTAGAGTCAAGCACGAGGCATGCAGACGAGAATGGACATTCAGGCCCGGGGATGACCATCGAAGAAGTGATGGAAGAGTGCAAAGTGTTCTATTTTGCAGGGATGGAGACGACAGCGATACTCCTCACATGGACCATGGTTGTGCTAAGCATGCACCCAGAATGGCAGCACCGTGCAAGGGAGGAGGTCCTAAGCCTATTTCAGAAAAACAAACTTGATTATGAAGGCCTGAGCAAACTCAAAACGTGAGTAATAAATGTTGAAATTAAGTAACTTTTTTAGGAAATCCATGTTTAAGTTATCTTTTAGATGTAGAGATGATATTGAAATTACTAAATCACATGGCAACTAGAGGTAATTAACCTTTGGTACATACAGGTGACGATGATACTTTACGAGGTTCTCCGCTTGTACCCGCCGGGAATTGGGTTTGTCCGGCAAACATACAAGGAGATGGAGATCGGTGGCGTCAAGTACCCTGCAGGCGTGATGATCGAGCTACCGTTGTTGTTCATCCACCATGACCCAGACATCTGGGGGAGCGATGTGAACGAGTTCAAACCGGAGAGGTTCGCCGAGGGGATCTCCAGGGCGTCCAACGATCATGGCGCGTTCTTCCCGTTTGGCTGGGGCCCGAGGATCTGCATGGGCCAGAACTTCGCGCTGCTCGAGGCCAAGATGGCGCTGTGTATGATTCTCCAGCGCTTCGAGTTCGAGCTAGCGCCGTCTTACACTCACGCTCCCCATATTGTGTTGATGCTGCGTCCGATGCATGGGGCACCAATTAAGCTTAGGGCAATCTGATCGTCGATCTTGTGATGTTCATATCATGCATTGTAGGCTTTTTTTTTAAAAAAAATGGCATGTTTGGTTTATACCAATCAACCATGCCACCAAAAAATAATTTAGCCATATCAATAAATTAATTCTCCATTTAGTTTGTAAAGAAAAGGTATTGTCAAATATTTGGTTTGATTGAATCGACACTTTAAAAATATAGCAAAACGAATATTTTGCAACTTCATCAAAATTGTACTACCTCCATTCCAGGTTATAAGACTTTCTAGCATATGTGAATGTGGGCAATACCAGAAAGTCTTATAATATTAAACAGATGAAGTATAAATTTTATAGTAAACTAATAATAGCGTGACCAATCTTAATAAAATTCCGAAAACAATCCCAAATAGGGGCGGACCCAGAGAGGTTCCCGGTATGCACCGGCATACCCAAAAATCGCAAAAAAAAAAAAATCAGCAGGTAGTATATGCATCAGTGGGCTGAAACTTGCCTCCATGAACCAAGGCCCAAGATGCCCACTTTTACTGAACTTGCACAGCCCATCAAAAGTGCCAGTGCGCGTGATGCGTTGATGGGGAACTCTAGTCTAAATCTAATCGATTATCTCTTCAGGATAGAAATTTCTAGTAAGGTGAGCCATGGTTGATGACTTGGCTTATCGGTTCCGATTTGTATTGTCTTGTATTGACACCTCAATAGGCTTATGATGGCTTGCCTTGGTTACCCTCCCTCCTAGGAAGTGTTGATTCTAGGGTTGTCTTGTCCAAAAAGAATTAGAGGCCCATTTAGGATATTGTCTTGAGTAGTCCTAAGCTGGCTTTTGAGTTAGTTGTGTATATCCACTTATGGATATAGATGCTAAATTTCTATCCACTATCTTAAAAAAGTCGGCTTCGGGTTGGAAGTCTTCTTTTCTTGTTGGAAACTCCTTCATTATCTGCTTAAGACTATATCCCTATTTTGGGGCTTTTTCCATATAGAACCTAGTATGCAATAGTCCAAATGAGATATTTTCACACCTTTGAGGTACTCAATATTTCGTACATTAATAGGAACAATCATCACAATACATGAACAAAGTCATTAACATCCCAACTACTCAAGGAATAGAATGAATTCAACTCTAATTCCCTATCCATTCCTAACTATATCAAGTTGAGTCTATGAGAACTATCATGGTAAACAATTGCGAGGCACGAGACACCCTCACCTATGTTGAGCGGTGTCGCCCTTAGCTCCACGTTGCTTGCACCCGAGCGTCACCTCCTTCGCCTCCCTACCACACCGACACTGGTACCCAACGCCTTCCTCGACCACCTCAGGTCCCCTCGTTGTCTGAACCCCTACGAGTCTCTGATCGGGTTTTAGGGACCCAGCGGGGCCAAGGCCTATTTTTGCCCTTTCTCATTTCAGTTCTAGGCGGCAGCTCCGTTCTTATCCAACTGTCATCGGCTCCACCTGTTGCCAATCCCAGTTAGCACAGATAAAAACTAAATAAACACATTATCTTCTTTCGTATTCCCTCCATCTCAAAATAAAACAACATAAGATAATATGGGACATAATCTAGTATAATGAATTTAAACATATGCATATGTATGTCTAAATTTGTTGTGGTAGGTTATGTCCTGTTCTATTCTAGATTATTTTATTTTAGGATGGAGATAGTATAAGGCCCAAAGATATCAATATCTTGTATTGCAGACCATTTAGCCCACGGCTTGGACAGCCCATTACCTGGCATTGCTTCTAGAACGTCTAATTACGCCTAGCTTCTAGAATGTATAATTGCATTATTGTGGGGTAATCCAAATCAATGCGGTTCTCCGATGGAGCAGAGCCATACAGTAGTTAGCACGAATGGCGTCTCATGAATACGCTCCCTAAAATGTACCAGGGTGGCAGGGTGCCCATCCATGCGTCACTCCATTGCTGCACAAGCGCCGATTCCCCGCTGTCCGGCGGCTGCATGTCTGCATGTGCGTAGGGATGAAAATGGTTTAGAAAGTTTTAACATTCCGGACATATTTTCGAAAATGGAAGGTATTGGTCAAATTTTTTCGAAAACTTTCAGAAACAAAAACGAATTTAAATTTTTTTTCTCAGAAACAAAAACGAATATGATAAACTACTATCTTCGGAATCTGGAATCCGTTGGAAATATTCTGAAAACGAATTCGGATCTTTTCGGAGTAGTAAATGACAGTTGTTTGGCTTCAGCCTTCTCTGCTCTAGTGTTTACATTTACATTTATATATATTGTGTATTGAGGTGTTTAGTTAAATGGAGATATTTTTTTAGTCCAATGCTTTAGAATTTTTTTGCCTAATGAATATTTTTATTAGGTCATGACATACTACTTATAATTACAATTATAGATAAATATATTTCTTTTTCTCCAAAAAATTTTCTAAGAAAGTAAAGTGTACAACTAATTGTATTGCTATTAATTGATAAAAATTAGCAATATTGATTTATTGTTTTAGAAAAAAAAAAAGAGTTGCATTTCTTCGTTGATTTGAGAAGTTCTGTTTAAAGGATTTTTATATTTTGTTACCGTATTCACTCGTTTTCGTATTTGATGATACAGTATTTGATTATGTTTTCAAACTTTTGGTTTCCAATTCTAATTTCAATTCCAAAAAAAGAATGTGAAAAAGGGAAACGATGGAGATGATTTTCGTTCATTTTTGAGCCGTTTTCATCCTAGATGTGAGCACGTGACAATGTACACGGAAGGAGCCTCTTACGCAAGCGCTTGGGTCATCCTCTCAGCATTGTGGAACGCAGACTTGGAGCCTTCCCTACCTGACGTAATGCATGACACAAACCGCCCATTAAAGCGGAGTAGTATATATGATGCAGGCGAGCGATTCACTTGTTGACAGGGAGTGATTGTGTGAGGCTTTCAACTTGTGAGATTACTGGGTAATTGAAGCTGGCATTATTATATACTCCCTCCATTTCAAAATGTTTGACACAGTTGATTTTTTAAGCACATGTTTGACTGTTCACCTTATTAAAAAAATTGTGAAATATATAAAACTATATGTGTACATGAAAGTATATTTAACAATAAATCAAATGATATGAAAAGAATAAATAACTACTTAAATTTTTTTTTGAATAAGATGAATGGTCAAAGACGTACTAAAAATCAACGGTGTCAAACATTTTAAAACGGAGAGACTATTTCCTTGATTCTTTGCTTGGGCGAAAAGAACACGAGCATGCCATCTTCTCTTGAATAAAACGGGAGAGGACAAGCACGACTAGCACACGTACCAGCTGCGACGCTTTCATTTAATTTAAAGCCCTGACGATGTCATCGTCCGTTGATAGTTCCATTTAGCAAATCAGAGATCCACGTTTTCGAGGGGAAACTGGTAGTAGCCTAGGAGAAATCTTCGTGTGGTTGGCTCATTGGGGTGCATCGCTATCAGGCATAGCGCCTGGTGCCCTCGATCTTGTAGTAGTATTTTTCTCCGATCCACATCTTTACATGTCTCCGCGCGACTTGCACGATTGCGTCCGATTGAGTCTGGAAGAAGCGGCCGCCTGTATAGTATACTTAGAAAATCAGCGTGCCAGATGGCACATCAACCTATTTATAGCCCCATGTGTATTACACTTAAATTAATTATTTCTATCCATTTATTTAATTTTCTAGAAACACATATGATATCAACATGGTAATTAATAAAATATTTGTTTTGATTGCATATCTAGATATTTAAACCTCCAAGCAATGTTCTTGCTACTACTTACTTCTGTATTATTTTTCATAAAAAAACGTTATGCTTGAAAAATACTATCATGATGTTACAAATTTAAATTGATGATGAAAATTCGAAATTCTTTCTGTGGTATATGACGTACCCACTGACAGCAAGTTGACTTTATTTTTTGTTTGACATTACAAGTTGACTTCATTAATCTTCAAATATATCAGCTCATCGTTTTAGAGGTGCTCATAGGAAGGAATAAAGTGTATATATACGTGTGACCTTAATTAGTAGGGGTTAGTGTGGTGAGTGCTTGTGTGTTGTAATGTGTTTTCTAAAGAAAAAATTCAAAAAGTTTTACAACAACTTAATTTAAATGTTTGATATGTCATTTTTTACATGTAGGATGCACGCATTCTACAGACACATCATTGTGCGCGTGCATATTTTTTTTACACACGGCAAGAAAGAGATCAGATATAACCAAGCTTGTAATTGGACATGCACGCATTAGTCATGTACTTCCGTGCTAATGTAGGGCATGTTCATTTTGATGCCAAAATAAATTTTATCAAATTTTGGCAATATTTAAGTACATTTGCTAGATTTTTGTGAGTGAAAGATTTTAGAATTGTCGAACTTTAATAGGGGAGCTAAGTTTTGTCAGATTGTTATCTTGCTAAATTTTAGTCAAGCCAAAACATGGTTAGGTTAATTTGGTAATGAAGTGAAAAACCCTGTAGAATTAGCGTTTGGTGGAAACTCTTGTGCGCAGCGAGTATGATGTTGCAGCTCCATCACCCGAACCAGTGCTCAGTCACTTAATTAGGGTGTGTTCTATGCTCCATCTCCCTATCTTCTCATCTTATTTTTCATGTGCACGTTTCCCAAACTCATCTCATACTCTCTTATTTTTCACATGCACGTTTCCCGAACTGTTAAACCGTGCATTTTTTTAAAAAAAAGTTCTACAGAAAAGTAGTTGTAAAAAGTATTAATCCATTTTAAAGCTTTTTAGCTAATGATTAATTAATCATATGCTAATAAGTTATTCCGTTTCTCGTGTATGTGTCACTAACTTGTGGGGTTTATATCAGTATTAATATATTTTGTTTACAATGACATAATCAAATTAAATTTACAATGACATAATCAAATGACAAAAAGTTTATACTGTAATGTATTTCTAGGAGACTGATTCAATCTATGAAAATCTATAAAATTTTAGTCGACGAGATTCTTGGAAGGAAATCTAAGCAATTCAAAATTCATAATTAATACAATGAAGTGATTAAAAGAGAACATTTTCCTCTATTTTAGTTTTTCTAAAGAATCTAGAAACGGCTATATTTTGAAAAAAAAAGGACCGTCTCTGTTTTTTTTAAGTATATAACATGATTAACTATTTTTATCAAACCTCGACTAACAACATTTATTAATTACTTATAGTTAAATAAACATAAAAACACCACTAGATTTATCGTCAAAATAATTTAAGCATAACTAGTAGCATGTTTGTCTATTTCTTGAAGAGATGAATAAAAAAATCAACTGCGTTTCTAATAAACGCAATAGTAGTACAGTAGTAGTAGCAGCTCTTTTTTTCACCCTGAGAGGAAAAAAGGTTTGTAAGTACATACAGCCCGGATAAGTTTTCAATTATTTTTTTACTTTTTTACCTTTTATTTTAAAAGCAAAACTTCTAAAATTTATTTTCAAAGTCTGAACCTTTTGGTGGCGTTAGCTAGCTTGACGTGGTAAAATAACACTATTACGTAAACATAGCAACAACTATTATGTAAACATAGCAACAGTTTTATCCTCCCACACCAGCTAGGATAGCATGGCAAGACAACACTACCATGCCAGCAAGATCGGCTAATAAAATAACATTATCACACCATTCTGACATACATGACAATGTTGTTTTGTAAGGCAACCTAGCTAGTGTGACCAAAAGGTTCAGATTTTAAAAATAAGTCTTTAAAAAGTTTGTTTTAAAATAAAAAAAGACTTAAAAAAAGAAAAAAAAAGTTCTGTGGACCATTAGTTTGGCTCTCCGTAAAGCTACGGATTATAAGTTTTAACAATTTTGGATTTTTAGTTTTGATTTTAAAGAGTAACTTATCTTTTTTACTCTCTTTGTCTAAAAGAATAATTTTTTAAGCTTATCTAGGTACATAGTTAAAAAGTATTATGTTTAGGTTTAGTTAAAGATACTCTTTTAAACAGCAAAAGCAAGATAATGTTGGATGAAAAGTGGAGTAGATAAGAAAATTACATAATGAAGGATTGTAATAGGTAGGAAAGAGTATATTGGTGGAGCTGTTTATATTTTAGGACAAATCTTAAAGGTAAAAAATGTTATATTTTGATAATAACTTATACTGATATTGATTACTCCCTCCATCCCTAAATATAAAGGATTTTAATTAGATGTGACACATCCTAGTACAACGTCATATCTAACCTAAATCTTTTATATTTAGAGACGGAGGGAGTACAAAAATGGTGTTAATCCTTTTCTATGCACGAATGCTTTACTTAGAGCCTAAGCATCTTGATTTCGGCTCTATGCTTGATACTACTACGGAGAAAACAACGCATGTTTAAACTAGGGTTTGCAAAACTGTAGGATTATCATGCGGTTATCACCGTTATTATATGTAGTAACCTTATCAACTTCTGAAACCATAGTAAATCTGGCGGTAACCGTGTAGTCTAAAACAGTAAAACCTGGTGTAGACTCTAGTACCAGATGTCGTGGGAGATTTTTTTTTTCTTGTGTAATCTTGGAACGTGTCATCCCACCTATCCTACATATTTAAAGGCCACACATCACCGTCGAGATCATCAACAATATCGGCTATACGGTTTCGCGGATCACCTGTGGTCCTGTGCAGCCGTACCGTACGCCTCTGCTTTCCTCTCACCCCACCGCGCCACCGGCGAGCGGCCCGCGAGGGAGGAGGCGCTGCCGCCGCCTCTGCTGATGCTGATGATGCTAGGGGCGGCCTCCCAGTGGATCCTGGCCGCCGCCGCGGCGGCGGCCGTGGCGGCGCTGCTGTGGCTGGCCGTGTCGACGCTGGAGTGGGCCTGGTGGACGCCGCGGCGGCTGGAGCGCGCCCTCCGGGCGCAGGGCATCCGGGGCAACCGGTACCGCCTCTTCACCGGCGACGTGCCGGAGAACGTCCGGCTCAACCGGGAGGCCCGGAAGAAGCCGCTGCCGCTCGGCTGCCACGACATCATCCCGCGCGTGCTGCCGATGTTCAGCAAAGCCGTTGAGGAGCACGGTATAGTCCTCTCCCTCCAGCGAATTTCCAGTTTTAATACGAAACAGTACTGAGCTAACATCTGATGGTACATAAAAGGCTAATCGGAGTTGAGATCGTGCTTGCAGATTAGCTTCGGATTTTACCCTTTTAGGAAACAGTAAAGTTCTTCTAATTTTCAAAAAGAGATCTTACCGCTTCTTGTTCCAATATACTCCCTTCGTTTCGAAATGTTTGACACCGTTGACTTTTTAGCACATGTTTGACCGTTCGTCTTATTCAAAAATTTTTGTGAGATATGTAAAATTATATGCCTACATAAAAATATATTTAACAATGAATTAAATGATAGAAAAATAATTAATAATTACTTAAATTTTTTGAATAAGACGAACGGTCAAACATATGATAAAAAGTCAACGGCGTCAAACATTTCGAAACGGAGGGAGTATGTTCTTAATATTTTGGGGGAAAAACATTTGAAGTTGATGTAAAACAAAATGTTGAGGATGTATGTTCATGTGGAATAATCATGTGCATATGGTTGACAAGAGCTACTGTCTAATTGGAATGTGCGCTTTGATTAAGATTGTCACCTACACATGTTGGGTATAGTTTTCAGTCTCCTTGCACCTTTTAATGGGATTGAAAACGTAACTGCAGGGAAACCATCATTCACTTGGTTTGGCCCAACGCCAAGAGTGATGATTTCAGACCCTGAATCAATAAGGGAAGTTATGTCTAATAAGTTTGGCCACTATGGCAAACCAAAGCCTACCCGTCTCGGAAAGTTGCTAGCCTCCGGAGTTGTAAGCTATGAAGGCGAGAAATGGGCAAAGCACCGGAGAATTCTGAATCCTGCCTTTCACCACGAGAAAATAAAGGTGAAATTCATTTTATCACTTTTAGATTGCAGCATTCCATATTTCTTATTGGGTAATGTACCAAAGTTGGCTAACAATGTTGTCTCGTTCACAGCGGATGCTGCCAGTTTTTTCTAACTGCTGCACGGAAATGGTTACAAGATGGGAGAATTCAATGTCTATTGAAGGAATGTCAGAGGTAGATGTTTGGCCTGAGTTCCAAAATCTTACAGGAGATGTCATATCAAAGACAGCATTCGGTAGCAGCTATGAGGAAGGAAGGAGAATTTTTCAGCTGCAAGCAGAGTCAGCCGAACGCATAATACAAGCCTTTCGGACAATTTTTATACCAGGATATTGGTTTGTTCTTTCTTCTTACACTATAAAAGAAATCATTTGGACATGCATATCAAATATCTTACGAACAATCCTATGAGTTATATAATATCTTTATTTAGTACTTATGTGATATATTACAGTTGCCGAAAACCGTTGTCAAAAATGCCCCTCTGAGGATTGTGAAATTAAAGTATAACCTTCAGTCATGTTTTTAGATACAGGGGAAAACAATAATATGCTGAAAAATCATTCAGAATATGGCAGTCATTGCCAGTTGACATGTGAGCCAAGAGTCAGACAAAAAGATATATTCGATCTTTGGTTTAGAAGAAAATTTTGCAGTCTGAGCACATGCAAGTTTTCAGATAATAGAAAACACACACTGATGAGAACAAAATGCAGTTTTTCATTTCTTTTGTTTGATGAATTAGTTCTTTAACAGTCCTTTTATAAATGTATCAATGGTACGACAATTATGACTTGGAATATACCAAAATATGGTACATCCTCTAAGTACTTCGGTACTACTTCGGAAGGTAGAACTAATAATACATATCAGTGCAATTTGAATGATTGCAAGAAGAGTCTACGTATACATTTTTTTAGACTAAGCTAAATTTATACAGTAGCAATTGAGAGTTTACTCTTGCATGATTGAAAATTTTACAGGTTCTTACCAACTAAAAACAACAGAAGGTTGAGAGAAATTGAAAGAGAGGTCAGCAAACTTCTACGAGGAATAATTGGAAAGAGAGAGCGGGCTATTAAAAATGGTGAAACCAGTAATGGTGACTTGTTGGGCTTATTGGTGGAGTCAAATATGAGGGAGTCAAATGGGAAAGCAGAACTAGGAATGACTACGGACGAAATTATTGAGGAATGCAAGCTATTTTATTTTGCAGGAATGGAGACAACATCAGTATTGCTCACTTGGACATTAATTGTGCTAAGTATGCACCCAGAGTGGCAAGAGCGAGCAAGAGAAGAAGTGCTACACCACTTTGGAAGAACCACACCAGACTATGATAGCTTAAGTCGTCTGAAGATTGTAAGTATAAGATGAACACTGTTCTCTTATTTTGCCAAATATGCAAAATGCAGTCTATTAATTAAGACACTAAGTTTGTACTGGATTTGTTTTGATCAGTTACTTATATAAAATCTGAAAATATTGCGTTGAAATGATAACTATTTGTCACCAAAAGTAACAGGAGCTTATGCCATGTATTTTCCATATGCTTCTAGAATGTTTTTTTTTTCCATACAGTTCAGATGATGTTATTTTAAAGCTTTATCAGTTATCACCGGTAATAAAATTGAGGGGGGTTGAATTGCCAATATATGTAAGTGAATAAAAGATTCTGATTGTTAGATTAAGCAAGGATTTATTTGAAGCAAATGCGTTTTAATTTCAGATTAATTAACAACAGTCATGATCTCTGTTTTGTTACTGCAGGTAACAATGATTCTGTACGAGGTTCTTAGGTTGTATCCGCCAGTGGTGTTCTTGACCAGACGAACATACAAGGAAATGGAGCTCGGCGGCATCAAATATCCCGCTGAAGTGACCCTTATGTTGCCCATTTTATTTATTCACCATGATCCCGATATTTGGGGAAAAGATGCAGGTGAATTCAATCCAGGGAGGTTTGCTGATGGCATCTCCAACGCAACGAAGTATCAGACCTCTTTCTTTCCATTTGGATGGGGTCCCCGAATCTGCATCGGCCAGAACTTTGCACTATTGGAAGCCAAGATGGCTATCTGTACAATCCTTCAGCGGTTCTCCTTTGAGCTTTCACCATCGTACATCCACGCACCATTCACTGTGATAACTCTCCACCCACAGCATGGTGCACAAATTAAGCTGAAGAAAATCTAACCATGCTGCTCACTTGCTCGGATTGGTCAAGGAGAAACAAGTCAGTTTGATAAGTTATATATCTTTCTCTTTTGTAAACAGAGGTAGTCTACAGGTTTCGTATTCGAACTAGAAAGATTTTACTTATTGATATACTAGCTTTTATGCAGATAAAAACATGGTGAGTGAAATAATATTCCGAGTTTTTAATACAATACAAGAGTGATTTTTAGGCTCTTGAGGATGTATCATATTTTATAGTGTAAAATTTAATCTCTCTAATACAATGACATATGAAAAATTTGCATTAAAAATTTTAATACCTTTTGATACCTCTCGAAAACAGTAAAATATATCACAACACAATCATTACATAGTGACACCAGCCATTGTGAAAACAGAGCAGGTCTTCTAGGCACCGGCAGGTACGTCCCACAGGATTTCCACCAAATCTGCGGTTCGCAAGAACAAAACCCCTTCTTTGTGATTGCTTCAAGTCTTCAACCAACTCCGCTGGGCTTCGACAGACGACTCAAAGGTGCGAGTGTTTCGGTCTTTCAAGGTCATCCAACTACCGAGACTACGAGCTGATCATTGTTCGTTACCCATTGTAATGACACAGCTTATCAGCTGTAGGGCAGGCTCCTCTCTTATGGCCAATAACATGAAGAGTTTGCATCTCGCTGGTGCATTATTGTACACCGTTCCCACTCGGGGCCATGAAGAAAATGGAATAAGTAGATGAAGCAGAGTAAAGTCCCCTTCCCTAACAACACAATCCGTTGTGCCACCCTAAAGGCCTAAAGTACCCTTTTGAATTAGTACTTGGCCCTTTTGAATTAGTACTTGGCAAATCATTTTATATTTTTTTGGAATACGCAAGCAGCACATCATTGTATTAAAAAGAGTAAAGTTTATATAAAAGGAAAACCGAAAAAAAAAACAGGAAGGGGACAGGGTACATGAGATACAAAGAGATTAGGGCCTAATCTCCAATCAGATTCTGCGAGCGGGGGAACATGCTAGGCGTGGTTAGTTCTGTCATCACCGCATTTGTTAGGCGTCATAGCTCAGCATCAGCAGCCATACCCTTTGCCACTTCGACCCAGGGCTTGTGATGCTGATTGAAAACCCTGTTATTCCTCTCCTTCCAAATCGTCCAGGCAACCAGGGCTGCGATGGTGTCGAATCCCCGTCGGTGAGCCTTGTCAACCTTCATGCGGTTATCACAAAGCCACAAGTGGAAGGATGCTTCATTGAATGGCAGGAAATTGGGCAATCTAATTGCTCTGAGGGCAAACCACCACCATTGCCATGATTCCGGACAAGCGACCAGAAGATTATTGATAGTCTCGTTGCATTGATCACAAAAGACACATCGATCAAGGTGTGGCAAGCCGCGATTGTGGAGCTGATCGGCCATCCAACATCTATTGAGATCCACCAACCACATGAAGTAACGACATCGAGGAGGCGCCAACGACCTCCAAATCGGCTTGTCCTAGAACTGCACCCTTTCCAGTTCCCACAAACAGAGACAGGTAGGCGGAATATGACGAGTATTCCCCTGAAGACTCCCACCACCAGATGAGGGAATCGGGCTCCTTGGAGAGGTCATCCAAGGAGTGGATTGCAGGCCACAGATTGAGATATTCGAGGATTGCCTAGACCCCTAAGGCACTGGTGATGTCCTTGATCCATCTTCTATCTTGTAGTGGCAAATCATTTTCTGGTAGGTTTGGGAGTGTTGTCTTGCCTGAATGGAATACTAAATAGCCTAATAATTCGAGGTACAAACAAATGTATTAAGTAAAAGAATGGTTTAAATGTAATATTTTAAATAACTTATATGTAACTTTTAAAAAAAATCACACCAATAGAGAACATGTATATTCTTATTCTATTTTATTCTCGGGGAAAGAACACACCTTAACAGTTTAGGATTTAAGAAGACCAGCTGAATACCCGTGATATGGAGTACGGATACTCATACACTTCAACTATGCAAGGAACTGCAGCAGCGGTTGTCAGCAAATAGTGTTCTGCTTTCATATCAGAGATTGAGATTTCAGAGTGCCGGATGCCCGGAACATGGAGCTTCCAGTGTTTATCAGCAAATGTGTTCTGCTTTGATATCAGAGATTCAGAATGCCGGATGCACGGATCTATACAGACGATTTCATTTCATTTCATCTTTTTTTCTTTCCCTAACCCGACGATCAGAGTCGGCGCAGCCTAACCGGAACGCCGTGCTGCGGGTGCAGCGTCAGCACGGTGTAGGGCGCGTGCGCGTACGCCGGCGACAGCTCGAACGCGAAGCGCTGCAGGATCATGCCGAGCGCCACCTTGGCCTCCAGCAGCGCGAAGTTCTGGCCGATGCAGATGCGCGGGCCCCAGCTGAACGGGAAGAACGCGCCGGCGCCGGGGTCCTTGCACGCCCTGGCCACGCCCTCCGCGAACCTCCCCGGGTCGAACTCGCCGGCGTCGTGCCCCCACGCGGCGGCGTCGCGGTGGATGAACAGCACGGGCAGCGACAGCATCACGCCCGCCGGGTACCTGACGCCGCCGAGCTCGATCTCCTTGTACGTGCGGCGGTTCATCATCACCACCGGCGGGTACAGGCGCAGCACCTCGTGCAGCACCATGGTCACCTGCCAAAGATCGGCTCCATCGATCATCAAATCGTGAACATCTTTTGCAGAAAACGGTGCAAAAATTGCGTTACGGGGCAGAGTGCACAACTCACGACTTTCAGGCGGCTAACGCCATTGATATCAGGTTTGTTTCGCCCAAAGACCTGCAGAATCTCCTCCCTGGCGCGATCCTGCCACTCCGGGTGCATGCTCAGGGCAACCATTGTCCAGGTGAGCAACACGGCGGTTGTCTCCATCCCGGCGAAGTAGAACAGCTTGCATTCGTCGATGATCTCCTCGACGGTCATCCCCTTGCTGGATTTGCCGTCCTCGTCGCTGTAATAATCCATGTTGGATTGTAGGAGCAAGCCGAGCAGATCGTCCTTGCTGGCTTCGCCGTTCTTCGTGGCCTTCTGCCTCTTTTCTATTATGCCTCTTAGAATACTCTTTATCTCTCTGTCTATTGCCTTCATCCTTCTGTTGTTTTCTGTCGGTAAAAGACTGGAGGGAGAGTATTATGTTAGTTCTATCATCTATGGATGAAACGAATAAGTGGATACAAAATGAATTTAGTTTTTTTCTCTACATAAAAGTTGGATATATTCCCGAAACAATGAAAGTTGGACACAAATAATGGCAAATGTAAGGAGCACTTTTTGGTCTTTGGTGGTCCATCCATGTTTTTCTCACAACTATTATGTTGTCCTGTATGTACTTAATTTTCTCTTGATATTGATAAATTCGGCAAAACAAAAACAAAACAAAGAAAGATTAGGAGCACTCTGAACTTTAGGTAGTGTTTTAAATATATACTATGCAGGTAAAAGTTGATGGATGATCCACTCGTTTGTAAAGATAAACTACATATTATATATTATAAAACTAACAAATAACTTAGAATAAGTGGTGTCAACAATGCAGTAAAAGAAAGTTTATTAAGAGCATTTTTAGAAGTGTGAAACAAATAATCCAGTTATAAATTACTACTTCTTTCAGGTTATAAGGCTTTCTAGCATTAACATCTATATGAATGTGGGCAATGCTAGAAAGTCTTATGTAGTAATATGAAACGGAGGAAGTATAATCCAACAGATGAGTTGAAAAAAGAAAACGGGGACTGAAACTAAAGATGTTGGGACAGTGATGAGAACCATACGATAAGCCTGGGATGTAATTACTCCGGAAAGATTGAACAAGGCGTTCAGCTTGCTCGGCCTGAAGTAGGAAAATTTGTCTGCCTTCGTGGTGTCTGACACCAAATGCTGCTCTTGAAATAACATCTCCTGATAAATTCTGAAAATCTGGCCAAATGTCCAGCTCGGCTTTTCCAACAGAAGCAGCAACCGCATTCTCCCATCTGCCAATTAGTTCGCTACAAGATGCGGAGAATGCTGGCAACATCCGCTGCAATTAGTTCCAAGGGAATATATAAGTCAGGGAAAGGGGAAAAATACCAGGAAAGTAAGTGTAACCAAATTGATCTCCAGTTCTAATATGTTTAGTTCGACCTGTTTAGTGACTGCAAAGAATGCAGGCATTCATCAGATTAATTTAACTTCTGATCAAATAGCTAGGCTAAACGATCGTCTTACTAAATGATAATTCTTACACATGAAATCCTGAATACTAAATACAGTAGTCAGGTCTCATATTCACGAATTCTTTCAGTAAATCCTAGTAATAATACCTTTAGCTTTTCTGCATGAAAGGCTGGATTCATAATCCTCCTATGTTTGACCCATTTTTCACCATGAAGGATCACAAGCCCACCAACGAGTAACTTAGAAAGCCGAGTGGCCAGCTTTGTCTTCTCAAAGTGACCAAATTTGTTCGATAGAACTTCACGGACCAAGTCCGGATCAGTGATTGTAACCCTTGGCATTGGCCCGAACCATGTAAAAGAAACCCTACCTGTATTTTCATGCGCACAGAGATCAGAACATGGTACAAAGACACTGAAAAAAACAAGATAATTGATGATCAAATAGTGGCATTTCTAGATCAACTGTACGATGAACTTAAAGTTGCATAACAACAATCAAATCTTGGATGTGTTCGCCGAAAAACAAAACAAAAGAAAACAAATATTGCAGAAGTAGAGCGAGTACAGTACCGTGTTCCTCCAAGGCACGGTGAAGCAGAGGCGCGACGCGCGGGATGAAGTCGTGGGGCCGGTCCATGGGCACGGGCTTGGAGCGGGCCGCCGTGACGAGCCGCAGGTCCTCGGTGAGGTCGCCATGGAGGAAGCGGTACTGGGTGCCCCTCAGGCCCTGGGCCCTGAGGGCCCGTTCCATCCGCCGCGGGGCCAGCCAGGCCCACTCCAGCATCTGCGCGGCCCAGACCAGCAGCAGCGCGGCCACCGCGCCGCCGAGCAGGCTCCACGGCGAGGCCTCGCCGAATGGTAGCGCCGCGCCGGTGCCGGTGCCGATGCCGATGCCGATGCCGATGCCGATGCCGATGCCCATTGCTTCTTTTTCTCTCTGCATGTACCGAGCAAAGCAAATGTGTTGTTGAAGCAAACGGGACGGAGAGATCAGTACGTGTGTGCAGAGTGCAGTGCAGATATACTAACCAATTACTAACAAAGTAACAATCAATGATTGCCTTCTCCTGTTCTCCAACACTAAAAAGAAAATGATATCCTAAAACCAAAACCGGAAATTAGTGACCATCCTGTCCCACAGAATAACTCCGAAATCCTATCTGATACTACTGACGTCACTGATTACGGTAGTGAATCACTCCACGTGACGGCGCCACGTAGCCGGAGGTGAGGTGAGGTCACAGCGCGACCTCCGCCGCATTGCCACGGTGGAGGAATTCAGCAAGACACGTGTGTGCAGTATGCATGCAGATGCAGTACCTGGTACCTTGTACGCGGGCGAGGCGTCGCCGGCGTCGGCGTGGTCGACGGTGCTCAGGTTGGAGATCAACGAAGGGGGAGGCCGAGACCGGCCGAACGAGCAGGCGGGGAGGCTGGGGGCTGCCAGCCGGTGAGCGTTTGGGAGAAAAGGCGAATGGCGCCGGCGCCGCCGGAGAGATGGGAAGAAATTAAGATGGGGGGAGGATTTGGAAGGATCTCAAACAGAAAAGACGTGGCTAACATAGGTGTATCTCTTGCAGGAGCGGGACAACGACATGGGGAGCATGGGCGCCGCTGCGCATGTCGACGCGACGCAAGCGGGGGTTCACGCATCTTGGCGTGGTTCTACGTGCCTCGGGCGGTGGTACACGACTGGCGCTTTGAATGGAGGAGAGGATGTATGGTTGCAAATCCCGGAGATACCGCACCGCGCGATAGGGCCGGAGGAAGGAGAAGCTGATCCAAAGACAGACCCCCCAAAATGTTCAGTCATCAGTGGGCCTGGAACGGAAAACATCTTCCGGCCCATCAAACACCCCATGTTGATGCACACAGGCTATAACCAACGAGGCCCATGGATGCGTAAGGTTTAGCTGAAGTTTTGATTTCTGGGCTAAACCTTCTGCTTCAGACGTTCTGATTTCTCAAGCTGACGCTCGAACATTGTGTTTTTTTCTTTTAAGAAAAGAACATTTGTGTCATTTTACTTTTTTTTAAAAAAAATACATACAGAGATGGGCATGTCGCCTACGTGGCACCGTCCCACCACCATTACACTGTCCTCCACCTCACTCATTGCACTCACAGTCGTCGTCCATCTGACCCTTCCCTCCAAAAAAAGGTCGGCTATGACCCTATCCAAGAGCTACTGGTGCCGTCCTCGAAAAGCCAACAAGAGAGTGGAGGTAGCGGCACCCCCAAGAAGAGTGCATGAGGAAGACGAGGCTATGTCTTTTCTAGGAGTTCACCGCCTATGCCTATTCATAATCTTGTGTTCTTTGGTTGTTTCTTCAACTTCATGCTTAGGTTAATGGATGGATGGGGCAACTGGCAGAGGAGGCACAATGTGTGGGGACAGGAAGAATATGACTTGCTTGGTTCTATGCGATACCTTCATGTACATTTTTTTTGTTGGTACCAGACTTGATATGCAACAACTGGCCTCGATACCTTGTGGGTATTAGGTATGATACCAGTATCATAGGTACCAGGTCTGGTACCCAAAGCATCAAATCTGATACCTCAGGTATCAACTTTGGCTCCTGACAAGCGTGGTGATCAGATACGGACATGCGGTAGGCATGAGATAATGCATGGTAAGAAATGCGAACACGTGGGTGTGTAGGGGAGCAGTTGATGGGGGTAAAGACTCGTCATGATAATCTATCCCATTAAGAAACATGATATCAGGGGCTAGCACTCTTTTTTTTAATTGAGAAACACAGTTTATATGAGCACCCATGAAAGTCTAGACCTACATATTTTGATATTAATAAAGTTATCATGAGCGACTCGCTACCAACGTGTGCATTACCTACGACTAAAACAATAATAACCGTAAGTACACTTGTGGACATTACTTCACCTTTAGAAGACTTGATGTTTGTCGGAGTGCGAAACTCCTCTAGAGGAGAAGCAAGGCACTCCCCCTATATGAATTCGTCTAGGATACAAGTTTTGAGCTCGGGTCCTGATCACACGTGAGAATGAGCACAAACAAGTATATAGGTTCCTAGTTCAAAAATCAACCTCAGGGGCAAATTCGATGCTTTTTTAAACAAAAACAAATTTAAAACAGTAAGTTCGATCGAAATTTCGTTGAAATCTCAGTTTTCAACGTTTCGCGGGGTTCCAAATTAATCAATGATAGCGTGAACCGATCAGAGCACCCCAAAGCATCTTTACCAGTAATCAGGCCTCCAAAACCTATTCACGCATATGCTCTCCCTGCAGCCTCCAAGGGCGATTGATATGGATTTATCTGGACTGTTAATCACAAAAGTCTGCATCATCAGCATGCGCATCGCCTATATACGCACCTACTGACCTGACCTGCAACCTAGGCATGCCCGGGCCTCATTTTTCTATCCGCGACGAATCGCGCATGCGTTCCCTGCAGATGACAGCGATCTCCCCTCTCCTCCTCCTTGACGAAAAAACACCGCGGCCGGGGGCGAGACCGGGAGAGGGGGGGTTTTCAGTTCACCGGAGTCAAACACCGGATCAGCAAAGGAAATAAAGTTTGGTGCCATGTCGCTCTCGGCAAAGGAAACGCTTGCCTCCTGGAAGGCACGCCTGCCACTTCGAGATCAATTTTTAAAAAAGGTGTTAGACTACGACTTATACGCTGTCTACGCATGTCATGTATGAACAGGTTAATTTTTCTTCATAGAAATTTTACAACAAAGTCGCCTCGCGTACTCTCACCGGTAAAAGAGAAGACCAGCTCTAGCAGGGTAAGCGTGTTTTCTGTGTTATTAATGGACTTGCTCTAGATCAATCTCAACTTTAAGAGGACAAAAAAAAGCATATGGCTGCGGTAATATCATAGTATCATATAGGAGTATTACATCATGCAGGTGTCTTAGCTTTCTTATTTGTTGTTACATGACCTTGCTTATGTCGACACTTCAGTCTGTTATGTCGACACTTTGGTCTAAACACATCCTGTGTACTGTACAGCGGCGACCGTCCTCCCCCCTTATATGTCAATAACACCTTAAATAACAGTACATGTGAAAAAAGAAAGTTTACAACATAAAAGAAAAGAAAAACAAATACTCCATTTGTTTGCAAATATTTGTTTGTTTGGACTAAAACCAGCATTTTTTAAGTTTAAGATAAAAAGTCGGCAGGAAAATTAAAAGGGGTGAGCTCCTATATAACAAATGTATTTTTAACTATTATATTTGAAGTAAATAGCTTTAAAAGTATATTGCAGACTATTAAGAAAGTAATTTTGGTTACATAATTATATAACCTAAAAATTTTTGTTGAGTACAGTAATCAGTTTAAGTCAAACTAAAAAAATATTTACGAGGAAGGGAGTACAAATCAAAATAAAATATGCAGCAATAAAGATGAAAGCCCCAAAAAGAAAGTCTTGAAAAAATGTCTCAAATCAAACTTTAAAGCTCTGAACATCAATATCTTATAAACATCTAGGCTATGGTCAGTGAAAATATGGATGACAATGTTAGAAATCTAGTTATTATTTAGCATATTTTAATCCAAAAATTATAGCATAATAAATATGACATAATAAATATGACATGTATGCAGGCGAGTGATCCAAAGCTGGTGCTAACATTAACATGCTAACAGAGACAATAGCATCTAGACATATGTTTAACACCAGAGTGAGGAGAACATACCCGCAGAACGCTCTGGATTCAGAGGTTGTGGTGTTGATGTTGTCGTTCCCGATTGAGCCGTTGCCGTTCCCTCCATTGCTATTCCTGTCGCAGTTGTCGTTGACGTCGTTTTCGATACTGATCGACATGATCCGGAGGTTGATGTAGAGGAAGCATATATGACTTGATGCCGAGGAAGTAGTGCTGATGTGAAGCAGAGGAAGAAGTAGAGCAGTCGCGCGAAGAACACGCTCCCAAAAATTTTATCGCCCACCTAACCGTGCATGTACTCTGGTGGACGGAATTCTGGAGGTCTACTCGTCCCAAATACCCGTATGCGCAAGTACTCAGAACTAGGAAACAACCATAGGAGCACATAAGCAGAGGAGGTGTCTACACAAGAAGAACCAAAAACTGAGGTAGATAGAACCGAGAGAGAGCTCTCTATCTACCTAGAGGTGGAAGATAACGCAAGAGAAACATTACTACGTTAATCTCGATTGATTGCACTATAGGCCTCGTCTGTTACCGGAGTAATGAATCATGCCGGTTATGCTTTTACTCATAAAAACAAAACGGCTGAAAACGAGCAGCCCGTCCGAACCCGCCGCTTTGACGCCCTGGCTGGCTTGGCTTGGCTCGAGCGCACGCGTGTGACATTCCCACCACCATCTCAACCGCTCAGTAGGTATTCTCTAGTAGTCTATTTAAGTTAAGATCATTTTTCATTGGTTTTTAATGTGGTATTAATCTCTTAACATTAATTGTGAGCCCTTGAAATTACAAGAATTAATTTGGGCCTATCCCATTTAATTCTAATAGATAAGACGGAGATACATAAATAAAGAAAAAACAATTTATATGTAAAACATTTTATATGTGTATTATCAGTTTAAAAGTCAAGGCTAAAAACTATAATATGGTGAAAATAATTCAAAAATCCTATTGTAGAATTGTGTTTTATATTAAATATTTAGTTGTGTCCGATAAGTAAGGCTTAGATTGGATGTGCAAAAATTATATGCGTAGATTTATCTTGAATAGTACTTTTATGGTGCTATAAATTATATGTAGATTTTAAATAGTTTGTAATAATAATATGTGGTGAAAGTTTTATTTTAAATACCATGGAATGTTTATTCTTTCATGAACGGATGGAGCAACTGGCTAGATAATATTTTTATATAAGTATCAAAAAAGGAGTTGAAAAATGTGTGGTAAGGCTCATGCTCGTAACTTGGCTAGATAACTGTTCCAAGTGTTTGATACTTTGATTGCTCCTAGTATTAATCTAATACACTCCTCACCACCTGCAAAATACAGTCAAAACGCTAGTGATGATCTCCTAATGGCCCGATTAGTCGTCACAGGTCAACCATTTGGTACCTTATTATGTAACAAGCATAGTGGCCCGCGCAGATTGCGCGGCTAGCATCATTATATTTTCTCTCATATAATAGCATATATGTTTTCTCATTATATTATTCAAATATATTAAAATGACAACATAATTTTAAATTTTGCAATAACTTTACAAAACTACTAATGTGTAATATTTATATTATATTTTATATACGTGTTAGTTATTAATTATTTTTAATATTAAATTTTAGTTATTTGTAAATTATATATATTCCTATATGGACTCTAGACTCGTCTTTTAATATTTCTTTTTTTAATTCCGAATTTTCTGTAAATTGTATTTTTATATAGAGTCTATGCTCTTCTTCCAATATTATTTATTTTTATTTATGAATTTTTATTATTTCTAATTGTATTTCTATGTGGACTCTAAACTCATCTTTCAATATTCTTTAATTTTTAATTTCGAATTTCAGTTGCTTCTAAATTATATTCCAATATTTGTATTCCTATATTGACCTTAAATTCTTCTTCCAATGTTTTTCTTAATTTTGAATTTTAGTTATTTGTAAATTGTATTTTTATACAGACTCTAAACTCTACTTTTAATTTTATTATGTTTATTCCAAATTTTAGTTAGTTTGAAATTCCTATATGGACTCTATACTCTACTTCTAATATTCCTTATTTTTTTAATTCCGAATTTCTATTTTTTTTTCTAAATTGTATTTCTATATATACTCTATACTTTACTTCTAATATTCCTTATTTTTAATTCCGAATTTATATTATTTCCTAATTGTATTTCTATATGTACTCTATATTCTACTTCTAATATTCCTTATTTTTAATTCCGAATTTCAGTTATTTCCTAATTGTATTTCTATATGAACTCTATACTCTACTTCTAATATTTCTTTTTTTTAATTCTGAATTTCAGTTATTTCCTAATTGTATTTCTATATGGACTCTAGTCTCCTCTTCTAATATTCCTTTTTTTCATTCCGAATTTCAGTTATTTCCTAATTGTATTTCTATATAGACAGACTCTAGTCTCCTCTTCTAATATTCCTTTTTTTAATTCTGAATTTCAACTATTTCTAAATTGTATTTCTATATGGACTCTAGTCTCCTCTTCTAATATTCCTTATTTTTTAATTCCGAATTTCAGCTATATTTAAATTGTATTTCTATATGGACTCTGTCTTTTCTTTTTCTCCGATTAATGTGAGAATTTCTAGGCCATGAGAGCGAACTTGGAGGTTCCTTTTTCTATTCCTTTAATTATATATTTAATTCCAAATTTCTTTCTAAATTGTATTTCTATATGGACTCTAGTCTCCTCTTCTAATATTTCTTATTTTTAATTCCGAATTTCAGCTATTTTTAAATTGTATTTCTATATGGACTCTGTATTTTCTTTTTCTCCGATTAATGTGAGAATTTCTAGGCCATGAGAGCGAACGTGGAGGCTCCTTTTTCTATTCCTTAAATTATATATTTAATTCTGAATTTCTATTTTTTCCTAATTGTATTTCTATATGGACTATATAGTCTACTTCTAATATTCCTTATTTTTAATTCCGAATTTCAGTTATTTCCTAATTGTATTTCTATATGGAGTCTATACTCTACTTCTAATATTTCTTATTTTTAATTCCGAATTTCAGGTATTTTCTAATTGTATTTCTATATGGACTCTAGTCCCCTCTTCTAATATTCCTTATTTTTTAATTCCGAATTTCAGCTATTTGTAAATTGTATTTCTATATGGACTCTAGTCCCCTCTTCTAATATTCCTTATTTTTTAATTCCGAATTTCAGCTATTTGTAAATTGTATTTCTATATGGACTCTGCTTTTTCTTTTTCTCTGATTAATGTGAGAATTTCTAGGCCATGAGAGCGAACGTGGAGGCTCCTTTTTCTATTCCTTAAATTATATATTTAATTCCGAATTTCTATTTTTTCCTAATTGTATTTCTATATGGACTCTATAGTCTACTTCTAATATTCCTTATTTTTAATTCCGAATTTCAGTTATTTCCTAATTGTATTTTTATATGGACTCTAGTCCCCTCTTCTAATATTCCTTATTTTTTAATTCCGAATTTCAGCTATTTGTAAATTGTATTTCTATATGGACTCTGTTTTTTCTTTTTCTCCGATTAATGTGAGAATTTCTAGGCCATGAGAGCGAACGTGGAGGCTCCTTTTTCTATTCCTTTAATTATATAATAGATTTCCAGATATTCTTTTACCCCCAAATTCCAAGTAGTAACAGAGAAAGAGGGGCAAAGCTAGTACAAATTACAAAAGCAATAGCACTTGAGAGAAAAAGAAGGGGAGAAAAAGTAAACACACATCCACCCAGCTAGTGCTTAACCCCATTGTGTGTATGGATTCAGTGCAGCAGCTGCAGGCCAAGCAGGCAGCACAGCACTACACATACAAGGCACACACATCCCATGCTACTAGTGCTGTTGCCCTTTTGCTCCTGTTGTCTTCTCCGCTCCTGTCGTCTCCTCTCCTCCCCCCCAAATCCCCCTCCTTTTTCTTGGTGCTGCTGCTGCTGCACGAAGCCACGAGCGCCTCGCCACCTCGGGATCGCCTCCAAGATCCGATTTTGATCTCCCCGCCGCCGACGAATTCGTCGAGACCCGCCCTCGCCGTACCTGCCCAACGGTGCTCGATTTGGTTGTAGCCTTCTGGTTCTGGTACTTGGCTCCATGGACCTATCTTTGATCTTATTATGATTCTTATTACGGTTTTAATCTTCTATATATATCGGTTGTGGCTTGTAATTGGGGGAATAGGGGGATCGTATTAGAACAGTGAAAGTTTGGAAAAATTTTCCATGGTTTGTGTGTGCTTACCAATCAAGGAGGCAGTTGGAGGCAAGCCTGTTGTTTTCTTGATTGGACACTAAAAGCCGGTTCTTGCTTTTAACTGTGTTGGAGTTTTATTAAGGATGTTTTCTGTTGGTATTTAATGAAGTCGATTTGGTATTCAACAGTAACTTAAACACTAATCACGATCCACTTATCTAATCTCGTGTAGAACTCTGCTCCCCGGCTCTGGGAATTAGTTTTCCCACGAGAACAAATATATAGTTGAAGGTAGCACGAATGGATTGGGTCTACCACTACCACCAAACAGATGACATGCTTGAAGTTGTATATACTAGTTAGCACTGTATTTTCTCTATCCTTCTGTTGGTATTTTTACGTGTTGATAACAAATTCACAATCAGCAGGATTGCAGGAATATAACAAAACTTAAGCACTGAGCAGCAGTATGCCTTGGACCCCTTTGTACTCGACTTATTACAGCAGCCGAAAGTCTGTTCACCTTGCTGTGTTTTTCCGTGTGATTGTGTATGTCTCTTGATCTCCTGAAACCTTTCATATTCATGATAATAGAATCTCATAATTCTCACTGAATTTTTAATTTTCCATGCATTGCAGGTGAGGCGGTCACATTTACAGGAGAATCCTTTTCCTTTGTGGTTCTTTGTTCTTGACGACATTGGGTGTGTAAAAATTGAGAATGTATGTTAAGGTTGAACTTAAGAGATTCCGCATTGTGAAGGAGGTGGGAACAATAGTAATGAATGTTAGGATCTTTGCTTATTACCAGTTGATGCAAGTGTGCCAGGTGAGATATTTATTTGTTGACCTAAAGAATCCTGTTTCCAAAATGATTCATAGCTGTTGCTAAACAAAAAATGAGAATCAGGTGTCATTTTTCATGGAAACATTCTTGGTACTTTGTTTGGGATTTTCACAATAATCTCGTATAGTGAAAAGTACCACCCATCAACTATCTACACCTATGTAACTGTTTGAGATCTTTCTATTATAGCATAGCTAATTAATTTAGTTGGGTTTTGGAATGCATATTGTATAGGTGATCTGGTCATGTTCTCATTGTTAACCTGTAATCCTGGACCATGTAGTGCTATTGCAGATGAAATTTAAAATGATGTGGGGTTTCAGTCTCTTCCCTTCCCTGTCCCTCCCCCAGTGACCCTGATATTCTTGAGTTATGCTAGAAAGTTTTGATTGATCAATCATTATTTCTTTTCATGAAATTGAACGGTGTTATCGATAAATGATTATTTGATTACCATAAATAGATATTTTGTTGTTTTGTCCTCAAGACTTTTTACATGATTTGCTAATGCATACCTGAATCAAATAATACATATACTTATCAGTTCACTTTATTTTTTAGTATAAATTTATTAAGTTATTCAGGCATCTTTGTATACCTTATTTTACTATGTGTCTCTTCTGTATTTTAACAAAATATTCTAAATTGCAGGCTGAGTACTTCCGTCAATTGCTTAAGCCTGTCACGTAGTCCAAATACAGGAGTCGAGATTAGTCACTTTATCTGCTATTTATCTTTCGTCTGGTATAAAGTCGCAACAACAAAAGCAGTGCATTCATGATGGCTACCTTGTGGTAGGGTGTTTAGTCTCTTGTTGTTGCGAGTCGCAAACATATTGTAGAATTCTCGTTGTTTTTGGGTAGTGTAGCTACTACATCAGATCAGGTAGAGGTCTGTACTTAAGTGCGTTCTGTCCAGTATCAGCCATTGACTCATGCAGAGGGATCCAACAGCATTCACTGGAAACCCTTCCTTTGCTTATGGACATGAAGCAGATGGTTATATCGCAAATGGACCCTTGGGTGGTCAGTGCAACTACAGGGTTCCTGTTTCACCTGCCTTTGGTGCCCCTTCAGGCATGACCAGTCCTCAACTCCGAACCTCACTCGGTGGATTTGAGTTTCAGCCTTCCAAGGTATGCCCCAGAAACTTCATCATCTTTGATCAAACTGATGACAAAGGGCGCATCATGTGTCATCCTGCATTGGTGAGCAAGCTAAACCCTTCAGCCACCAATGCTTTCCCTTCCTATCCCGAGCCAATTTGCAGAAGTTCCGGCCAAGATAACGGAAACCTGGAAGAAGTTTCCTCATCTTTCAAGGAGGATACAAGAGAGATTGATGCACTGCTAAGCTCTGATGAAGAAAGCGATGAAGATGATGTCAAGAGTACTGGGCGTACTCCGGACTGCTTCGAGAGTGATTCCCTTGATTCATCTTCACCACCAAGGTCTAGGAAAATGCATCATTCTTCTAGCCAGAGTTCAGTCTTCCATGGATCCATGGACACTGTTACTCATGAGAGGATGAGAAATATGGTCACAGTTCTTAGGGGAATAATCCCTGGTGGAGACCAATTGGATACAGCCTCTGTCATTGAAGAAGCTGTTAGATACCTGAAGTTTCTCAAGATGGAGGCGAAGAAACTTGGCGTGGAGGTTTCGGATAACTAGAACTGGCAACTGGTACAGTGGCGATACTAAAGCTCACACATAAATAAAATCTGAAGGCATCAATGTGTGTATATATGGTCTTTGGTAAGGCCCTTATCATCATTGTTACTTGATTGACTTTGTGTGGGTGTGGAAGGTAAGGCAGGCAGCCAGCTTTTGCTTCTTTCTGCAGGCCTCAAAAGAGGTATTGTTTGTGGGATTCTGATGCTTGATGTCTGGTAGCATGGTGTTGCTGCGCTGTGAGCTTTCCCTCCCTCATCATGGTGTGGCACTATGGTTAGATCGTCAGACGAAGTTCTGGATGATGCATTATGTTTTCAGGCTTACCTTTGCCTTTTGTGACTTAAGCACCTCAGCTCTACCTATCCTATGGTCAGATCACCGTGCTTTGCTCTTTTTCAAGCTCTGCTTATATTTGTTGCACTACTTAAATAATGTACATACTTGGCTTGTTAAATTGTAGTATTGTGTACCGAACAAGATCATGTCATTGTGAACTAAATTACGATATGAAATAATGTACTTTGGATTTATCATACTATTTGTCAAGAGGAATCTGTCTCATTTTATTTGCTTTGGAAATGATGATGATGATGGTTCTCACCATCGAATTAAGCAAAGGGAGATGATTGTGATGATGGTGTCCAAGAGATAGCACGACATTTGTGCATTCATTTATTCCCTGTGCTTTTTTCTGAAAGCTATGAAAGCGAATCGGGCATTGGCACAAACGTGCAATCTTTTGCAAAGGCCAATTATGTTGAACTAAAGGTTGGTGTTTCCCATGCTTTTGCCTTCAGTTGGCTTGGCTATTGAAGTGGAAGAAGTTTGTTCAACATTGCCATGCAGAAAATATTCTTATAGTATATCAGTATATGTATGCGTGTTGTGTGTATGCATATATAGTGGCATATGTTCAGTAATCGAAAAAAGAAAGATGTGTGTTCCTAAAATAGTGGACATAGCCCCTATCAAGAAAAAAAAGAAGTGGATATAGCTTTCATATGAATGTCTTCTTTTTTCAATTTTGAACTTTTTGTCGAGTAAGCGTGCATAATATTTTTTTTCCTTAAAATGAGGCTTGAATTTTTGTTAAGGTTATTTATCATAGAAGGAAGCCATTGTTACCATATACCAGTGGTTCTAATTCAAAGTTTTACAAACTGAGGGATGGACTATTAGAAAAGAGAAAATTCCTTATATATCTCTAAAATATTTAGCCGATATATTCCAGAGTTTTGCTCACTCTTGTATGCCTTTCACTTTTGACTTTATTCTTTTTCATACCATTTCTATCAATTAACTATTAGTTGACCGTTTAATGTGTGAACAAGTTGGTTATACCATTGGACATGAAGGAACGTGGAAATTTATTGGCATCCATCGTTGGAAATATTTATGGTAATTTGTTGTGTGACTAATATTCTTTAACTTTGTTGTATAACGGATTATTATATGTGGAAAGAATATTATGTATTAAAAAAATGCATGTGTGGCATTTTTCAATATGTAAACGTAACAGTTAGTTTCTATTCGAAAATATATAATAAGTAGAATAATAAATATTGAAATTTTTTTGCCATTATATAAAAGATAAAAAAAACTTGCCACTAATAAAACCCTACACAAAAACGCGAATATTAGGGAATAACCTAATATCCAATAATTAGAAAAGGTGAGACTTCAAACCCAAATCGACTAGCGCAAGAGCTGCCTGAAGGCCCTAGATGTTTCTCAATAAAACCCCACACAACAAAATCATAAATATAGTAGTCTCATAGAACAAACTCCTGCACACTTCCAATAATATACTTTACAGATTTCTATATTCATTTCATAACTATGGACAAATTTAGCCTTTTCATAGCTATTACCTAGTCAGCTAATAGACAACTGGTGAAATGGGCATAAAGTAGATCAAAACCAAATTCGAGGCCATAAAGTGAGCGAGCAAAACTCAGAAATATATAAGAGATCTTCTGGAATTTAGGAGCCATAAAAGAAATTTTCTCATCAGAAAATGAGGTCACACCATGTTCTTGGTTTGTACGCCCTGCTTGGAGTTCCCTGAGAAACATGTTCCCTTTTTCATCACTTCCTCATCTTTCTTTACCCATTTCATTTCGGTTTATTACTATATCTCACAAGGGCTTAAGGTCGCTGCAAACTCATGATTGACGTTGACATTTGTAATCTTGAGTTGGTGTCGGGCCCAGCTGGCCTACTCTTCAGCTTCCTATAGACTTCTACACGACGAGCAAGCCTAACATCCTAATTCGTTTTACAGCTTACAAGCCCGTTTATCGGCCCACAAGTTTTGTCACGTTGCTTACTGGCTTAACCTGCCACATTTAGGAAAAAGTACACCGAAGGTCCCTCAACTTATCATCGGGATAAAAAACGTCCTCGAACCGCAAAACCTGATATGCGAGGTCCCTTAACTATACAAAACCGGTCACCCGAGGTCCTTCGGCGGTTTTGACCCTAGTTTTGGTCTACGTGGCGGCGGAGGCAGTGTGGGACCCACGTGGGCCCCACATTTCAGGTGTCCACGTCACCTCTCTCTTTCCCCTTTCTTTTTTCTCTTATTTTTTTACTTCTCGTTCCTTGCTAATCACCCGCCCGCGCGCTCGCCCGCCTGCCACCACCGCTGCTCCGCGCGCTCGCACGCCGCCTTCGCCGGCCGCCGCTCGCTCGTTCGCCGTGACCAGCGCGAAGCTGATGTCACCGCCACCGCGTACGCGCGGCCGCGCCACCGTAGCGTGTTCCCCTCGGCCACGCACACCATCACCTTCTCGCATACCAGGTTCTCCAGACCCGGCGCCCCCGCCGCGGTCGGGTTCATCTGGGGGTCATCCGCGCCGTCCGCCGCGTCGGGGCACACGAACTCCCATAGCCCCTTCTGCTCCCCATGTCGCCGCCTTGCCGCCGATGGGCTCCTTGCCCCAGAACCACGGGTGGATCATCACGATGCCCTTTAGGCGGCACGAGAGGTGTTGGCTGGTCAGGCCGTGGCACATGACAAGGTGATGGTAGATGTTGTCGCTGGCGCTGTCGCCCGCGAGGAAGACACGGGAGAGGGGGCCGTGCGCAGCGAGCCACGGGTCGGCGACGGAGAGCACCCAGGCGAGTGCTGCGGTGGAGTCCTCGTACGCGGCCGGGAGCGGGTGCTCCAGGGTGAGGCGGTAGCAACGGAGACGGTGACGGCAGGGCAGGCGGCGGCAAGGTCGTTGAGGCAGCGGCGATATCCGGGCGACGCAGCCGACCCGATCACGAACCCCCCGCCATGGAAGTAGACCACCACGGGGAGTCTCTTGTCTCCGGCAGCGGGCGGCGGGAGGTAGAGCCGCACGAAGGAGGAGGCGGAGAGGTGCACGTCCCTGGACACCATCACTCTTGCAGCATGCAATCCATATGGCTCGCGAGGAGGTGCTTGGCATGGTGGTCGAGATCCAGGAGCGGCACGACGCGCCTCCACCTCCAGATGTCGACGTTGACCGCCGCCCGCCGCCTCCATTGCCTCTCCACCCGCGGCTCTGCCCTCACCACCCCACGTATCCTCGCTCACCTCACCGCCGCCAGAGTCCATGCCGGTGAGCTCGCAAAAGCACCGCCTTCTTCCTTTGCACCCTCGGTCGGAGCAGCCGCCACAGCACCGGCCATCGCAGGCAACCGGACCTCCTCTCCCGACTCGCCCCACCGGCCTCCTCCGCACCTGTCGGTCGACCGTCGGCCTGCTGAGAGTCCCTGACAAGAAAGTGTTGGAGAGGAGAAAGGGAGAGAAGATGGGAAAGAGAGAGATGACATGACCAGTCTGACATGTGGGGCCCACGTGGGTCCCACGTTGACTCAGCCGCCACGTAGACTAAAACCGGGGTCGAAACTACCGAAGGACCTCGGGTGACCGGTTTTGTATAGTTAAGGGACACCGTATATCTAGTTTTGCGGTTCGAGGACGTTTTTATATCCCGATAACAAATTGAGGGACCTTCGGTGTACTTTTTCCCCACATTTATGGCCTATTTTCGTATCAGAAAAGAAGTTCAGAAAGGGCCGCCCGGTCCACATTGAAGAGCATGAACTTTTACCAAGAAGAAGAAGAAGAAGAAGGAGGAGGAGGAGGAGGAGGAGGAGGAGGAAAGCTGCGTCTACAAATAGGTTTCCTGTAGTCAATTAGATCAAACATTTTGTGGGTAACATTTCCCTGTAATTTTCTCTCTCTGGATAAAAACACACCTTGGTCGCTGGGACACCTTTGCTTGGCGAAATAGCAGATATTGAAGAACATGCACCTCGTCTCGACGTTGGTAGCTTCTTAGCTTCTCTAGTCCAAAGTCAAGGGGATTTACCAAGAATTTGTAAGAACACAGTGTGATGTAGATGGACTTAAAGCATGAGGCTGTTATGACATGACGCCAGGATCATGTTCGTGTTACAATCAGGACCATGATATCATCCGTCCGGCCACGCCACACCATGTTACATACAGTATGTGTTTGTTCAAAACCCCTCAATATTTAGTAGCTCCCAACATCAATAACCAACGTACCTTTTTATTAATGGAGTGAAATACATTACACGTTACATTATATTATCATTTAGATCTGTGAATGCAAAATACACATTTAAATTCATTATCTTGATTTGATCAAAGCGTATCGACTTGCACCTCCACGTTGGCAAATGTTTTGCGTTTGGCCCCCTTCACAGCTAACCATGGCAGAAAAAATAAATTCACACCCTTCCTGCTACAGTTTAGCTTTTTTCCTTCTCCTTTTCGCTCATTGTTCCTTTCTTTTCTTTCTCTTTTTTTTTGTCTTCTTCCACTGTAACAACCGTCGTCGAGGTCGTAGTGTCCACTACCACGCACTCGAGAGGAAAGGGACGCTGACGAATGGCTTAGGTCTTCGCCACCTCCTTCGCAAGAAGGGAATAATGCCTGGTGTTGCCAAAGCGTGGACAACAGAGGCATATGGACCTGGAGGCCACTGGAGCCACGCTCTAGGAATACATTCCTACTCCACCCGTTGACTGCTTTACCCAGTATCTCGACCCCATTCTAGCACCTCCAACACACCTGCTCTATTTATTTCGCCACCTCTTCTATTGCTCCTCGAAGTCCAGCTGGCAACGTGCTTGCATAGACCCATATGGAACGAGCCAACGGCAGGTATTGGTGGTGATGGGGATTTACTGCATCCGCGCTGCGGCTTGGCGAATGTTTCGTAACTAACTAGTGGAGGCTTAAAAGGTGAGAGAAGGGGTAGTGTACAGAAGATGCTCGATAAAATGCGCAAAATAACTCAAGCTTGGTATCGTGCGTATTCAAGCAACAGTGCCAGGGTGCCTCCATCGACAGCGTGGTCTTCTCCTTGACCTTCGGTGCCACCTCATTGTCGCATCATGCCTCCGCAACCTTCAACACCACAGTATCCCAAGGCTTTACATGTGAAAGGAGCTGCAGGAGGAGGCTAATCGCCGTCAGGATTGAGCTCCCCCTTCACCATCCCCTTTGCTCCACCATTGTTGCCGTCAGGGTCAAGCTCCACCATCCCCATACCGCTCTGCTCCACCACCAATGTGTGAAGGGGAAGTTGCTGCCGGAGTTCCATGACAGTGGTGAGCTCGGTCTAATTGCAATGTCAGTGTTTGCTACGCGTTGAGCTCTCCCGCACCTTTATGAAGGAATTAGAGAAAATAAAAGGAATATCAAATAGAAGAAAGAAGAAAAGGAATAGGGTGAAAAAAAAAGAACGCAAAATACATTTACTTCCCATTGCACTGTAGTGGGAAGGGGGCAAATGCATTTTTTTCTGCCACGGTGTGTTGTGGAGAGGGTTGAACGTAAAATGCTTGCCAACATGGAGCGCCATGTCGCCAATCATATCCGGTCAACTGAGATTTAGACCTATTGTGATACATTAAACTAACATAATAGACCTAAATGTGCATTTTGTAGATTCATGAACCTAAGTGACAGCACCGTAACTTGAATGACCTTAGAATATATACTTGCCTTGCTTGCCTTCCTATCAGTACCTCCGAGAGACTGACGATAGTATTGATTGAATAATTATAGACAACTTACTGTTGATCAACAACACATTGTCTAAGATTGAATGAAACACTCGTGGCTTGCTAGCTCGTTTGACCTCTTGGGATTTGTTGACTAGCAAAGATAAAGTTTTAACCTGTTAAGTAGATACCAAAATGAACGAAAGAAAGCAGCCCAAGGAGAAGAAAAAGACATCTCTAACCCTAAAACTCCTCTCCCTATTCCATGGAAACGTCTCCCCACTCCCCAGCTCCCCTCTCCTCTCGTTGTCTCGCTCTCGCACGGCTAACGGGTATTGGCCAAGTCAAGGAGTCACGACACTGCCCTAGGCCACAGTTGGCTACCCCACTCCCAGCCTCTATCTCGCCACTTACTACTTTCCATCCCCTTCTCCACATATTTGCCATTAACAACACCAGATACTAGCAGTGTCACGGGCTCGCGACAAAAGCCCTAGCTGGACGCCTACTCCGCCTCAGCCTCACCAATCACCAGTCACTATCATCTTCGTTGGTCGCCACCCATAGAATTATAGTAGCACTAGTCACTTGCTAGATTTGTGGGCTCATGACACCACCCAGCCCACTGCCAGTAGTCAGACTCCACACTTTACCTTGCTGTCTCTAGTCGCCATCCCCTACAACACTTCACTCAATATTTTATTGCTCTTGCTCACAAGCTAATTGACCTAAAAAATGAGCCAAGCAAGCTTAGCTTGTTAGGATAAACAGTCAAACCGAGGCAGACCAAGCTAAGCTGGCTCGATATCTAACCTTATCATTGTCCGTCACTAAATAGTTATAAATCTGAGCATCCACATGAGTCAAAGACTTAAACTCGAGCAGACAGATTAGAAATCTAATCAACTTATAGCTACACCAAGTTTGCCTCTTTGCGATCTTCATCTTACCGAGATAAAATAGTATCCTAGAGTTTTCACTCAGTATTGGAAGGTTCTATAAATACCCTTGAGTTCTATATATATTGCCTATCCAAATAAAAACAGAAACGCAACAGTTTGAATTATAATTGCTACAACAAAGTTAGTATAGTACATATGTGTGTACAGTACGTAGCAAAATCTTGCACACATCCTTCCGGTGAAATTTAACACTGCAGTACAGAGGCCAAGCAAGCAAATCCCCAGTTATTAATTACGGGAGAAAATTTTCTTGTTCGTACTAATTTCCATCGCTCGCTACTGCTACCGTCCAAAGTCCAAACACGATACATATACACCGAATCTCTGAAAGGGAGGTGCCACCTATAAATGTGCAAAACCGTTGCTATCAAAAGGAGAAATTCGCAAAGCGGTAACTCTCAAGGAGTCGCATTCTCGAACCACAATATCCAGCAGGGTAAATGTTTGGTAATTGGTACTGGTCACTTCAAGGGATTCTAGTTAACCACATGTGCTTAAATATTGTTGCAGCTTCCAGGAAACATCACGTCCGACCACATTATCCTCAAAAGTTTGGTTCGCAAGATCTTGTCTTCCCCCTTTTTCCGTTCACTGATCCTGAAACAGAGCATGAAAGTCTACTTCAGGACCTGCAAAAACACGGTTATTCATTTTTCTCCCTTTAATAAGCACAAACAGAAAACCATCTTAACCAATTATATTTATATGTCCCGAACTGCCCAAAACATCGAACAGAGTTATCATGGAGATATGATTATTGAACCATATGTGATGAAGCTTTAGGCTGAGTTCTTTCTCGATTATTCGTCGGACGGACTATTTGCTACATTTTTTGTAATATATATATATATATATATATATATATGCTAAAGATAATTTGCTTCCACTTAAATGCATAGGCAACTTATTTTAAGCTATTTGCTACTTTATTTCTTAAATAATTAACTTATCTATATAATATATTAGACAATCCGTAGCAACAATCCGCTCAATAATCTGTGATTATTCAGGAAACAGTAGCAGGTGTGTTGGCTTGATTTCTTCTTTTTTCTAATTTTCATATGGCTATTGGTTTTACTCCTTCCGGTCCTTCCGGTTCCATATTAATTGATATTTTAGACAAGGCTAAGATCAAACTTTTATAACTTTGACCATCAATAACTTTAAAAATATTTAGTTTAAAGGAACTAGAGCAACATATATAGATTTGTCTTTTAAAGCACTATAATAAAAATAAACATGTATTTATTTATTATATATATTATAATAAAAAAATAAGGTCAAAGATATATCTGGTAGACTGTGTCCATTGTTTAAAACGTCAATTAAAATAAAATCAGAGATAGCAGTTACTTTTGTAAGGTATATCGGTTATATTAAAACCTACTGGGAATTTGCGAGCTGAGTGCGCTTCGGAGCGGCGTGTTCGCACGCGGAGGCATCCACGTCGCCCGCGAGCGCTGGGAGGCGGGTGGATTCCGCGCCCCCTCGAGCGTCCGCGCGAGCGGCTCCCGCGCCGTCCGATCCCTCACAGCAACGGCTGAGATCGCACGTGGTTCCTAGCGTGGGTGGACATTTTTCAAAAAGACCCATTCTTAATAGATAATTTGTTTTATATCCCTCACCGTACGATCCAACGTTCCGATTTCTTACGTATATACTCTCCAAAACTAGGAAAATCCTATGCGACGAAGAGAAAAACACGAAATAGGATTGCGCTCTAAAAAAGAAAAGTCAAGGGGCTTTTCTGAAACAACATAAATCCCTACCCCTTTCGGCCCTTCCTCCCCGAAACCCTAGCCGCCACCACTCCCGTGACGGTGCGTCGCTTCCCCCTCCTCGCGCCGCCTCTCCCCGCCACACCGACACCCTGCGCAGTTGCGCCGCCGCTCCATCCTCCAGCACCTAACCTCGCCCCGACACCGCCACATGCTTCGCCGCATGTCCTCCACTTCCTCTCTCTTCTTGCTGCCGATGCCGCTGGGCTCGAGCTAGCGAGTAGGTCGATCTGGCTTTCAATCAGGTTAGGTCTCCGTCCTTAGCACCACCTCGTCGGCGATTTACCTTCGCCACAATCCAAGCCCCACGCTGCCTTCAGATCTGGTGGCATCTACCTTGCAGCGGCCAGATCTGGCGAAGAGAGGAGGAGCGCATGGCGGAGCGGGCCTGAAGTGTGTAGCTGGCAACGTCCCCGGTGTGGTGGTGGTTCACTGGTTCAGGTGGACAATGCCTCGAGCTTGCTAGAAATGGCGTTGGCATGGAGTTCTCCAAGGTGAGGTGGCGAGGTATATGTCTGGCGGTGCATGGCTTGATTTTCGAGTGATGTGGGTGCTCCATAAGCAGTGGCAAAGCTCCTATTTTTTTCTGGCCACCAGATGGAGGAGGAGTTGTCTCCCATCGCCTAGCCGTTCTCTGGATGCAGCAAGCCATCTCCCATTAGTATCTGATTTTTGCCGTTCTCTGGATGCAGCAAGCCATCTTCCATTGGTATCTGATTTTCGTTTGTATTCCCCACAAAAATTTGAGGTGTTTGTTTTGTGTGGTGTCCTGCCTACAAGGTGTTCGTTGTTTTCCCTACAAGCATGGGAATGTGGCAATCTTACATGACCTGTTAGTGTGTAAGCCTGAATGGTTTGTTGGGCTTTAGATTTGGATCCTAGCTTCCACTTAATTTGCCCTAAACATTTGAACCTACCTTAATGTTAGCAGTTAAAATATCTAATGAAATGCATCATTGAAAATATTCATTTGTAGTTAGCTCTGTAGATGCATGCATTTCATATAGATAATGATTGCTGATAACTGCTTCTTTTGCTAGAATATTTATGTGACTACCTAAATAGCTAACAAACTTCTCCAATTATAATCAGTCATTGCTTGTCCCTGTGATTCATAAATCTGTATGGTTCTTGTGATTCCTGATTGAGTTTTCAAGGAAAATACTAACATTAGGTGGGGAATACTGTGCAAATGATTCTGTCACAGCTGAAAGACACTCTAAAAAACCTCTCATGTATTTCACATTTGAATGCACCATTCAGGTGGGAAGGAGATTACACATTGGTGATGGCACAAAGCCACGGGCAGAACAACTCTCTTGCGTGCTCGAGAAAAAAGCCAGCGGCAGAAATGCCATCTTTGTTCATTTTATTTTCCTTTTTTTAGTTAGTTTGATTAGATTAAGGTGCTTAACGAGCTGGATTTGCTGTTAAATTTTAAATGATTTAAACAGCGGGCCATGGGTTCACTATTTGCTAGAGGTGTTCGCATCGTTTAATTCTTACATGCATTCCTTGGGGTCCTACATCTACAATCCTGGTTGCCTTTCTAATTTGAGATAATACAAAGCATGTACAGCCTATATGGCTCTATCGGTTTTCTGATCACAAAATTTGTCTGTATACATCTATTAGTTTTCTGATCACAAAATTTTTGTTACAACATTGAAAATGCTGGTCTATCTATGATTAGAAACTTTGCTGGTTATTTCTGTGTATAACTGCAATATGATGTTATCTATATTTGCGATACAATTCTGCAAATTGCTGATTACAGAAGTTGTCTTGCAAGAGTTGAAAAGGACATGTTTATGTGCTTAGATGTTATTCTGGTTGCTTGATCTGGCATCCTGTCATAATTTGTTTCTAACACTATCAGAACAAAAGGATAGAATATATGTTGCCTAAATGCTGTAATTTTCATGGAAAGAAGCTTGATGATATTGCCACCTCATCCCACAACTATCATGTAAGCTATATTGGTTGTATAGAAAACCAAGCATTTGAGAATTTTTTTTATTGTCAAAGATTCAAAAGCCTTGCCAACCCTTGGTATTGTTTGTATTTTCTGTATTTGGTCTATTTGGTAGTTAAGAAATTCCCTACAAGTCTGATTTGATACTTTATAAATTCATTCTCTTGCAGTCCTGGAGCATTGTTCTGCTTGACGGGTGGACAGGGATAAGTGTGGCCTTTTGTTCTGTAGCTGAAAAAGTGGAAGCTATGTAAGGAATGTTAGCTAGCATATGATCAGAGTGATCTAAGGTTTCAGTCTGTTGGATAGGATTGTGTTGGCTTAATGTTTAAGCTTTTGGGTATAGGTGGAGATCTCTTAGTAGCTTTCTTTTAAGCTGGTAACCCCCAAGCCTTTTGTCTTCTGAAAACATCTCTATGAAAATATTTACAGTTTGTAGTTCAGTAAAGCAATTGATCAACATGAGTATTATATTTTGATATGCGAATGTTGTTCTCACAAAAGAAAAGTGTTAATTTTGTCGTTCTAATTCTATAGTTAAAACGACTGCAATTCATGAATTAATTGGTTGTACCCAATTACTACACAAAATTGATCTTCGATAGGGCGCACAACGTGCGCCAAAATGTCTAGTACTATGTAACTATTCCATGGTTGTATGCAAAGACGAGGGACGGTAGCAGAAGCACCGATGATCAAGATGACAATGGGAAATCCCTCGCCAAACAATACATCCCCGTCGCCGCCAACTACAGTGATGGGGAACTTTTTTGTTATCCCCGCCTCCACACGGAAAATTAATCACCGCAGATCGCCCATCCCCATTTTTAAAATCATTTACATATCAATAGCATATTCTTTTAACATGAAAAGTGTCCGTCCACTGATCATGTTACGATTAAACCTTTGGACATACATAATTTGCATTGGATTTAGACCCTTATACCCGCTAATCAGGTCTTCACAGGGAACGGGGACGACGAGGGACAAAGGATCATCCCCACCGTACCCCTCGCCACACCCAACAGGGACAACCCCTAGACCCGACGGGGACATATTTCCACCATTCCGTGTTCTCTAATAAGAGAATTCCCTACAGAAAAAAGGGAAGAGAGCCCCATTTCGATACCTATATACCGACGGTAGTGTGATGAAGTTATATGGGTATAACTATATTCACCGGGGCTCAAATTCTGATACCTACCGATATTACATACATACACATATACACACACGTAGGTATACTTTCAATGGGATCTTAGTGAGCTCGGCGATTTGCCGGCCATTTACATCTATCTATTTGAGCTCGTGTTAGGGAGACACGTTCGTAAATATGTAAGTATGGTATGTATGTTATCTTTTACGTAATAAAAAAAGTCCAATGAAGGATAAAAGAAAAGTAAATATATTACTAGTCGTAAAAAGTAATTATCATTCAAAGATCTGTAAAATTATATACATATGTGCGCATGTGACAAGCTGCCTTTTTTTTTGAATGTTTCATTACTCAGCCACTTCTTATAAGAGTGAGGATATGACAATTTTGGAATCAAAATTAGCTTGGTTAATAATTTAAAATACTGCCAAAGCAGTGTAAAACCTGGCCTCTTAACCAATTCATGTGAAGTGAATTAGAGGTCTATAAGTGTTACGTACTTGCTTTGCAGGAGAAATATACAAGTAAAACACAAGAACTTGCTATAGCCAACTGTCCTTTCAGTCTTTCACCATGAAAATGAGTGTTCACCCAATCACCCATATATTCTCTAGTACATGTCATTAGTTTTTTATATCTTCAGAGGGATCTTCACGGACACTTAATGATGCGGTGAGGCCACTAATCTTCAATTAGAAGATCCAGTCATCCAATGCATGCATGCTTAATGCATTCCAAGCTAGGTAAGTTCTAGCATTCATACCCCGAGCCGCACGCAAATGTAAGTAATATAAGACATCTCTAACCCAGAAACTATCAAATAGTTTCTATAGTTGTCATATCGATCGTATAAACACTATATATAGAGACTATATATCCAATGAATTATATCTTCAAAATTAAATTATCATCCTATCACAACTCTTCTCTATCCTTTTATCTATATATCCCCTTATTTTCTTTCTTGCTTCTTGTGTAGAGATGGTTTTCTTACCTGAGAAATGTTTTCTTCATCTTTTTACCTCTTTCCTCATTATTTTTCTTGTCACATCAGATTTTTTTTACTTATGTGGCAATGTATTAAATGTTATGGACACTAGATGACATAGGGTTGATGATGGTCTAATATGTTGTCTTATGATAGAAAATTAATGTGTCATTTGGTGTCAAAACAAAAGTTTCAATTAAAATATTTATAATTCTAGGACAATCTATCTATCTATTAACTTATTAAGGTAATAGAAAAAAGCGCTTCCAAATTCACTCTCATGACCTAAAATTTCTTATAGTAATCAGAAAAAAAAGGAAAAAAATAGAGTCCATATAAAATATAATTTAAAAATAGATTAAATTTGGGATTTTAAAAATAATACTCAATTTATTCCAAAATATAAGGCACAACCACCCTTAACTCAAAGACCACGAAATAATTATTATCATCTTGTAGTTTGGATCATCCTCATAAATATAATGCATGCATCCAATAGAATTAGAGATAACATAAGAGTGGAGGATTTTAAAAGGTTATAATTTAATGAAGAAGATGTCATAGTTAATTGCATGCTTGCTTCCATGCCTTATATTATGGAACATCTAAGAAAAGTGGTTATGCCTTATATTATGGAATGGAGGGAGTAAAATATTGAAAGAGGAGACTAGAGTCCATACATATATACAATTATAGAGCTAATTGAAATTTGGAATTTAAAAAAAAAATAGAAAATTAAAACTAGATGTTAGAGTCCATACATAAGTACAAAATACCTAAAATTCGAAATTAAAAAAATAAAGAATATTGGAAAAAAATTATATAGTCCAGAATAAAATTTAGAAATAACTGAAATTTTGAATTAAAAATATGGATGATGGAAAGAAGAGTGTTGAAATTCGGAATTAGAAAATAAGAAAATTAAAAGTAGATTTTAGAGTAGACAGGAGTTTTACGTGATAATAATAGAGATAACATATAAGATAGCTAGGTAACAAAACTCAGATTTGACAATTTTCGTCCTAGAGTCTGCAGTCAAAAGCTTAAGTTATAGAGGTGCATTTGACAATTTCCGTCCAACGACCAAGTATCACAATTCGATGGCTGACTAAAACCGCGCGCGCTTCCTCCACGAATCACGACCAGCAGTAATTTCTATTGCAGTAGGCCACCGTACCATGCACAGCACATGTAGGAATTATAGCGTTTTACTTCCACATATGCATGAGACAGACTCTCCTCTCAGTTCTTGGAGAATCCTCCCACAGTGGCTGCACGATCAGAAGATCCAACTTTTCTAGAAAACGCCCAAAATTGCGTGCAAATGGCTACTTGCAACCTTTTGTTGGTCCTAGGAAGAACGTCCTTCTTGGTGCATGCGTGACAAAATGATTGATTGATTTGTTCACGCCCACGTACTGGCCGTAGCTACTAGAGTAGCAGCTAGCTAGCCGCGGACCTCCCTTTTCACGAACTAATTTCCTTGTCCTTAGAGTCGGCAAGAAATCGATCAGATCATCCACACTAGCTGGGCGGTAATGAGAATCTCATCGATCGCACGTTCAGCCAGCACCAAGGCCTTGTAGGTTGTAGCCACTCAAGTTAATTAGCTGAAACGGAGCAGAGTCAAAATTTGACTCTCTGGCTCGTGTAGCTTTTGATAAGGAGGTTTTACTTTCTAATTCCAAGCCTTGATCATCAGTTCATCACAACCATAAAATGAGTGAACGCTTATATGGCTGCTATTTATGGTATACTAATGAAAGATAAGCCCTTCTGCGTGTGCCCGCAGTGTTATGTTGTGTAACCGAATTGCTTTCTTCTAATTGAATGATGTGCAATTGTTCTGTGTGTTCGAAAAAAATAATCAAAGGTAATGGCAGAAGGAAGACGGAACAATAACACCACATATGAACATCTAATAGTGTGCCGCCTAAAAAATATAATTTACACGGAAGGCCATCTAAGATACGTCCCCATGTAAATATAGATATTTTTCTAGTCGGCACTTCAATGAAACCGTCTGCGTGCGGGTGGCTGCTTAAGGTAGCCGCTCGGGTAAATTGAAACAATCTTCACGTGCGGCGGTTGTCAGTGGTCACCCGCGTTTTTATGTTTACACGAATGGCTCTCTGACCCTTTGACACAAGAGATATCATCATTCGTAACCATAAAACATGCATTTTGTATTTTCATCCACTTGGGAAATTAATCGTGAGGGACCTGCAAAAACTTTTTTTTGAAGTAGTGGGAGCTAGCACACTGGTGTTGAGAGGTGTCCTAGGAGAAACTGGAGCTCGAGCTAGTAACAATCAACAAGCCTATGTTAGATATGAATATAATCAAAACTGAATTACGGAATAATCAAAACCGAATTGAAAGTCGATTATATGGAGATTTGAGATAGATATATATTTGCAAACATCGAAAAAGGCAAGATACTAAAGCACTTTCAATATCTAAGAACCTGAAAGATGAAGCTATCCCTGAAGTGACCTGAAAGATGAACATGAAAGACGAATTACCTCCTTGACAAATAAAAAATAGAGGGGTCCACTTGTTAGTTCTATCTCTTCTTTCGGTCACCATATGGCAGTTCAATCAGCACTAAAAAAAGTACAAAAAGGTAGAGCCCACATGTGGTGATTGAGAGAAGAGGCAGAACTAACAAGTGGGCCCCCACTATTTTTTATTTTGTTGACTACCACGTGTGTGCTACATAGAATCAAAACCGTTCTGGATTCGGTCAAGGGGTAATTCGTCCGGTATGAAAAGTTAAGAGTGAAGAATATCTATTTTTAAATTGAGGGGGATAATACGTACTGTTACAATAGTTTGAGAGGTAGAGAGAGGGGTAATTCAGATTTGTTTTTTTCCCTTAATTAATCTCTACATTTAATTTGTGACTTGTCATTCCTGGATCAAGTTCTAGAGTTACAATGTTCCATGAAGATATTATAGGCTTAAGGGAAAATTAACATGTACTCCCTTCGTCCCAAAATATAGTAACCTAGGATGGGATGAAATCTATCCTAGGACAACGAATCTGGATATGTCTTATCCCATTCTAGGTTGTTATATTTTTAGGACGGAGAGAGCAACAAGGTATTTGTACTTCTATATCTTGTATTGCACTTTATTATGTATTAGTGTGCCACTATCGAGGAGTTTGAGGATAACAACTGGACTTGACCAGGGCTTGAGAAAATACTAGGTCCGTTAACGCAGACATACACAAAGGCTGATAGCTACTTAAGGCCATTTACAACCCAATAACTAGGATGGTGTCCATAACATTAAATAAGCTGCCACCTAGGATGAAAAATGATGTGGCAAGTGAATAAATGAGGAAAGAGAAGGAAACTATATCTTGCATGAGACATGACTTCTACACAATATCCAAAACATCATGTGAGATAAGTAGCATTAAATTTAAATATAGGATAATTATGTTTACATTGGAAGAGTAGTGTCTAGTAGGAGTAGTAGTTTCTTAATGATGTGGAGTTTATGAAAACTATGTCTAGTGTCTTGGGTTGAGAATGGCCTTAGTGATCCTGTCCTTGCTATATATTATAGGATTGGCAATAATTAACAGCCATTCTTTTTCCTCTCTTCTTCTTTTAGATATTTTCTTTTTTTATTTCAAGAACGTTAGTTGAGCTAGCATGCGTCCTTTTTTTAAAAAAAAATAATCAAGATCTTCTCTCTTGCATGCTGTCCTTAATTAAGAGAAGAAAATAATTGAGCATATGAATTGACTTGTTAGTTTTAATTTACTTGATTCTCCAAAGCTACCTACCAATTCTATTTCTACACCTGACCGTCAACAGTATTGATAGTCGTCAGCAACTAACTACTAATTTGCCCCATATATATATATTTATATATATGCTTGCACGAGGGATAACCGGAAAAGAAGAGTTTGGTCAAATATGACGGCAGAGGGAATAAAAATGATGGCACTAGACTGTCAAAACTAAGGAATTATTCAGCTATATCGAGAGGAAACCGAGACATGCTCGTATCTGCAATCCGTTTAAAAGGTGCAACTTTTGCGTGGCAAAGATACAAAATACATGTGTGTGCTGAAGGAGATCGAGCCTTTTTATCATTCCATGCATGCATGCGTGAAAGGATTAGAAAATACACCATCTGTGCACTCCCAAAGCATGTCGTGAGGGCAAGTATTTTGCACGTCTCCTTCACATTTTGTGCAGATAAAATTTCGTAAATAAACTTATAATCAAAGTGGATTCACTCATAAAGAGAAAACGTATGCACGCTAGTAAAGACTAATCTTGAAGAAGTATTTATGCTTGCCCTCCGTCCTGTAACTGAAAACTTACTGGTACTCCGGCACTTGCAATATTAATTAATACTAGTATATATGCGGATTTATCGTGTACATCTAAAAACTTGCGGTCACAACCATATCCATCAGACCACCGTACGTACACATATATTATCTCAGTTTTATAATATATGATGTCGTTCATTTTTTTAACTAACATTTAATCATTAATCGTTTTAATCAAAATTTTTGTGTAAATATAAAAAAATTAAGTCATACATACGTAAAGAATTTTTAACGATAAATCAAGTCAAAGTAAAATAAATAATAGTTATATATTTTTTAATAAGATAAATGATCAAGCATACGTTAAAAAAATTCAACGGCACCATATCTTAGAAAAACGAAGGGGGTACATCTTGGGGAATTAATATATCGATCATGATCATTCATAGAACATATAAGGCCAGATAAAACATCAGATTCAACACATGTTTTGATTAGATACCATACAAGAATGTGAAAAAAGAAGAAATAATAAATGTGTTATGTTGAACTGAATAACAAATAGCTAGCGATAGACATAGATCTAACGCAAAACCGGCCTGCTGCAGGTACTAGCTAGCTAATCGAATATGAGAACAACAGTATTAATTATCATTTACTTATTCTTGTGTCAAAATCCCAATATTACGGCCATCTGCTACCAAACAAAACAAGCAAACCATGCATCATGATAAGGCTATCTTATGGACACTACCACAAGAAACCGGCCAGTTCAGTGTATCAATGTCCAAAGCAATCAGAACTCTCTCTTTTGCACCGTCATTGTGTATTAATTCCAGATTTATACATATATGTAGGCACAAAAGAAACTACACACCCGTCATTAATTTGTACAATCTAACAACCAAAAGCGGGTCGATCATGTATAATAAGTTGGCATCTTCTTTGATTGTCAAAAGCGAAAATGTGAGACGAAATATTAATTAATTTGCTCTCTCCGAAAATGAGTCAATGAGGTACACATGATATACACTAGTACATGCATGTACAATAAGTCTAGAGGTGCAGAACAGTAAAGGGCTATGCTGAAGAATCAAGTGGAATGCAGCCGTTCTAGTTATAAAGTTGTAGCTTCCATCTCTACTGATCCGTTCAATTTGCAACCAGGGAAATGTTGACAAATGGAAGAGAGAAAAAAGCATGAAGTGCACAACACACACAAGTTACGTTCAAGATGAAAAGCTTGCAGAAAATCAATTAATTAATAACAATTATATATTCTCACCAAGACCAAGCTGATCATCAAGCACTCCCTAGCCATCACATTTTTGGCGCAACGACTCCAATGTTTGAAAAGCATCTTGATAAATTCCGGGTGCTAGTTAAATATTGAGTAGTATATATTTGTGCAGAATCAGTTAGATCAGTCATCATCATGGGTTGCTGCTGGGCATTGTGGAAGGGAAAAGGTCTTGCAGCAGGGCGTAGTCAGTGAAGTGATGCTGCTGAAGAGGAGGATGATCGTTGGGCGGCATTGCACCGCCGCCAGCCACAGCAGGAGGCGGCGGAGCAGAAGCAGCTACGCCCGGGAAGTACATGCTAGGGTTTGCGGCGGCGGCGGCCATGGCCGGGTGGTGGTGCATGAGGCCCATCAGCTCAGGGTGGAACCCCGCCGGCATGAGGTGCGACGGCGGCAGGCCATGCACGCCGGGCATGAAGAGGTGGTGGTGGTGGTGCCCTCCGACGATGCCGACGCCGCCGCCGCCGCCGCGGAGGCTCGCCGGGCTGTGGTGCGTGTGCTGCCCTTCGTACGTGGTGATCACCGTGGAGGGGTCCTGGTACGACCGCTCCACCCGCTTCTTCACACCGCACTTGGGCGTCGTGCACCGGTAGTAGCTCCTGCAATATTCGAATTCGAATTGAATTGCATTTTGAAATTGGAGTACTTGAACACCATCGTGCCATGCAATTGTATGGCACAGTAACATGGTATACTACGATATATGTATGTGCTACAACAACTGGGTGAAATTAAGGTTTGTACATGTATATAGATGTGTACCTCGGGTATGGGCTGTTCTTGACTGCCTTCTGGCCGTACTTGCGCCACCGGTAGCCGTCCTCGAGGTGATCAACCTCGCTCTTGGTGAGGAACGCCACGCGAGGCTGCCGCTGCCTCTTCTCAGCTTTCTTCTTGGGCTTGTTCCTGTGTAGATGCATGGTACAAAATATCAAAAATAAGGTCAGGTGGATTAGCTAGAAACAGAGAGATGATATGGATTCAGAAGATCAGTTGATATTTCTGCGGTGACAAGCTCAATCAGGCCTAATTATTAATTAGTTTGGGCTTTTTCAGAGCACCAACAATCAAACTAGCTAACTAGCTTGCTAGATAGGTAGGATCATGGTGGACTATGGGAATAGCTAGCTATTTCATGTTAGATTAGCACCAGGTTTTGCTAGAAATAGTTGTTATTTTGATATATAGTATTAATTAGGGTCTAATAAGTTAGCTAGCTAGCTAGATATCTGTTGGATTGCATGTTATGGGGCAAGATCAGCGTTAATTTTGCAAAAGTACTGAGGAACTATTGTAGATTTAGGTGGTTGGTGGTGATACGAAAATATATCTTAATTTGAATCATTTCTAAAAGGGGAAATCATAATATAATCTTCAAAGACCTAGCAAGTCAAAAATTGAAGCTATAACTCGTAAAATTGATTCATTCTACGCAAGATCTATTATGGAGCATAGGTTGGTTGTCTATTAAATTAAATCGAATAGTAGTAGCCCCATCGTCTGAAAGATCATATTGGAAATTGGGTCAAAACGGAATCAGAAGAAAAGGGGAACAAGAGGATAGACGGATCTACTAAAAAGAACCCTAAGGAACCAAAATTCTAGCAAACCCTAATGTTCACACCATGCATGCAGTAGAGAGAAAGCATAAACGAAAGAAAATTTCAGGTCAAATTTTGCAACTCCGCAACAGTATGACCAACCAGATCTAGCCCCAAGAAAGTATCCCCATCTCAAGACACGCATCAAAAAAGAATTAATCAAGCAAGAAATCAAGACAAGAATCAGACAAAGTATAGAGTAGAATCAATGGAAATTTAACATACGGTTTCTTGGAGTTCTCTCCATCCTCCTCATCCTTGTCGTCCTCCTCCTCCGCCTTCGCCTGACCCTTCTTGCACCGGCGTGACGATTTGCCGCCCTCCGCCTCTCCGTCGCTGGACGAGAAGGACGCCGACGAGTTCGGCGTGGCCTGCGCGACGCCTTCTCCGGCGACGCCGCCGGTGCCCTGGCTGTCGTGGCTCGTCACATCCACCGACAGCTCCTGCTTGACCACCGTGTCCTGAGACGACGGGCACGCCACGTCGAGGTGCCGAGCTAGCCCGGAGGGGTCCAATAACCCCTGCAGGTAGTCCGTGATGCTGGAGTACGGCATGATCTCGTCGGCACCGCCGGCGCCGACGACGCCACCACCACCCCCGCCGATGCCGACGCCCCCGGGTTGGCTGAAGAAGAAGCTCTCCATGTCGCTGCTGCTGTACACGTAATCAGCGCCTTCGCCGCGGCCGAGGTGCCCGTGCTGGTGGTAGGGGCCATGGCGATCTCCTCCTCCTCCTCCTCCTCCTCCAGAAGACATGGGGTGTGAGAGTATGGGGAGCTAGCTTATGTGTGGAAAGGAAAGAGAGGCGTGGAAGTGAGGAGGGTTTCAGCTTTCAACCGGTCTCACCTCCCTTTTGATTTGTTTTTTCTTTCTTTTCCTTCGCTGGAAAAGGATAGGCGCAAGATACGACTTTTTGTGATGGAATATGTAAATCTGTCTCGGTGCGGCGTCTAGTGATCTTCGTTTATATATATATAATACTCCATAATTCCAGCAGTACTATTAATATATATACACACATATATACTAGCTAGCTAGTCGTCAATTCTTAATGGTAGAGACGTTTTATTAATGAAATCAGCGTGCTTAATTTAGATTCTTTTCGCATCTGTTGGTCAGGGAGGTATTAGGTATAAGACCGGCCAGTGTCAACGTAATTAAATTGTGTAGGGCCTGCCGTACTATGAATAGTTGAATCCATACAGTTCAGCTTACTGTATGCTGAATTAAGATACTATTTCCCGGTTGGAGTTGGTATATATTGGGCATAGCATGCATATACTATGTACATGTTTTGTGTCCATTAATTTGAGCAATGTAACTCACTTACATCCACCGCGTTTTAACGGACATCTACGGGGATCCAGCCAAGAGTTCGAAACTGTGCATGTGAATTTCGATTCAAATGTTTATGCATGATCAGGCATGCTTCAAGATTTTAAATGATTTGCACAGTACACTACAGCTCTTTCTTGACATACACGTGCCACACAAGTACCGTTTTGAAGGATGACATGTATCCATACGTATATACAGCTGTACATATTTATAGTTGGATATTGGACGTACGGCTGTCACAGTACCCTTGCACAGTGCACAGCTACCAAACTACTCTCATCTTATTAAGGACAAATATTTCATTCGGTTAAAAATTAGAGAAGAAAGACGTCAAAAAAAAATTCGAGAAGAAAGACGTACGTCTAAAAAAAATCGAGAAGAATGTTCATTGCAATTGCCTTCTGATCTACACAATCTAGCATTGACCTCATGGTCCAATTGAATAACATGGCAAAAAATATAGTAGTATATGCGTGTGTATCTGTGAGATGTGTCTACATCGAACATGTACGTCTACAAGTTTTTAATTTCTGTTGATTTCGTGGAGGGTTGACTTAACTCATCACTGATATTTTTTGTCTTGCTTTTCATATAGTGAAATAATGATCACTTCTTTTGCCGAAGTTAATCGTCGGCATATATATTTAGAGAAAGTTTAGGGATGAATATCCTGAAAACTGTATTTTTCTAGAGGAAGATGGACACGGATGATTCTATGAGCTGTGGTTCGTCTATCTAATTAATTTTCTAGTCGATTGATTTTCACGTGGAAATACTGTTTTTTTATGGGTTGGTTATTTTCGAGTTAGGATGTTTTTTTTTAGTGGAAAAGGAGCGATGGTCTGGCAGGAGGATGGCACCGCTCTTACGGTACGTAGTAGAGATAATGGATTCGAGTATGTGCTGATCAAATGAAATTAATCTGTAGGTGATCCCTCCTTTTTTCGCCATTTTTATGATAATGAGGAAACACAGAGATAAATGATAACGTAATTAGTTCCTAGATTAATTATAGAAATACCCCACTATATCAATTAAGGTTTATATTATGGCTGCTTTTTTCCAAGACTGTTGATTGATGAGTTGTCTGAAGATCAAACAATATAAAGAAGTATAGCACCTTCATTATTCAAAATTATATACTCCCTCCTTTCTAAAGTATAAAGTATAAGGTGATTTAGATTTTTACGTGGTGATCTCCTATGTTATAGCTTGACCATTAATTTTTTGCATGATATAACATCGGCAGCTACGAAATTAACATCATATAAAAATCTTATCAAATATGAATATAATAGTACTACATGTAACTAATAAACTCTCACGTATTGTAAATTTAATTATTAGTAGTACAATTTAAAATTTTTGATTTTTATAAAAGACGGGTGCATTATATTTTACGGATGGAGTAACATACTTGACGCTGGCATAGTGATCTATAGATACGGGAATTGATGCCAGCGAAACTTATTACATCACATATAGATCAACATTTTTTACAAGAAAAATGATGTTATGATTTTCAGCTGATCAACTCTTTACAGTACTGTGTTTGGTATATTTTCTGGTAAAAGTGAAAAAAAAAACTATATCATTCAACATATATATTATACTTTTTATATACTGGAAGTATTACAAATTAAAGATATAGTTATTCCTTATTTGCCTCAACTCAGCGTCCCACGTTTTTTTACTGTTATATCAGTCGCATGCATATTTGGTCACGGCTAGCTGTGATTTGGGATGCGAAGTATGTATGCTGACCATGAAACTATTTTAATCCCTTGAAAAAAATATCTAGCTCCTTTATTTAAAAACAATAAATAAAAACAATCCGAAGTTATAGAAAAATCTTACAAAATTTGACAACACTCACATGACATATATATATTAGTTAACAAAATTTTTGGTATAAATAAACTCAACTCACTTATCGAGATATAATAAAATAATAAACTTATATAAATAGTAGGGTACTGTTAACATTTGAATTCATTTATTTTTCAATATGTAGGTCAAGTTTAAACTTAATTTTAGGGGATTGATAGTTGTCACTATACTCTGTATTACCAAGTTATTTTTTAAAAATATTTCACAACTAATTACGTTAAATTAAAAAGAAAAAGTTACACGATGAGTATTTCCCTCGAGGGATTATGCTAACCCAGCGCGTGTTATTTGGTCTAGCTAATTTGGGAGTCATAAACGATACTGGAGATCGAGCTGGTACTTAGCTTAGAGAATTACTACCTTTCTTGAACATTTTTATATTTTAAAGGACCGTCGTTTGATTCCATTCAAATCAAAATCCAACTAAAACATTATAAGATAGGAAAATATCTCCCTATTAGTAAAAAAAAATCTCCAGAATATAGCAACGAAATAAGCAGAGACCCGCTTATAAAAAAACGGCCGGCGCACGTTGCCCCACGGCTACTGGCTGGTCTCGGTTGTTAGAGAGATCACGACTCTCTCATGTTTTCCTCCCATGCCACGAGTCACGGCCGGCCGGCCAGCGCCGCGGGCGTCGCGTCACACCACGAGCGCGCGCACAGTACACGGAATACAAGACGCCCGTACGTACAGCCGCGCAGCTACAGTCCCCCGTCACGTTGGGCTCGCTCGCTCGCGCGCGGCCTGTGCACTAACGGCGTACGTCGACTCTGGTGTACGTACGTGGTGGAGAGGCCGGCCACCGGGCACGTCTCGCCGTAAGCTAGCGTATACCGGTATACGTCGATCGATCGGCGCGCTGCGCGGCGCAGCGCGCGTGGAGTCAAACTTCCCCGCGCCTGCACGTGCGCCATTAGCTATCTAAGCCGGTCAAGCGCGCTCGCCCAAATCGGCAAACAACCCGGCGGAACCCGATCGACGTCGACGCGCGCTTGTCACCGAGCCGTGTACCGCTCCGCCGGCCACACGTGGCGTGGCCCGTCGGCCATCGCACCGTACGTGGAGGCGAAGCATCGATCGCCGTCTACAGAGACTCCTCCGGCCGGGGCCGCGCGCGAGCGATGGGTCCCGGGTCCCGGGCATGCATCGATCGGGGCCGTAATTCATTCGCCGGCGTGCGTGCGTGCGTGCGTGCGCGCGCGACCGTGTGAACGGCCCGGCGCCGCGATAGTACGATGGCTGGTAGGCGGCATCAGTGGGCGCGGGACCGGGTGGGTTATTCCAGGCCCTCTCCCGATCGAGTTCCGTGATTCCGTCTGGTTTCCTCCGCTGATCTCCAGGGATTTCCGAGCGTGCGTGCGTGCGCGCGGATCGGACGAGATCGACCCGGGGCCGGGCCGGGGAGCGGCTGCGCGTGTCGGCAGGCAGGTCAATTGAGTTGAGGTGATATGCTGTTGGCGTGGTGGGTCGTGGACGCGCGGGGGGATCTCGGATCGATCTTGTGCGTGTTCGTGCAGCGCGCGGCGCGGGGTGGCCGGTGGACGCGAACGCGACGTATATAGGTGGTGTAGCGCGCGCGGGTGGGGTTGGGTTACGTGGTGGAGCTGAGCCCGGCGGCGCGCGGTTTGTTCCGCCGCGTGCGCGTTTCAGCTCCTTTTTCGGCTTCTTTTTTGGCGATTTGATTTTGATGCCTGCTCCCCGATGTGTCCATCGGGTGTCGGTTCTACCAGAGACAGCGGGGCCGGGCCGTGACTCGGACAGGTTTGGAGTTTTTCGCGGGACCGGTAACGTACGTAGGTGCTGCTTCCTTCAAAAGGTGGGGGTGAGCCGGCCGGCGAATATGCACGCGCGTGTACCCGCTCGAATACTCGGTCAGCTAATGAGATGATTTGGGCGTCCGTGGCTCGGTGGCGGCTACGTTCAGATTCAGCTTCATATGCATACCGTACGACTGTCAATTGTCATGATACCGACGGTTACCTTTTTCGTCGGGTTGAAATATAAATGCTAATAAGATGCGGCAATGGTGTTAGCGTAGCAAGGCGAGGTATCTGTGTGAAAATGAGGAGGAATTCATGACAGAGATGCTGATTGCTGAGCGGTACATATGGGCTGGCATTGCCGACCAACCGGTGACTAGACTACCATACTGGTACAGTGCTACTCATTTCTGAGCGACTGTTGTTTTGTCCCATGCAGGCTGCAGGCTGACCTGATCAATTGGGCTGTCAAAAATGTCCAGCCCAAACTCTATGGTAACGCAGCCCAATATAACTACGCTCTTTTGGGCCCATCAGGTCTCTCCTCAAGTTAGAGTCGAAGAGGCCCACGAACAAGCCAATATTACCCCCCAAATCACCGAACCGGAAGGGATCATCAAACCCCAGAACGACACTTCCGCACAGCCCTAGGGTTTCTGTTCAGCGACCCCCCGAATCGAATCAAGAGGGAGGTGCCATGGCGTCGCGGCCGTCGCTGAAGCCGAAGCCCAAGGTCAAGGGCGCGAGGAAGGGATCCCCGGCGGCCGACGAGGAGCAGTCCACGGCTGCGGCGGCGGTGCGGTTCGTCAAGGAGTGGACCACGTGGACCATGAAGAAGACCAAGGTGGCGGCGCACTACGGCTTCATCCCGCTCATCATCGTCGTCGGCATGAGATCCGAGCCGAGGCCCTCCCTCGCCCAGCTCCTCAGCCCGGTCTGATCTGACGATCGCCTTCAAGCCCTAGATGCGATCGATCTGCCCCCCTTTACTACCGCTTTAGTAGTGACTTTAGTAATAGTTCTTTCTTAGATCGTGCCTTCTGAGCAGTTGATGCTGCTGTGCGGATTTAGAGGTTTTTGCTATATGAATCTAATAATGTTATATGGGTGGATGCTTCTTTGGATTAAACTCTTGCTATTATTGTGCGGGTCATGGATCTGCTATTAATACTTCGGTATGGTATGGAGAAATTTTCTGTGTTATTTGTATATTCCTACTCCTTCCGGTTCCATTTTAATTGACGTTTTGGACAATGACACGGTCTAAAAGATATTTTTAATCTTACTTTTCTATTATAATATATGTTGTTCTAGTTCCTTTAAACTAAATATTTTTTAAAGTTATTAATGGTCAAGTTATAAAAGTTTGGCCTCAAACCGGAGGGAGTACATGTTTATGCTTCTGTGTGACCTATTTAGCTTTCCGATCCGTTCTGATTGAAGTATTGAACTACTCAGAAAGTAAGCATTTGCTTTCCTTTGCAGCGTTTTGTGTGATGATCTGGTTTTCAGTATTTGCCTGAAAAGTGACATCACACAACGTTGCAAAGGAAAGCAAATGCTTACTACTAATCACTTATAATTAGTGACATAAAACTGGGACAATTATTGTGTGTTTTTGTGGATGTGGATAACTTGATTTGCAAAACAGCAAGCTCGTGGTGGCGAGGAAAGATTCAGAACTCCCATTGCCTAATGAATTGTGGACTATGCTAGCAGCGAAGTGGATGCGACCAGGGTTTTCGATTTGACGAAAGCCGATCGAATACCGTGAAAATTTGAGGTTTTGACATGGGATGCAAGTAGATTTTGGATGAAATTTCAAATGGTTCTTTAGAATTCAAATTTGAAACAATAATTCAACCAGAATTTGATCAAAACAACCATCCTCAATTTGATCTTACTGCGTTTTTCTATTGATTTTTATTTATAGGAAAAAAAACCTGCCAAACACGGGCAGATCCAATTTACAATAAACTTGTCCGTGAGCATTGCAAGCTAAGTTTCACAAGTGCAAGTAAGAAATCAGTCGATTTACTTCACAATGTAAAGGGGCTTAATATGTGTCACTTCATATTGGTAGAATGAACAGCTTTATTGCTCTGTGCAAGTAAGAAATACGGAGTACTAACATACAGAAGCAGCGCTGTATCTATATTGTCTCTACATCGACAAAACAGGTGACATTCACCTTCAGAAACACAAGAAGCCACAACAACTCACTTCTCCAGATGAAATATACGACAATGCTAATTTTTCTCCACCGAGCCACCATAAATACATCCTTAAAAAACTCCAGCCTGTGCTCTCCCTGCTGTATATGCTGTTGAGGATGTTCAAACTCATGCTTCAACATTCCCATTAAAGATGTACCAAAAATCTTTAGGACGTTCAAGGATGTGGTAGGACAAGCAGAGAAACTGACAGGCTCATCACCAATATAAAATGCTCAGGATCAAGAAAGCCCAAATTTGGACAAAGCTGACTGAAACAACGTTGAAAATGCCTCTGCAGCGGTCCCATCATCAGCCTTCACTTTGATCTGTGCCTTCGCTGATGCTGTGTTGACGATACATTCTACAAGGAAGAAAGCGGTAGCACCATCCTTTTGAGCATAGAAAAAGAACTTGTAGTTTGGGGGCTGGCCACCTGAAGCAATACACTGAATGTAGTTGTTTTGCATATGTCGAATGAGTGATTGAGGATTCATCAATGATGCTGCTCCTTGTGGACTTAATGAACATTCCTGACAACATAAAAAAGCGCACAACGAAAGAAAATTTAAATTGTATAAGGGTCATAAGGCGAAGCAATTAGAACATGTAACTATTAACTTAAGGCTTCCCGATTGACAATGAATTTATTTCATTAGAATTAAGGATTGCTATCATAAGAAAACAATAGCACTTTAACAAGGCCAATCATTACTCAGAACATATAACTGCTGATTTCAAACACCTCATCAGAGTGACTTTCATGGGAAGACACTTAGTATTTAGATTTAGACAATAGCAGCACCCCATAATTTCATGCTAAAATAGTTCAAATTTGAGTGAGCAACTACAAAAAGGCTACATGAGCATGTTGCTGTACAAATAATCACAAAATGCATGGGAAAGAACTCAGAAGCAACATACCTGAGACAAGGATAAGGCCAGCTGGCCCCATTTCTTCTGGAAAGTACCAGGATCCAGCACAGGTTTTGAGTTGAGGGTCAATGCTGGAGCTGGTGGAGGTGCAGAGGATTGTGGAACACCAAGCCCAAGAAGGTCATCAAGACTGAAGTTGGACTGTGACGAATATGTAGGTGCACCAGGATTTATTAGTGAAGTTTCAGACGGTATTTGTGAACTAAGCAATGAAGGACCACTCAAGTCTGAAGGAGCATTGTAGGTAGAGGCAGAAGAACCATTGCTGGTAGCTGTTGCATTGTCCTCTTTATCCGAAGTACTTAGCAAAAGATCATTATCACTTTCTTGATATCTTTGGGCTGAGATGGTGTTTTCCGTCGTTTCTGCCCCGACAGCCAAATTCGTAAGATCCTCCGAGTACTCAAATGGTCCACGATGCTCCTTGTCAGTAAACATGTAAGATGGCTGCCAAATGCAAAGATAATGTCATATTGATACTTCACATGTATTTGTTCAATAGTAGCATGAGTAATTATATTAGAGTAGCTAACACCAAGAGAAGTACATAATGGACTTATACAGAACTAATAAAGTAATAATACTGATAAAAGTATCCAGTAAATGCATTATCAATATTTAATTTTGTTAGCAATGGTTGAATATAAAAAAAATATATACCTTCTGATATACCACTGATAGGCTGTTGAATTCATCAAATATCCGATCTTTGATTTCACTGCTCTGCGTATCTGCAAATACAGAGACAGCTTGCTTGGGAGGGTTTACAACACGTTCAGCAACAGCAGGATCATACTGCAAAAGCCTATAGTAGAAAAGTGCTCGGTCATGAACATCCTGCAATCAATTCTTGGCAGTTAAGCTAGAGCTCATAGAAATGTTACAGTAATCAAATTATTATCAGAAAAGATCTTGACCTGGTGAGTGTCAGATAGACCAGCGGTTAATGTAGCTCCTAGTGCCATTTGTGTCTCTGGTGGCCTCTTAAAGAAACATTTCATCACCGCAGTCAGGAGATGCAAGCGAACCTGCAAAGTACAATATTACAGGAATAATGAAATAGAATTCAAAAACAAGTAGCTACAGGCATATGATGGTCTAAAGAAAGGGATAGAATTTTACAATAATGTCCAATGACTCACTAGGTATAAGATAGCAATTCAAAAGAAAAAAAACAATAGAATCACCCTTAGTTTTTGGTGCCATAATATGTGAATTTCAGTCTGGAACTTCTATTTTGACACCCTTCATTCCACTGACCAGTGGACACTGTGCCATTCAGCTAATCTGTAACAGGCCAGGCTCTACTCTCCACACATGGGAGTCAGCAAATGTCAAACCCTGCAATAGTTAGTATTTATGCCAGTTCTGACTGATTCACTACTTTAGCCATTATCTCAGATACTCCATGAAAAAAAATGAGAATATAAAGAAGCACCCACTTTTCTTATGACAAGGTAATTTCTTATGACAAGGTAATTTCAGTTGGATAACATGAAAGAAAACACAATGGTGAAGAGAAGAACATTACTACTACCTCAGGAGAGTGCTCTTCCTCCCAATTTTCAACGAGACTCTCAAGAATGTATGGAGCATCATGCATGTCTTGTGAATATTCTCCTAACATCCATATAAGAGCTGCTTTGCCTTTTGGCTCCTGAATATTTTTGCTACTGATGTTTCCAACAACTGCTATACAATCATGGCTCCATTGAGGATATTTCCTCAAAAGATCTTTCACCAAGACCTACATTTAAGTTTTTACTCAGGAACAAAGACACCCAGAGTTGAATGTACTTCATCCTTAGTGAATGATGAACAGTTAAAATACTATCAAAAAAACTTACAAGAGTTTCAGCCGTCACATATTCCTTGTCCATTTCAAGGAATTGCAGAAGCCTGTCAACAATAGCATTCACATCATACTGCTGCAGCGCTATTTTCCCAACTGCTCGAATAGACTCACGTGCGATTGGTACATCAACATTTCCAGCATATTCACACAACTCAGTTACTGGAACGAAAGAAGGCCACAAAATTTTATAAACATAATGAAAATCATGGAGTTAAAAATATATCACATATGTTGTGAGATATGCCGATGTATAATCAATGGAAACAGATATCTGCTGTACCAATTTCATAGGTGTTGCTCTCGTTTGCTATAGCAGTCAGCATCTCAAGTTTAAGCTTCTTGACATATGAAGGATCACTGAACTGGCAGTAGAAACTTTTGTAGTCGGAGGAAAATAGCATTGGAGCACGCATCACCAAAAGATGCAAATGGCATAGCACAGAATATGATTGTTCAGGACTCCCAGCTCCTACAAGAGTAAGCAGTGGTGCTTTTATACGCTCATAAACCTACAATGGAGTATGCAAACAATGATTACAAAGATCATCAGTCATGTCTCTTCTTTCATACTATAAAGTGCACAAAACCAATGTCACAAATGAAATCCATACAACAAAAAGGTATAAAAATCCAAACAGTCCAGGTGATCTCAGATCAGAGTGAAGAAATTATCAGACCATATAAACTTCCAAAGCATTTATGTGGGGCTTTAGTTATGCAAAATGGAATTTCAGTATATCTGTATGCATAACAGTGACAAACTTCCACTAGCGTAAGTATCAAAACTATGCTGCAAGAGTAAGACCTGCTGGTGAACATCAGTCATTGACATTGTCAAGTGGAGAAAAACTTTGATTGTTGCCAAAACAACAGCTCCATTTGCATGCTGAAGTCTGTCCTCAAGAAGGTTCATGATGTCAAAAATTTCGTTGTTATCAGATGGTAGGAAGTTTGACACTAATTCTAGAACGAGGCACTGTGCCCACTCACTGAACTCTTTGATCCTGCAATGACAAATAAAACAATAAGTATGCACGGAATAGAGTTATTGAGTATTCCCTCCGTCCCTAAAAGAGTGTAGTTTTAGCTAGTCAAAGACATATTAAGCACAAGGTTAAAACTTAAAAGACTACTATGCCCATTAATTCAAAGAGAAAACGAGGGGGAGAAAACAATGAGGGAGGAGGAGGGAATAATATTGGTTCAGTGGCTAAAAATGACAAGAAAAGGATATAGTAGTATTAAAGAAGTCCAGTGGACCACTCTAAAACTACACTCTTTTAGGGAAAAATCTTAGGCTAAAACTACACTCTTCTAGGGAAAAATATTAGGCTAAAACTACACTCTTCTAGAGACTGAGAGAGTAGTTAACAGAAAAAAAAAAGTAGGTGGTAATCTACCTGTTAAGAAGGTAAAATACTACTTAGAGACTGAGAGAGTAGTTAACAGAAAAAAAAAGTAGGTGGTAATCTACCTGTTAAGAAGGTAAAATACTACTGGCTTGCTATATAGTGTCTCAATCTCCCTTGCAGCTTCCTCTGACTTAGCTGCTTCTAGGGTCCAGATCTCCTGTAATGCATGCATGCAATTCGCAACTACCTGCAAATTCACAAGTGTAATCACTAACCAGCCACCTAAAAGGATAATGTAACTCTCTCAAGTCAACAGATACTAGCAATTCAGTTAAGCTTTTCACAAAGTAACAAACAAGCATAGTACAAAAAGTCATGGGCAAACCGTGTCACTCTACCTGGTATAACCACAGTCTATACAGTGAACAGGCGGGTTGGATAATATTATATTACAATGTATTTTGGATTGGATCTGAGATTACACATATGAGTGAATGTGCAAGATCACTTACAAATCAGAGGTAAAACCCACTTGGTTAGAAGCCTCAGGCAGGAAGAGGCCAGATGTCCCTGGTTTGATCCCGCTCAGCTCCAAACTTTAACAAAAATATATTTTTACTTGGATTTTTGGACTGCCAGTCTAGTCCGGTTTTTGCTTACTATGTTAATGAGTACTCCCTCCGTCCCCAAAAAAAAAAACAACTTCTGGCTATGTATCTAGACATAGGCTATGTCTAGATACATAGCCAGAAGTTGGCTTTTTTTGGGATGGAGGGAGTAGTCGGTAAACTCAGTGAAGTCAAATCAAGTACTCTGTGGATAGCTTCTATTGTAAACATCAAGAAAAGTGGAACTGGTCAATTTCTCGGTTTTCTCATTAACATTCTTTTAAAGTTGGTCAAAAATGCCCTGTGAAAATAAGTGATCGACACTAGATAAACATAAAAACATCTGGCCGTTCTATCCAGCAGGTCTTAGCAACAAATCCTTCAGATTTCAAGTCCACTGTGTGCGTCTTTACTAGTTATATAGGAAGCAAGGAATTGGTGGTGGAGTTGATGTTGATCTAATGTGAATTAGGCATGAGGTAAATTATTTTTATTTAGACATGAGGTAAATTATTTTTATTTGTGTAATGATTGAATTCATGTTTTTCTTTCTTTTTCTTTTTTGAGAATTGAGATAATGCATGGACAAATATGCTAGTATACCAAGAGGTCCGACCACCTAGGAGCTGTGGAAGTTGCCAACCATGGCTTATTGTCCTGGGCTCCTGGCTACTCTCCTATTAGTATTATATATAACATGAGTTTACCACTCACTTGACCACCAATGACCGATTTAAATAGTGAACCAGCTGTTGGCCAGCAAACTAGCAAGCCAAACACCTGGGCAGTTCAACACCTACTGTGGTTTCAATTACTTTGGGTAGAACACCAATATTACTCGTGGAACAAAAAGAATTACAATATGTTCTAGTGATAAATCATAAATGGCAAAATTGAGATGTCTTTAAACATTAAATATAACTAAAAAACTGCAATATAATTCTTGGTAAATACTATCTCTGAAGTACCCTATCTAGTTTGGCTAGTGAACACTATGTAAACCTATTATGTTGTATTATACTGTTGAAGGCATTGTGAGAAAACAAGAACCCAAGGGTACAAGCAAAATGCTGTTGAATCTAGAATAATTGCACAAACTGCAGTGTTTAGTGTGTGTGAATATGTATATTCAGGTCAGGATTTCCTTCTTGACCATGTGTACTTTGTTTTTTCCTCCTTAATGAAATAACATGCAGCTCTCCTGTGTTGTTCCAAAAACAAATTGCAGTGTTTAGTATTTCTCCTATATGTTCATGTGAGAAAATCCATAGCCAATCGTGCATTTGGAGTGGAAAGGCGGAGTATTTGTTAGATATAAAACAGCATACGGCTGAGACGACTGACACTACTCTCACAAGGTACAATCATTTGAGACTTAAAGTGTGTGACCAATTTCTTAAGTTGTACACATCTGAATAATATTAAGAGTTGTGTAACTTTATTCAAAAGGTGTATAGAAGAATAGCATCTTATACAGGCAGTCAGGAACAATACTGAATGTAGGGCTGCAATCTTGTAAAATGTGGCCATGTATGGGTTTTTCACATCCTATATAATGTTTCTTTCAGTTTGGGATATGGATTCGTATAATATCAAATACAAATTACATGCAGATAGATTTAATATGAATATGGTCATGAATACATGTGGATATTATGCATGAACATTCCAGAAATGTTAAGCACATAATAGAAATATACATCAATAGTATTGTAGGAATTTATGTTGGCAAATACTGAAACAATTGTTCCAAAATTTATAAATCATACGCATGTAAAATGTAGCAGACAAACAGAATATCAAAAGTACACTTCAAAGGTGTGGCGGCATGGTGAGGCAGGGACTCTCAAGGTGGCAACAGCATGCAACAATGAAAAATGGACAAGAGCGGTAGAAAATGGGGATAGCGAGTTAGAAACAGAACCAATAAAGGCAGCCAAGGTATCTATCCTCTCAGTACCATTTTTACCTGTGTTCAGACTCTTATTCTTGCAAGGTTATATTTGAGTACCATGGTATCTATTTTCCCAGAACCACATTCATATGTTGAGCCCTGCTTGCTTCAGCTAATTCGCTGGCTTATAAACCAAAAATTCTAAGCCTTAAGTAACAGACAGCTTTACCACAGGGACTTTTAAAAGCCAAAAATCATGATAGAACTAATAACCAGAAGAAAATTATGACTCTACCCTTCAACTTGTGGCTGAAATCTTAAAAGCCTAAGCCAAAACAAGAATGTTTTGAGCAAAAATATATGAATTCACCTAATAGCCTCCAAATCCTTCCCAGAAATCAAACCCACATAGATGCATGATCAGATTGGTTCAGAGTTGATTTCTTCCATTATGTAACCTTAAAAGAATAGGGTGTATCTAGGTTCAGTAGTTTTGTCTTGACTAGCATTGTGGTTTCACTTCAAGGCTTCAAGCTACTTCAGCAATGTTAAGTCACTATACTTTCCATCACAAAATATGTCGGTCCAAGTAATTACCAACAACCTATATGATCAATCAGATCAAAATCAAACTATTATCAATGAAGATTAATATCACTAGCATGCAGCTTCATTAGGCATTTCCCTCCACCTGTTCTATTAGACAAACTGCAAAGTAGAAAACGATTGGCCGGCTGCATGCTGAACCAAATTTCAAGTTACAGCTCACATTGGCATGCAAGAAGTATTAAATCCTTACTGATTGTCTACCAGTTCCAACTTTAAATCAGCACTACAGATGTCATAGACTTTTCGGTGGTAATTAAACGGTATTGTGAGCACTATAATCTACAGATAATGAATCATTGCAACAGGTAGCAGCATCATAGTTGCATGATAATCACAACATTGTTTGTGGAATGGCAACTCACCTGTGCATCAGGATCAGAGAGCATAAGCGCTTTGAGCGCCGCAGGCAAGTCAGCATCAAGGCAGGCGGTGGCAGATATGTGATACAGCTTCGCAGCACCAACAGCAGCGATCATCCGGACGTAAGCACTGGGGTCCTTGAGCCCAGTGGCGAGCGGCGAGACAAGGTACTCGACGAGGTTGGGAACGCGGAGGGAGCAGAGGCTGCGGAGTGCCAGGCCGCGTATGGTGGGGTCCTGGTCGTGGCAGTCGCGCTGGAGGAAGTTGATGGTGAGGAGCGCGAGGTCCGGGTGGTTGCGCGCGTGGACGCCGACGTAGAGGTAGCACATCTTCTTCAGCACGACGTCGGAGGTGGCGGAGCAGAGCACCATCTCCCCGAACGCCGCCGACACGTCGATGCCGGCCGTCATGCAGGAGATCACCCGCTTGAAGACGTCCCTCCGCTGGTCGTCGGCGTCGGGCGCGCGGCTCCCCGCCAGCTGCCGCAGCTGCTGCTTCAGATCCGCCACCTCGCTCTTCCTGCACACCTCAACTCACAAGTCCCCCCAAAATTGGTCAGTTTAGGGTTCAGGTTGGGGATGAAAGAGATGCCGTCAGGAGTGAAGGAGCAGGAGGGTGGCGCACCCGGATGGCTGGGACGGGGAGGCGGACTTCGCCGCCGTGGGCGCCGTCGGAGCCATGGCGGATGCGGCCGCGGCGATGGACGCTTGGATCTGGGTGCGCCGTGCGCGTGAAGAAGACGACTACGATGCAGTGGTGGAGCTTCTGTTTTTCTGTTTGGTGGGAACCTGGATCTGGTTCACGGGAGGCTGACAAGTGGGCCCATTATCCAGAATACGCCTTCCTGTGTCGTTAGCGGAAATCAACGTTGGTGTCGCTGTAATGAAGAAGAGACGGGGAAACGGCTCTTCAGCTTTTCTTCTCCGCGCGGAACGCGAAAAAACCCACTTAGCCGCCGCCGCCGCCGCCTATGGCGATGGACGGGAAGGGCGGCGCGCCGCCAGTCCGCCGGAGGTGGATGCGGCGCAGCTTCTCGCAATGGATACGACGAAGAGACCTCTCCGGCTAACCGCGCCTTCGTACGTTTTCTTTGTCGCTTTCTTCGTGCTCGGTAACTAACCCCTTCCTCAGGAACCAGTCTGATACAGTGAATGGTTCTAGTTTACTGCCGTATCTTCTCGCTGATTGGGGAGCGACCGATGGAACTGTGTTGGTGAACTCATTACTGTTATTATTGGACTGTTCTGCGATTGCAATGGTCGGTTGCTCTACATGATCTCTAATTCATGTCTTACAGTGAAAATTGAAAATTTGATATTGCATATCGTCATTACTGGTTCTATCTATTGCACGGCTTCTCGAGTGACATTTTTAGATGGTGCTATTTCCTCCGTCATCTTTTTACTGTTGAGTGATGCCAATTGCCAAATGGATGTCTCTTCATGGAGTATCAGTGCATCAAATCTTCCAATTCATGGTTTGGTCATGTATTATGTAGCGATGCATAAGCAAACAATCATCGGCAAAATTTGCCTTTAACTGGGCCCTGGGTGGAATACATGAACGTTGTGAGACATACCATCATTGGTTTTGAATTGCCTTAAATGTGAGCATCATAGTAATGTCTAGTGCAGTCTCATAGCAGTGCAAAACCGCCCATACACCTGGTTGAACAACAGTCTCATTTTTCCAAGACTAGCAAAATACCTACGCAAAACCAACAATTTTCCCTGATTTCTTGCTATGTTTGGCTTACAGGAACAAAATCTTGTTTATATTACCACAAGAAAATAAAATAAGGTGATTCTTCTATGCTTACAAAGCAGATGGTCATAGCCAGTAATTTACGACTGTGTCAAAATAAAGTACTAATCTAGAGTTCTAGACTATATGCAACAAGGGTACTGAATGGTGCTAATACAAATTAATTTGCTAGTGAGTTCATGGTTTTGGAAGATAGCAAAGTTTTAATGTGATACTTATCTGTATTCACTCCTATTCTCTTCTCTAATCCGCGTTGTATCGTTCCATCTTAGCATGTGTCTATAGGACACGCATGACCTACTTTACAACCAAATTTGTTATTTCCAAGTTTGTCTTAGTGCCTAAATTCTACTATCTAGAGGACCGTTCTAATTTTTTTAAAGAAATGTCAATTCAGATGTTGGTTTTTTTGTATTGTTATCACCTCTGTACATTTGGGGTGTTGGTTAATTTCCAGCTAGTTTGTATGGAAAATAAAATTTAGAATGATGTGTTAGTATCTCACTTAAAATGCTATTGACTTCACTAGGGAAGATGCTATTGGCAGTACAGGAATGAGTGAAGAATTTGTATATGTGTTTATCAAGACCACTCAATAAGTGAATCTACAGCAGAATAAGTACTCATTAGTCATTTTCAATAAGCTAAGGAATTCTTAGAAGCTGCTGCAGTAGCAGCATATTATTTTTCTCAAAGCATTTCAATTCTCAAAAGTTTATAGGTCCTAAGTAGCTAGTACTCCCTCTGGTCTCAAAAACAAGTTATTTAAGAATGCGTGCAGTCACACAAGTTAATTTTGACCATAAAAATCATTCAAAGTATAGATTTTGGGTATATAAAAATGATATTCAAGTTTGTTATAACAAGAGCTTTCATAATATTACACTTGTGTAACCTTTTTTTTAATATGTGCTAAAGAACTAGGTAGTCGAAGTTGTATATATTTGACCATGGAAAGTCCAAAACAACTTGGTTTTGAGATCAGAGGGAGTAAAGTACTCCTGGCAATATAGATTCTGAATCTTTTATAAGCTTGCAGTGTTAAGAATTCATGTATGTTTTCTTGACCTTCTCCTTGTTTTCCTGACTTCTATATGATGATAAGTCCAGTTAGCGGAATTTGAACATAATGAATAATACTTGTGATGAATGGATTGTAATGTAAATTCGTTCTCTCCAGGGTGGAGGCTGGATCAGGAAAGTTAATTACTAATTAGGCTCCAGCTTTTAAGCCTAATATTACATGCAAAGGCAACTTTTATAGTTTACAGTATCTGAGTCTGCAAATGTCTTTAAAACATTGGTCCGTCAAGCATTGTGGTTAGCTGAGCAGATACTGCAATTACCAATGGAAGACATACTTGTATTGACTGGTTAGCTTGTTGAGAATTTTAATATGGCTTCTAAGTTTGGTTTGAAGAAACAATTAGGTAGCGGATATGGATCAGGAATAGTATAATGGCCTGGCAGCTGACCCCTTTTTCTTAAAAAGATCATCCTGCTTAAACTTCAAGGTTAAAATTCTGCTGCCATCTTCTGGTAATAGAAAGAATGCAGACAATAGTTATATATCAAGAACATTGCATTTTCCATATGTGTTGATGAAGACAAAATTTCTTACCAGCATGAACTGCTAGAGTGAGATCATGCCTGAGAATGCTGTTTTGTTTCTTTTATTCTCACAACGTACAGTTGTGCCGAATGGATTAATTTGCATGACAAGCACACTCTCTAATAAATGACAAATATTCTAATTTGCAGAACGATGGCATGTCCATTTAGTTGAAAAAGAACAGTTGGGAGGCCCTTCTGTAAACTGTAGTTGAAATAAATAGCATATGTACTGTAAAATTTATTATCAGTCTTCTGTTTGACCAATCACTGTTTATTTTCACTGGAGCTTGCTTCATTCGTGAATCGTGATAATGGAAAGTTCCCACTTTCCGCATAGATGCCCTGCAATAGCAAGAAATTTGATGTAGCTGACTGCCTCACTTTCTCGGTCGTCTTTCCTGCTTCCTTCCTGTTTTGCACAGTTCTTATCTTCTTCAAGTGTGTTGGGGCAGATCACAGTGAAACTGTGAAGGCTTATCTTACCCTACCTAAATCACCATACATAGTAGACTGAAAGAGAGTGCTTCCTGGTATAGTAAATCACAGTAGCTCCATAGGTCTTCTCTTTTCTATATGCCCATCTGGGGATGGAAGTGTGTTGGGTGATGCCAACTCATTGACATGTCCCACTCCCAACTTCTTGTGCTTACTATTACCATTGTACACAAGTGAACCACCAATTTTGTGGGGGACTGAACTAGTATCTGATAAGTGGAATGGGTCAGGATCTGATCTGCCCAGTTACATCGCACACACTACTGCAGTGTTAGTGCTTGATTGTGGACACGTGAAAGTTTTTCCAATGGGTGTCTGTCTTTTCTTCCTTTTCGTCCGAATCTTTCTGATATTGTATTGGCATAATCATGTCTGGTATTCTGTGTTACTCGTAAATTGTGCTTTATGTCTGGTTAGCCCACTTGCTTGCTACCAGTTTGCGTGATCTCCCTGTGTCATACTGCTGTAAGTTTTGGTTACGTCCATGCTGAATGGAACAAAGCCTTCTATTGTTCATCATGCTACAATTTTCAATTTTTTTCTTACTTATTTGGCAACATTTGGAGCAAGACTCATGGAACTCTTTTGTGGTGTTTCTCAGGACAAACTAGCAGACAGGACAGGGGACCAATATGGATCATTGTCATTAACCATGCCTCCCCTGTTTATTCAAGAGGTATTGATCATTCTTCTCCCAAGTATCCTAACTAGTAGCTTTTAGAATGTCTGGTAGTAACATTAGTACATGACTACATGTGATGGCTATTGCTGTGAGAAACCTTTTTAGCTACTGCCATGATTGATCATTTGTTAGTGCCATTAATTATATTCGCATCCATCCATAACCGAAACATCATGACGATTTCAGCTATATTGACACTTGATCACCAATCGACATAGATTGTCTCATATACGACTAGTATTGCAATTAGTACATGTTTGGATGTCGCTATTTATGGCTATTGTAGTATAGGAAGATGACAGGATGTTTCTGAGCCAACGACGCGATCTCTACAGCTGGGACCTGGATCCTACAAGTCGCGTGTATATGGCCGTGCACTCAGCGGCGGAGACGTTGATTTCAGAACCAGGGTTTTGTTAGCGTTCATTAATTGCGCCCGGTAAGCATGCAGGGCCTTGCGAGATCACATGCGTCTATCAATCTGGCAAATCTCGTAGGCTCTCAAATGCATCCATCTATTCCTTTCCATCCATTGATTATACTCAATTATACTCAAACCAGTGGCAAGTGATACTCCAGTTGGATTTGGAAGCGAACGGTGAACTGTGCGTCTGTGTGCCTGACTGACTGGCTGGCGTCTTTGCAGCGGCCGGACCGCGGGAGCCGCGCATCATGAGAAGTTCAGCAACCCACGTTGCCGGGCACCCATGGGACTTCAGGCAGGCGTACCGCCTTGCAGCGACTGTCAGTCATCCGCTGCTGTTGCTTGCTACAGTGCTACTGCTCGACGCAGATCCACGCCTACATATGCCGCAGCAGAAGAGAAGAAAAGGGTCGTAAACTGCGTCAGCATCCAAAGGCCCCCAATCGAGGACATTATTCACGGTAAAGCAAGTCACTGCTCAGGTCAGGACTCAGGAGTGGTCTCGGAAGGGGGAGAGCGTCTCGTACAGTCTATAACGTGGTTTTAGGTTGTGTTTGGTTCTCGCATTCTCGGCTATACTCTACAACTCTTTATCAACAAATATTGTTATACTTATCTAAGTTGAGATGATCAAATTCTTAGCTACATCTTAAAGATCAAATTCCAAGTTTAAGGAAATCTTTGCCAACACTTTTTGAGCCAATGATGTGTGAGACCCAATTTATTGAAAGAGAATTTTGTCACAACTACAGTTGCCAATGTGATCAAACTTGCTTAACCTTAGGTATGGCAAACTATGACAAAGTTTGGCTGGTAACCAAACAATCCCTTAGGCCCGTTCTTTTATGATTTCACCTCGTGTTCGATAACACGTTTTTTAAACTGCTAAACCAAAGTATTTTGTGTGAAAGTTTTATATATATATAAAAGCTATTTTAAAATATTAGATAGATCCATTTTTAAAAGTTTGTAGTAATTCAAATTTAATTAATTACACGATAATGGTTTTTTATTTTGTATGTTCTAACTTTATATTAGTTTTACGGGGAAAAGGGGATTTCATTAATCATGAATCTCAGACTGATCCTGAATGATCATCTGTTTGGTGAGGGTACAATCATGATCCAGCTAGAAGTTTGACATCTTCTGGGTTCAAGCAATACTTGTTAATTCATGACTAACTCTATTTTGATCCCTATGAATCTTCTTAATTGTGAAATTCCTCATTCCGAACAGGAGCTCCTTCGTCTATCTGATCACAAAAGCAAGAGATCTGTCCATTTTGCCATTTAGCAATATTTGAATTACCGAGAGGCAATCAGTGTATAGTAGTATCACCGATAGCTAGGATTGTCCATTGCAGTGCCATTAGTATAGAAATGAACATCATCTTACTCGATCATCAGCTCTCCACGGTGGAGGCACCGTGAAGGTGGATGACGGCAACCACAAAGCGGCAAGCACAAAGGTGGATGACTAGCCAAGGCCCGGCCAGAAGGCACGTACGACTGTTCGGATTGTTCGTTCGTTGAACCTTTCCAAGACTCACCCTCGGCCGTACAGACGTGCGCCGTATATGGATAACCTTCTTTTTGTCGCTCGGATTCGTTTGAGCAGTGACTCACCTATCATGCGCCTGCATGCTCATCTGGATCGGCACCAGAACAGTGGTAGCTAGGCCGGAATTGGTAGCCCCCCATCTGCACCGGATCCGTTACGCGACACAGTCTACTGGAGTAGCTCTCCCCTTGTGTTTGTGTGTGACCACAGCCAGCGCGTACATTGGCCCCGTTCAGTTGTGTTTCCACGTGCATGGTACACCTGCCGGAATCGCAGAGATATCTCTGCGTGACACTACTCTAGCTCCGATTGATGATCAAGACGTCAAGGGGCACTTTGGCTCAGGTGAAGAAGGTAGTCAGCAGTACTGACCCCTGATTTGCTATGGTATGGTGGTAGAAGTATGTCACTGACCAATGACGTAGCTAGATATGCGTGTCAGATAACAGAGATTTTTAGAAGACAAGTTGTGAATTCCAACGTGGTATACATGGAGCAGAAGTACGGAAGAGGGCCTCTGGGCGTTTATACAATCAAAGCTCAAATTAAGAAGGTGCGTTTTACGACTGCTCGCAATCATGTCAGCCAGATCGCTCTTATCTTTGTTCACATGCCAATGTCAGAAGCTAAACACAACGTGATGGCAAGTTGGAATTTAGGAGATGCATGAGTAGGTTGATGCAGAGATGAGAGACTCCAGGAGGAGCATCTCTAGCATGCACCACTGCACCTAAGTTCAGCCTGTGACATAACAAGACAAGTGAGAAAGGAACAAAACCCTCTCCCTTCTCTTTCATAATATAATCGCTGTGTTAGAGCCTTTTCCAAGACTGATCACCACTCCAGCGTAGTACTACATAATTAGCCACTATCCCTTCATCCCCTTACCTACCATAGTACTCATAATAAGTTAATACCATTTCTCCTGTAACTGGCACAGCAAGCTTACGCTGCAAAACACAACGCTTGTTTTGCATCACCTGTCCCTTTGTTCTTGGCCATTACACACATCAAGTCCAAAGGCATTTGAAATCTACGAAGACCTTTTGGTTTCTTTTTCATTGTACTTCAGTCCACGGGGTCAAGATTCAAGGACCGTGCAGCCTTTAACTGTTCTTTCGTTACCTGATCTTTAATTTCTCCACCTTGGACTTAGCCTTGTACGTGTATGAGATTATATGCATATGGTTGCTTTAATTTGCAGTAGATCTGTACATGCCTAACCTTTCGTCGTGTTACGGTAGAGGAGGACGCGTACACTGACGATGCTGTAATTAGGCTGCCTCCTACTGCATTGGGAGGATGAAACATTCCGCTACATCCTAATCATGTGGTTACAAACTTTGTGGTGGAAGGATCACCTAGGTGAGAGCGAAATTAGGCCGTTGGTTTTGTACTGATTATTAGTTAAACCCGTACTTTGGTTTGAAATCGAAGTGAGGGAGTAGTACTGAATATATATAGCTGGCTAGAAGGCAGAATGTTTGTTTGTGTTTGGTGCCGTCTACTCTGTTGAAACATTGCACATTGAGGTCAGAATGTCTTCTCGGCCTCAGTGGAACATCAATCAGAGAGAATAAGCCGTGAAATGTGTATGCTTATCCTGCACCTTAAGATGCCTCGTGAGTCGTGATACCGAGCAAGTCCAGACATTAGCGACGAAGTAGGGGTATCTCGTAAATTATATTAAACCCGATCAACGTACTCCTAATCCTATGTATTGTAAATTTGTAATGCCTTCACAATCGTTCTTCACGGCTTGAGAATTCAACTTTTTCGACGGCTATTGGGAACTGTACAGTATAAGACGCGGTTACCGCTAACTGTTTGTAAGAAAACAAAATGAAAGAAAAAAAATGAAAAGCAGTAAAAAATTAAGGGGAAATTCAGGATAATTACAAAAGTATGTAGGGGACATTTAGAACATGTAGAAATGCCATATATTAATGTAACATAGGAAAACTCGGTATGACTTTTGCTTTATTTTTAACATTCAAGCAATTAAAAATCTCGTTTGTTCTTTGTCATTTTTGAATTATCACTTTGGCTCAAAAATATGATGTTAACTTCCTTTTTTCACGAAATTTTTTCACTAGATAACACTACAATTTAAATACTACTTACATCAAATTTTCTAAATGTTTATCCTCTTTTCTTTTTTGGAAATTTTGAATTCTCAAATAAAATTTACCAAACCCTAGTGCTAGGTAAAACCCGTTGTAGAGTCAGTAGCAGCAATAGACTAGAAAAGAAGGATCATACAATATAGTGAAATTCAATCGGCACAATTATTACCCGCTGATTTCGGAGTTTCTGTTTTATAGATTGAGGAAAACAAAAACGACATGTAACTTAAGCCACTATAGTTCCGCGTAGATGGAGGTTCGTTACGACTCTCTTTAGACTAGTGTTTCAAAATTTTTTCTTGTTTTAATTAAATTGTTTTTGTAGTTCGTCCGATTTCAACCTACAACTTTGTATAGTACTCCTATAGTTTCTATGAAACAAATGCCACAATGAATTCTCTATCATTTTAAGAGAGAGATGAGCGAAATGGCTGGGATATATATGATCCATCGCTGTACCAGGGCGGAATATGCGGCAAGTGGCCGTGGCGCGGCGCGAGGTGGGCCAGATCACGCTCTGCTTGCGCGTGGTGATGAACCGGTACGTACGACGACCACCATGCACGCGCCGGATCACGGGGACGATCGCGAGAGCCACCGACCGAACCACCGAACCCCGCGTGCCCGCGGCTGCCGCGCATGAGGACATCTTATTCTCCTCCACTTCCGCGACGCGCGGCTCCGACCGCTGGTCCGTCCGGCCGGCGCGCGCAGAGAGGTCAACGGGAGCGAGTCACGCACAGGCACAGCCACCCGACACCTACACGGGCGGCGGGCGCGCTCGGCGCTCGCTACCACCACCAGCGCGGCCGGCAGCCAGCATGTTCGACTGCCTCGACCAGCCGCCTGGCACGTACGGGGCGTCGTCGGGCCCGCCACATTCTTGCTGGTTTTTGTGATTGTGCTCTGAACGACGTGCGCGGCACTGCAGTGCTGCCTGTGACTGCGAGTGTGCATCCGTCATCCATCCGCATGACCGCATGGTCCGCACCGCATCCCATAATCCCATCCGGACGCCGGTGGCCAAGGCCAAAACGCGGCAGTCCGGCAGCTACCAATGGACAATAGAGATGGCAGGGCATATATACATGATACTTAATATATAAAGGATTGGGAAAGAAAATAAAAACTTGGAAGCCTTCTTTGAAATAGTCCTCAGTTCCTCACGTCCTAAAGGAAACTTTCAATAAGTTCATAATGTCACCTGCTCCCTCTGTTCCATATTTTAACAAGTTTTGGTGTTTTATTTTTTTTTTGAAAGTTTGACAAATTTCATAAAAACATTATAGTAACATCCACAAACTCCACCAGTGACATTTCTTTGACAATTCTATTTCATTCAGTACTTCACTTAAGTAGCTTCTTTTGGGAAATTCACATTTTTACCACACCAAAGTGCTTAATTAGAGATATAACACTAAAAAGAATGTTACTTGGTATTTTAGGCTGAGTTTAAATCGGTTGTATGGCTGTAGTTGTAGGCCGCTGGGATGGATCATTAACGTATACTATAATCTTGAAAATGAATTTATTTGATTTTTTAAGAGCTTCTATATAGAAAACTTTTACATAATATACACCGTTCAGTGGTTGAGAAAACATGCTAATGGATAACGAGAAAGTTGATGAAGGAAACATTCCAAACAAACATGTTCTTAGTCATTTGCCATCACTTATAATAGAAGTGGAGCCCGCCAACATCTCTCCTTGCAGCACAGTTTTACTAATGACTTATTTGGTACAGCTTCAACTCCTAAATTTAGCTACAGGAGTTGGGTCTGAAGCAGAGTTGTGGGGTTGCTTAAACCCAGCTGCACAACTCTAGTTCATTTTGTGATAGAGCTCCACCCAACTCTACTCCCATATTTGGTGGAACTGAAATTGTTTGGCTGAGAGGTGGAGTTGGAGCTGGAGCTGTGCCAAATAGGCCCTAAGCTAGTTGGAGTTGGCCCGATGTTGCACTTGTTCTAGAACTTCCTCAATCTTATTAAAAATCGGTCGGAGCCCTTTTTTTTCCACCGGCCGGATAAAAAAAGACAAAATTTGCTACATGACACTTAAAGCTTGTGGCCTTTGCTGTGAAAAAAAGTATATCTTCTCGTGGGCACTGTAAAAATATGGTAATTAGCTGCTGGACACCGAGACATTATTTTATTATTTCCGGTGAAAATAGAGAGAGAAAGAGCGTTGAAAGTTCATGTCTCTTTTCTCCTCTTTTCTTTCTTTTCCTCTCTTTTCTTCTCTTTTCTTCTTCTGCGAGCGAGCGCGGCAGAGGGTGGCGATGGTCGCCGGCCTCCTCGGCGACGCCACCGGCCTGTGGGGCGACCTCACCGTCCGCGGGTCATAGCTCCTCCTCTGCAACTGGCCCCCAGGCCCTAGTGGCGGCCACTCTCCTCCCCCGCGCGCGGCAATGGCCACCAGCCTCCTCCTCAGCGACGCCACTAGCCAAATTCGCGCAGTCACTACTGGCGGCGTTCGCGCTGCTGCTGGCGCTGCTCCTCGCGCTGTCCAGGGGAGCGGCCGCAGGGGTGGTCGAGGAGGTGCTGCTCACCTGGGAGCTCGGGGTCACTGGCGGCGATGACGACGGCTTCGGGTTTTTCTTCTCCCCGCGACTGCTCTGCGACTCTTCTCCCCGCGACTGCTCTGCGACTCTGCCGCTATCGCGGCTAACCAGCTCCACCACCACCTGCTGCCGAGGGAGAAGAGGAATAGAGAAGGAGATATGAGATTGACGAGTGGGCCCGACTTATAAAATGTTAACTAAGAAGTTAATGACATCAATTATACAGATGGCCCGTGGGCAAACTTGTCTGTTATGAAAGTTTCTCTCTCTGTTTCCATCGGAAATAATAAAATAATACGGTGGGTGTCCAGTAACTAATTACCACATTTTTACAATATCAACAAGAAGATACACGTTCTTTGGGTGTCATATATCAAATTTTGCAAAAAAAAAAAAAAGAAGAGGAATATATTTTTCATGCGAGAGACTGGAATGGAGGTTTTAGGATTGAAGGATTGAGGATAACACCAAGTCAAGGAAACAAAAGGACATTGTTGCCTTTCCTCGTATAAATTGTTTTGACAGCTAACATCATCCCGTCATGCAAAATGGTGGAGCAGCAAATATCTACAACTATAAAAGCACAATCGTCGTTGTCCTTAGGGGCGGACATTCGATCTAACCGAAAATTTTGGTTTCAGTCTTTGAAAAGAGTGAAGACCGAATTTCAGCGAAAAAAATGTTAGGACCGACAAATTCGGTCTCGGTCTCGACCGAAATTCAACAACATTTCCATATATGCAAAGAAATAATGGAAATTTTCAACACAAAAATCACAAAAAAAATTCGTAAGTACTTATGAGTAAAGACTCTTATTAGGTTGCATGCCTAGAAGAAGTAGGTACGTGAAAATTAGAGTTTAATCCTATTAAACATAGTGGATTGTAGGTTGCATTTAGACATTTTTTTGATAATTCGGTCTTTTCTGTCTATTTGGTTAACCGAAGAGACTAACCGAATTGACCGAATAAAATTTCATCTTTCACTATCTATGACCGAATTGATGACCGAATTTCTCGGTCTCGGTCTCTTGGTTCGGTCTTTTTCTATCACCCTAGCTGTCCTTCCCACTTCTCCCCCTGGCACGTAGCGCACGCTAAGAAAAAAAAAACGAATGGTGCGCTCCGAAAAAAAAATCGTGAAAGAAAAGCAGAAAAAGAAATGTCTGGATAAAAAAAATCCTCTTTTTATGTTAAATCCACGTATCACCCACTCTCCTTTTAATGTTATTAGCATTGACCCATTGACCATTGTAATGCAAGTACATACTCCTCATTATCTAAAAAAAGTACATACTCCTACTTAGTACTCTATGTCATATATTCATGAATATATGAAACCTGATTGCAAATGTGCAAATCAACCTTCTCTTATCACATCTCTTGCCTAACCCCACCACTCCACCGCATCACTACACGTGCGTACATAGCCGAGAAATTTCGATGTACACTTTGTACACTTCTACCCCCTCCCCTTCTACCGGCTTCCTACTGCATTCTCTGTCTCATGCAATCTCCATTAGACATTTCACACGATGCAAACCACACTCCCGAGAAGCTTATAAGGAGGCGCAAACCAAGCCGCGACGTGAGATAAACCAAAAAAAAACTCCACTCTCCCCTCCTCAACCCATTTCCAAACACCCAAAGAATACCGCGATGCACACGCCTTTCGTGGACAAGAGCCCCCACCGCCGCCTCGACGGCTTGGGCGCCGGTGGCTGGCTGAAGCAGAGGCTGGCTCAGATCCTAGTGCGATCTACTTGCACCACCAACACCACCACCACGACAACGACCACCTCGTCCACGGCCTTCGTCAGCCTCGACAAGACCAATGCCGACACGCACCAAGAACCGCCGCCGCCGCCCTCGCCGTACTTCTGCACCCCCTGCACCTACCAGAGGCCCAAGCTTGATGCCCCCGGCCGTCCCCGCCGACGCCGACGCAGCGCGTCGCTGGTCCACATCTCCATCGACTGCACCGGCGGGGCCGGGGCCACCTCCGGCCGCCGCTCCGTCCACTCCGACGCGCCCCTCCTGCCGTACTCGTCGTCGTTGCCGACGAAGGATGGCAGGAAACAGAGCAGGGCGAGGAGAAAGGCGCGCTCTTCGCCGTCGACATCCAGGCGGCATTGCCCGTCGTCCTCCTGGGGCCGCGCGCGGCTCCCGAGGGGGGCACCGGGGCAGTACAGCTCCTCGTCGTCCACGGTGACCGACGACGAGCTCGCGCCGTTCAGCACCGACGAGGAGGGCGGCGAGGAGGCCGACACGAGGACGCTCTTCTCGTCCCTCAGCTTCTCCTCCGACTCCACCTCGGAGTTCTACCACACCAACAGCAGCAGCAGCCTCGCCAGGAAGGGCCACAAGAACGCGCCGGCGCGCCGCCCGCCGGCGCGGCGCGCGTCGGCGAGGATCACCAGCGACCCGGCCGACGCCTTCCGGCCGGTGGTATCCGTGGCGGCGACGAAGAAGCAGCACAACGACATGAAGAAGAAGGAGGAGACGGCGATCAAGAGGCAGCTGGGCACGGACGACGACACCGCCGCCGGCGCGGGCATGGCGGTGGTGAAGCGGTCGAGCAACCCGTACGCCGACTTCCGGAGCTCGATGGTGGAGATGGTCGTGGAGCGGCGCATCTGCAGCGTGCCGGAGATGGAGGAGCTCCTGGGGTCGTACCTCTCGCTCAACTCGCCGCAGCACCACCCGGCCATCCTCGCCGCCTTCGAGGACGTATGGGAGGCCGTCTTCGGCGAGGAGTGAGTGAGCGATCACTGATCAGTGACAGTGGCCAACCAACCGATCGACCAAAGCCTTGTTTGATTAGCCAACCAAGCTATAACTCGTTCGTTGTGAGGCCAGTAGAGCAGAGGTGTACGTAGTTAGGAGATGCAGCGAGCGATCGGCATTAATGCGTGTTATCTTGGTTTGCAGTTAAGTCTACTTTGTATTTACATGAAGAATTGGCATATCGATCGTGCCATCAAATGCATATGTGCTCGTGTTATGAATAACTGTAGTGTCAGGAAGTCAGGAAGAAACCGTTGAACGATCGATCAATCCTAGGTTCTAAAAATTGTTCTTCCATTTCGATGCTCATGATCACAAACGGCCCGGCGGGCAACAAATTTCTGAAATCCAATCAGGGGGGCAAGGCGCTGGTTTTGCGCATGTTAAAATTGGGAGTTCATAATTGTGTTTGGAATATCTGATCCCAAAGGGGAACACGGTTGCTGCAATTGTATACACCATGCAACCTTTGCAAGCGAACCCGTGGTTTGGATCCATAGTGCCAAAGGACGCCTGCAGGTCTGCGTGCGCGAGACTGTAACATCACATCAATGTTTTAACGATAGCTTTCAGAGAAGTAGAAAGTTTGACCCAAACAATATCCAGGCCAAATTTGCATGTGCTAGATGCTGTTATTTGTATGGCCAACCACACCACAGCTTTATGCTGATTGATCGCTTAGGCATCTTGGTGAATTTGAACCACCCTGAATTGGATGTGGTCGCTCACACGCTCACATCACATCCTAGTCTACTCATCAGATCAGAAGCACTGTAGTACCAAGTAGCAACAGGAGCGCCAACTTTTAGGATTACATAAAATGGTAGGAGTAGGAGTATTAGCTAGGAGGAGGCAGTGAAACCAGAGGAGCATATATGCTCTCCATCTTGACAACAAACAAACAAGCCAAGATGGTTTAGCTAGCAAGTGCGTCATCCAATAATTAATCATCCCAAATCCCCAGGAGAGAAGCAATACGCAGCGACTGGCACGTAGGGCCCACCAGAGGACCGCTTGGGAGTGGGCCCACGCGTCAGCCCTACAGTAGAACTTTCTTTGACCGCGGTCGGTAATTCGGTAATCGGTGACGTAGCTCGCCGCGCGTGCAGGAACAAGCATAAGCCGCCGCCGCGCTTGTCCGCACGCGGCGAGCGGGTCTTCAGATTCCCGCCCCCGCGCGAACGCCGCGAGAGCAACGGTGGGTGGTGCCGACTCCGCGCGCGCTAAGCTCTTCTATCGTCTACTTGTGGTGTTTTTTTGGGTGGGAATTTCCTATACGGCCTCGAGTTCGGTTGCCCGTGTTCGTGCGTGCGTGCGTGCGCGCATGTGCGGAGCTGGGCGCGCGGCGCGGCGCGCTGCCCCTGTTCCCGATGGCGTCGCGCGCGGCGCGGCCCGTTGCTGCTCACTGACGTCGACGCGCGCGTTCTTCACCGAGTATTTTTGTTTTCGTCGCTGGCGTGGAGTTCGGCGATTCCACCGGTGGTCTGGTGGTTCTCGGTGTGGTGGTTTCGGAGAACCTCCTTGGTCAGCTCGTACTTGGGCTCCGACGAACCGGTTTATCAGTTATCAACTCACATGCCTCGTGAGCCATGCGTGGGAACGTCCGGGCGTGTTCCCAAAAATGCGGACGAGGAGGTTGCGAGGGAGAATCAGAGAAGGAAATCCGAGGGGCTTTTGCGGGCCAAAATATAGCGAAGCGTTACGGGAACAAGTTCATCCGAGGTCCCTTAACTTGTCAACGAATCCGATTTTCATCCTTCAACCGCAAAACCAGATACAACGGGTCCCTCAACTATCAAAACCAGTGCATATGAGATCCCTCGGTGGTTTACATGGTGGTTTTGGCCAATGTGGCGTCTACGTGGCTAATTTGACTCGGTCTTCAACTGACGTGGCACCGACGTGGCGCGTACGTGTCAATTCGATCCGAAAAAATAATAAAACCCGTGAGACCCACGTGTCAGTTTCACACACACAAAATAAAAAATGGTGGGACCTACGTGGGCCCCACATGTCATCCTCACTGCCCTCCTCTTCTTCCCATTATCCTCTCTCTTCTTCGGACACTGACTGCGGCCAGCGACCTCGGCGAGGCGGCGCCCTCGCCGCCGCCTTCACTCTCCGACGGGTCGTCGTCTTCCGCGGCCTCGTGGTGGTGACCGTGGCTGCTCACGCGACAGCTGGACCAGTAGCCGCAGGAGTCGGAGCGCTCGACCGCGGGCTCCGACGACGAGGATGACCACTCCGGCGCCATCGCCGTCACGCTCGAGAAGGATATGGAGTTCGACAGCGGCGGCAGCGGTACTGAGGGCGGGGATGCGGCCGGCGCAAGACCCCGCGGCGGCGCCGACCACCACGCCGCCGGTCGGGAAGGGGTCGCCAAGGCATATACTGGCATGGCGAGGCGGCCGGTCGTAGCGGGGATTGTGGATTCGCAAAGAAAAGTACTTGTTGTGAATTGAACGTGTGCCTGATGATCTATGAACTGGCCGCATAGCAATGGTTTTGTCAACAAAAGAAAATTAAGATATGGAGAAAAAAATAGCTATAGCTTAACTGTCAGTGATATGTTATCTAGCTCAACTCTTCCAATAGCAGGGATCGACTCCTCAATTCTTCCAATAGCAAGCAATCCGGAAAGCAGAGTCTGCATCATGCTGGAGATGCAGCAGCAGCTTCTCTCCGCCGCCGCGCCAACCACCACCTCACCCGCCGCAGTGCCGACCACCCCGGCTCCGGCTACCGCGGCGCCTCCTCTCCCCCGGTCGAGGCTCCCGTCGCCGGCGCCGTTGCCCACCGCCGGAGCTCGGACAGCCCGCCTCGCTCGCCTGCTCCGCCGCCCACCCGCCCCGTCCGCTCCGGCACTCCCCGGGAAGAAGAAGAAGAAGAGAGAGAGGGGAGAGGGAAGAAGAGGGGAGTGAGGATGAGGAAGAACAGAGAGAGAAGAGAGAGGGATGGAGGAGTGAGACTGATATGTGAGCCCACGGTTTCTATTATTTTTCTGGGATAGAATTGCCACATAAGCGTCACGTCAATGCCACGTGGGATGAAGACCTAGTCAAACCAGCTACGTAGGCGCCACGTCAGTCAAAACCGCCTTACAAACCGTCGAGGGACTTTGTTTGCACTGGTTTTGATAGTTAAGGGACCAGTTGTATCTGGTTTTGGGGTTTAAGGTCGAAAATAGGATTTAGTGTAAAGTTAAGGGACCTTAGATGAACTTATTCCAAGTGTTACGTTATCCTCGTCACAAGTGAGCCCAAGTTGGACGGCCCAACGATCCAGTTGAACATACGTGACTTACTTCTTTGGGCATTCAATTCCATATGACTCGAGGGAATAAGTCTATTTTACATCTTTCTGTCTTGCCCTTGATCCAAAAATGCATCCGTCAACCATAAAATAGGATATAACGCATCTCTCAACTTCAAAAACCAGTGCAAATCAGCTCTTTCATTGGTTAGGAAGCGTTTTTTGCTGAGTCAGCAGTACAAGCTTTAAAAAAATAATAGTGGGATCCATATGTCACCCCCCTCTCATTCCTTCTTCTCTCTCCCCCTTTCACCACCTCCCCACCGCTGACATTCTTCTTCGTCCCCATCCTCATCCACTTCCTCTCGCCCGCTCCTACTCTTACTCTTCCTCGCGCTCCTCATTGACCTCACCTTTCTCCTCTACCCCTTCGCATCTGTCGTCTGTGTGGCCGAGCTCCACCTCAACCGCTTGTGTGTCAACCCGTCCCTGTTCCCGACCCAATAACCTCAAGGTTGTGTCGGAGGAAGCCGATGCTCCCGTGTCAACTTGTCCACATTCCCGGCTATTGACTTCAAGGTAGTGAGGGTGGCAGCCGGCGAGGAAGGCGGTCTATAGCAGTGGAGGAGGAGAGGAGGGAAGCGAGGGAGCCGGCGATGCGCCATTCCATACACCGTCTTCCTCCCCTAACGTGGCATCACATTCGCTGTCCCGTTGCGTCTTCGTTGTCCATCGCCCAGATACACATCCCGTCCGTCCTCTTCTTTCTCCGATGCATCATCCTCTAATGGCCAGTGGCAGTGACGATGGCGGTTCTACGCTTAGGGGATGAGGGAGGGTCTTGGGCACCGTGCATGGTGAAGGAAGTGGAGGAGAAGCTCGGTGGCATCTACGATGGAAAGTTTGAGCAGCGCCTGATACGTAACACCAACGGGCTCCGCGGGGAGCAGCTCATCCATGGATAGCTTCAGTGATCGAAACCTGTTGCCCCGGTGCAGCTTCCTCCCCTAGTCGGTGGCTCCGTTGTCGGTGGGAGCATAGCGCCAGCATAGTGTAAGCTGGCAAATACGTAGTTGTGCCCAACCCCTTCGAATATGCATCTGCACCTTCTCCCAACCCTCCCGTGCCTCCACGCTGTTGGCTCCTCCCCCAGCCGGCTGCTTCGTTGCCGACGGCAAAGTGCCCGCATGGTGTATGCTGATGTAGAGGTTATCGTGCCCAGCATCCTCCAATACGTGTGCACCGCCTGCCTTCAGTACGGGAGGAGTTCGTGGTGCAGTTCTCCTAGGCGCCCCGTCGGTGGTCGGTGGGAGGAGCTCGCAGCGTGGGTCTCCGACAACCACCATGCCATCTGCAAAGGAGGAGGAGGAGGACGAGGCGGCAAGGGGCACGAGTGAGCAATATCAACGGAACTGGGTGTTGAAGTAGTGTTGTTGCGCACATCCATGGCTGCATTCTCGCACACACGGCCGCTACTGCCACTGTCAAGTAGGGCCCACCGCATATGTTTTGTCATGTCTCACTGACATGTGGGCCCCACATGAAGAAACTGCTTCCTAAACCAATGAATGAGCTGATTTGCACCTGTTTTTTAAGTTAAGGGAAGCATTATACCTGATTTTGTAATCGAGGGATGTGACTCAATCAAGAGCAAAAGATGAGGGAGATGAAACGGACTTATTACTAACTCGATTGGGCCAAACAGAGAGGCCTTTCAACCGAGGTTCATTAATTCATTATTTCTCCTTCCGTGCTTGCATTAATAATACTCCACATCTACGTATGTCATGGGGTCTCTCTCTCAACCTTATCCTTTCTCTCCCGTTGGCGGTAAAAAGTGAACAGCCAGACTCCTCCTTTCCACTTCGCTGAAACCCCTCTCCCCTACGCTTGTGGTGGCAGCTAGTCGCCGTTGACGCGTGGGGGGGGGGGGTGGGGGTTCAGGGAGCTATTGTGTTCATCCCGTGGTCAGATTTATCCCGTTATGTATCGAGTTTATCTCGTTCTAGGTTTTCTTCTTCCTCTTTTGTGTACAGCTCGAAGGC